GCAGGAATCCCTATTCTCGTTTCTCAGTTATCTCTTTTGAAGGAGCTATACCCGTTTTCGTCTGGTTTTACCTCCGTCGTTTTTCAATAGTGCCTAGATGGCAGTTTTCGCCCTCAGTTGATCTGACCAAGTCACCGCCACACCCCTTTTTAAAAACCTCGCACGCGCTTGAAGGCATCCGTTCTTTACCGATCAGTTTATTTCAATTGCAAGAGGCTTGCCATCCGATCGCCCTTGTTTTATCCCTGCCAGCCAGTTACGGCACCTAGGGAGGTTTCTCCCTAACCGATAGGTGCCACGATGCCCTCAATTACCACACGAAGATACCGACATACCTTATACCCACGAACCTAATCGGGACCTACCGATCAGCGCGATAGACCTACAGACGATACCGCGATATACGAATTAAACAGGATATTAAACAAGAAAGCCCAGAAAAAACAGTCACAAGTCATAGTCGGAAATAGTCAGGATTACCCAGAGACCCCTCTTGTCGCCCTTACCGATATGTAGTTAGTAGGAAGAGCCCAGAGAGCCCCTAGAACCACGTACAGGGGAGGGATCGAGGGTCAAGGGAAGCCCGGTAGATACTACCGGACGAATAACGGTCACACGAGAACAGCCAGAAACGAGTCATAGAAACGGGCATTGAACAGGATATATCAGTTAGTTTATAGGATCAGGATCAGTTGAAAGGATCGGCAAAAGACAGTCATGGACGAGAAGGACGGAGATCACGATTACATCAGTTATTTCACGGGATTATTGTTTCGTTTCTCACGGGAGCTACGCTTGTTTTACCTACCCGTTGCAGTTCCTGTTTCCTGACTATTAATCCCTGTTGTTTCTTGGTGGCCTTTAATGGAACTAGCTTGCTCCCAGTTAATCAGGGTTAATCAGGAATAGGTTGATTAGGTTAGTTTATAGGTTATAGCTCCGCTAGCCTAGTTATTATCGGATCTTTCCTGATCTTTCCTATTGTTTCCTGTTAATCGTTAATTAAACTGGCTCAGCTCCCAGTTAGCAGCGATTGAACAGGTTCAGGATTAATTAGGTTCAGGATCAGGCACAGTCAGGCACGGTTGCAGTCACCCACCCTACCACCCACTTGTTGCTATTACAATCGTTCCCAGTTGTCAGGATCACCCTATTTCTTCCTAACTTATCCTGTTGGCCTTTGATTAAACTGGCTAGCTTTTAGTTAATCAGGGTTGATCGGGATCAGGTTAATCAGTAGTTGATCAGGATCAACAGGAAACGAAAGCCACCGCACCTATTGCTATTAGGAGTTCAATTACTCCTTGCGGATCAATTGAACTAGGGAGGCTATAGTAGTACGGTGGATCTAGGCCACGTAGCCTTTTCGATGTATATTTATATAGGTCGCGTACTTATATTTTCATTAGTTAAACTTAGACCTATAGACATCAGGACCTATAGCCATTTACTCGTTTCCTACCATGCCTTTTTAGCTATCCTCCTTTGCCCTTTTCCAGTCCCCTTTCCCAGCTACCGTTTCAGCTAGCCGATCAACCGATTACAGCTATTTACAGCTATAATCTTAGTTAATCGGCACTAGGCCAGTTGTTAGCAGTTGGGTAGCCGTTTCGTGCCTCCATTACAGCGTGCCTACGCTGCTCCTGTTCAGTATATATTCTAACGCTTTAATAGGAAGAAATTAATTTTAATTTCTTTAGTATATAATCGACGATGGAATCTTCGCATATTACTTAGACCTATAATCGATTTTAAATTAATTAAGAATTAATCTTTCATAGCTTAGGAGTAATACCTATTCTTCTTCTATAGCGTTCTTATATATTCCGAATTTAATTTCTTATAGCTTTTATAATTTTAAATTAATTCTAGATTCATTATTAAGGTTCGTAATAATATTATTATTCTAAGATAGGTCTAATTCGAAGTTAAGGCTTGGATTCATATCTATATTAGAATTAAATGCGAAATCCATATCTAATTAATTAGAAATTAATCCTTAAATATAGATATAAAGAAGGATAAAATATAATACGTTAAGCATTATATGTCTAACCGATTTTAAATCGGTTACTAATCGATTAGCGATTAAAATTAATATATAGATAGGTAATTCGAACTTTCGTAGAAGTTTTAATTTTAAAAAGTTTAAAATTAGAAAGTCTATGGGATATACGAAGAGATATACCCGTAGATCTATCTTATTTAGTTAATAGGGAAAAAGCTCGGCTAAATCGCCTAATCCGGTTAGAGGTTGGGGTAAGGTACAGGGGACTAGTTAGGCTGATCTGAGACCTCATTTGCTTACGTACTAGCGCGGTCTCACCCATGCCGATGTGCATAGGGCATGTACCGGGCGGTACTCGCAATCTCCGCGGCTGTACATCGGAGGGCTTTTTATACGTGCCCGCCTAAGATTCCTTCGCCCATCAAACAAGTAGGTACCTGCCTATCCTACCCTATCCTATAACAGGTACCTCCTAACCTAGGTAGGTACTTACCTACCTACCTGTTATATCGAGCACTGGATGCACCTCATGTAGGCCGGATGGGTACCTCCATACTATGGTGTGCGCGCTCAGTGCTACGGTGCTACGGTGCTATGTAGCAGCAGTAGGGGAGGGTAGGGCTGGGCAGTCCACCGTACCTGGCCGGTACCTGGGCTCATGCAAGGTACCGGTGATGCGACAGCCAAAGCGAGCCAATGATGGGACGGCGTCAGCGCAAGCCGACCCCAAAGAGGTTAAGGCCCCAGTCCGATCACCCACCCCCATTTTAGCGTCAGGTCCGGCTCAAGGCGATCGCAACTCCCGGGCCACTCGTCGCCATCCATCTCGCACCTTTTCATCCCAACCCATCCGTCCCATCCCGTCCCCTGGCCCAACACACCACCATCACCACAACCACTGCCGCCACCACTTACTAGTCTCCGACTGGTGCTGCTAACGCTGCTGCTAACATCTTTGTCCTTCCTCGCCTATCCCTCTCGAACGAAACGAAGGGGGACGGGGGGGGGAGAAAGAAGGAGAGGAGAGACCAAGGAGAGAAGAAAGAAAGAGATGAGCAAAGGAAGAAAGACGCACCACGCGTCCAGAATGCTGACAGCGCCGCCGCCGTGGTCTCGATGTCGATGTCTTAGTTGTCCCACGTTGCCCGTCCGCCCGTGCTGCTTCTCCTGACACGCAACATCACACAAAGACTGAACGAGGATGTCTTTCTCCCGTCGCTTTCTCCCACTCTCTCCTCGATCCACACCACCACGCTTTCTGCTCTCGACGCTCGCCCTCTAACAATCTCTACCCAACCGGTTTCCGTTAGCTAATAGCAACCGGTCTCGCCTTTTTCCTTTTTCTTTATTTGCTGGTCCGCGGCAAAGCGGAGTTGGCTTACCCCCTGCGCTGTCGCCGGCAGTGCTACCCGAGCTGAGCAGCCCGTGGCTGCTCAGGTCTGCCTAGTTGGTGTCTCCTCGACGTGGACACAGTCCAAATTCCGGGGCGCGCTGCCGCCAGAGCATGTGTGTGGTATGGCAAAGAGGTCACTGTGAAGCCTAATGGCAATCTGGAATGATATTCGCCGCCCCTACTTCGTCTTGTTGCCCCGGCCCCCGACAAGATTCCACATGTCAGAAGTGAGTCGGTGTCTAACCAGACGGCTCGGTGCAGTGGCGCCCTCTCTCCCCTGCGTTGCCCGTCACGTTGGGTAGACGGCTCGAGCGCTGCGCCCACCCGACCACTTCCCGCCCTCTCTCTATCGGCACTCGAGCTTGCCTCTACTACTACCGCCAGCGGTGACGTTGCCCTCGGCTCCGTGCGTCGGGAGTGTCAGTAATCTATCCATTTATCTATTTATCCCCCGCAATTGTAACCTCAGATTCGAGACGGTCGACTTCATCTCTGAAGAGGCGCGCAGGATGGGGAGACGAACCTATGGATGCAGGGCCTCGTATTCCGAAAGGGTCTTCTTGCTTCGTCATACGCGCTGCTACTGCTGTAGTACCCACCGCCTAGAGGTAATATTCGGCGCAATCCGGTGAAATAGCCTACTAGGCTCGCTGCTCACATGTTGGCTCTCGTCTCGGATTTAGAGCGTCTGTGGCGTCCGTTTCCCTAGTGTTGCCTCACTGTCCACCGCAAAAAAGACAGCCGATGGGACGGCACGGATGTCGAGTTGTCCACGGGAGGAATCTTGAGCGTGCATTTTCCCGGATGGTGCCCGAGTACGGCAGCAGAGGTGACCACCCCCCGCCGGATTCTCGCGTTTCCCATTGGGCCGTCGAGCAGCAGCCTGTTTCCGTTATATGATCGCGAGCCGGCGTCTTATACTCGAGTTTATCCTCGATAACGCCCACGACGCGGCCGGGTATGGTGATAATATCATCGTCGCACCCTTCGAGGGAATCAGCGAGAAGACGTGCCGCAGCACTAGTAAGATGCTCCAGTCACCGCATGTTCGGCCTCCAACCAGCGCGCGGCGGGGGCAAACAAGCCTGGTCGATTAGGGCTTACTACCTGGCAATAGTACGCGCGTATACATGCAAGTCGATTAGTTCTCGCTGCCCGTCGAAGAGATGCTCCCCCAATCGTGATCGCGATCGTCACGATGAGAGACAACTTAGATGCCCTAACTCCCTTGCGCCCTCAACAAACGCAACGCGCAGTCGTTGTGATTCGTAGGCTTATAGGATGAGCTACGTAGTGCAGCCTGGGTGCCTTGCGCCGCCTCGCCCGCGGCCGGATACCGAGAGCCAACCACATCCGCACCTCCGTTCACGAGGGGCTACGTGTACGAAGCCACCCCTCTCGAGAGGACCCGATCGATGGAAAGGGGGTGTAAGTCCGTTCGTGCGTACGGGGTGTCTGGTCGAGAAGGAATATCGGAGATACGCACGACGTGCTCTCCCCTCCTACCCCATAGATACCTCGCATGTTCATTGACTATATCTGTTGACTGCGCTGGTGAGGAATACCTGTAGAAATCCCGCTGGCATCTACGTCTGCACAGTCAGAACTTAGTTGGGTATGCGCCGCGTAATGCGTGTATTATGCTTACGCAGTAAGACGGGATGGCACTGGTGATCTTGTGCTCATTCGTAGCGTAATTGCAGTTTACGCAAGAGAGGGGAATGGGATGCAATCATGGGCCTGCACTCAACGAGCGAGCCCTCTTCGTCACCAGCCATCGAAGGGGCGGACGTTTCATGGCTTGGTTTAGAGGTGGGTATGTATACTCTATGCGCCCCGGGAGAGCCCGACTACGGGTTAGTCTACGTCTTCTCGTCGACGCGTTGGTCATCGACCGGAGCTGGACTGTAAAGTGGTGTCTCTTTCTCTCCCTCTCCTCCCCTTCTCTGTTTCTGATCCCCTCCTCGTACCCGGCCCTCCACCCCCCTTCTCATTCTCCTTTCTCCTTCCCGGCCCTCTTGCCTCTGCGACCCACCCCCAAATCCCAAATGCCCGCGGCGTCAGACCAAGGCATCTCACCGCGCCCGGAATGTATATAGGAATAGGCCGTCGCGGGAGAACGCGGCGCGCTCAGCATCGGGTGGTTCTTCAACCCGGAAGAGCTTGCGCGCGCGCGCGAGGAAGCGCAGGTCGGCGCGGCGCCGCTTTTTGAAGCAGAAGTAGACGACGACCCCCTCTCCGTCTGCGTTTGCTCTCTCCTCTTCTCCTGCCTTTACCGCTTTTCCGCCTTGCTTCTCGTTGTCCCCCGCGCCTTCTGGGCTCCCTGCGCCTGCTTCCCCGCTAGAAAACGGAGACGACGGAGAACGGCGGGACGGTCGTAGCTGCAAAAGGTCCGACAGCGTGGCTAGGAGCAGCGGGAACGCCGGCTCGAAGTACACGCAGTCGGCGGCTAGGACGACGTCCGGTGGAGAGGCGCGGATCGCGGGCGGGAGGGGCTCGCCCCTAGAGGATAGATGAGCGACGGAGTAAGTGGGTGAGCGAGTAGGTGGGTATAAGTGCGAGGGAACAGGACAGGGTAGGTTGCGTAGAAGTATGGATATATGCTACGTAGTAGGACGAGGTATAGAGGCATGACAGGCCAGCCAACCAGACAGCCCTCTATCTACAGCCACACGTAGCCCATAGTATCCTTGTGTAAAAAGGGGAAGAAGCATTACTGTTAGGACCTATGCGCCGGAACAAGGGCCAGTAGAGAGGTGCCAGCATATAGAAAACAAGCGAGAAGAATAAACACGGACCAAAAAAAGGGAGAGCAAGACCAACCAGTTCAAGACAGCAGCCTCGACCCGCCCTGCGAGCCCGTTCAGCTCGATATTGTGCTCCATGAGCGCGCGCATCTCCTCCTGGTCGGTGATGCGCAGCGGGTGCGGCCCGACGGCGCACCCGGTGGCGACCGCGAGCCCGACGAGCCCGCCGCCGGCCCCGAGCTCGAGTCTGGAATTTTTGCCGGCTCGCGTCAGCAGGGAGTTGCATACTCAGTCGAGCCGCCGGCCGGCGACGTAGTTCCTATTACTATTTTTGTTGTTGGGGGCGGGGGGGCGGAGCGGGCAAATGAAAAAAAAAAAGACGACGAAGAGGGGCAGCAGGACTCACATGCGCGCGCCGGCGAGGTCGTGCCGGTGGTAGCGCAGCAGGTGGCGCGCGAGCGCGACGCCGGCCGGCCACGCCTGGCCGCCGCACCCGGACGCGAGGTCCTCGCGCAGCCGCAGGCGCACGGCGGGGGATCCCGCCCCCGCCAGCTCCACCGTCGTCGTCCGCGCCGCCTGGTACGCCGGCAGCGGCGCCAGGTCCGCGCCGATCGCCAGCGGCGAGAAGTCCGGCGACGGCGAGCGCTCCCGCGGCGGGGCCGCCGCCGTGCCGAGAGACGCCGGCATGGGGCGCGTCTGCTCGGCCTGTGTTCTGCTGCTGCTGCTGCTTCTTCTCTGTCTGTCTGCGTACTGCGTTCCGCACCCGAGATGCCTCGGGGGGAAGGGTGGATGCTGCGCCGGAGCGAGAAGGCGTGCCTCGCTACTCGCTCAAGCCTAGTCGTAAGGAAACTGCTGGCGCTCCTCGAGGGGCCGCAGGTTGCAGGGCTGTGTGTTCTCGCGAGAGGCACATGCACGCGTGCGAATCGGCGACGGGCAGGAGACGGAGATGGAGCCGCCCCTCGTCGTCGCCTTATCGGGATGCAGTCACACGGCCAATCCGAGTCCGCACTACGACGCTTAGCTGCATATCGGATTTCTACTGGCTGCATACCCTTAAGATCTCTATATGTGCCTATCGGAGCATAATTCTCCCCCGTGTCTTCCTTAGCACATTTATGATTGCGGCGGTTGACAGCGATCTACTTGCGCCTTTACTACGGCTACAGAGAGCCTCGGAGTTTCCCTAGAAATGAAGAGAGACACAGAGAGAGAGAGATGTGGCTGGTACGAGCGAGTGGGCGACGCCGAGATGTGCTGATCGACACCCACCACCCATTTGCGCGTCCAATGTCTCTGTTTCCCTCGCCTCCTCTATAAGCAGCCACCAGGCACCGCAAGCCTCCCCCTTTCTCCCTGCCTAGCCACCGACGCGAGGAGAGCGGTTGTGTTCGTCGCGCGCAGACGTGACGGAACCCTGCCGCTCACGATAACGGGCCGAGCGGGAGACGGATGGGGGAGTCGAGGTATTAGATCTATGAATTTGAGAAGTAAAAAGGATTTGCATCATCTGGGGGCCTTGCGAAGGGCGTCTCTCACGACGCCGTCTGTAATATAATTTACGTATGTAGGTGCTCGTTCCTGGCGTACATGTTGGCGCCGGCACCGACATTCTAACCCTAAGCAAGCACCCCGCCGAACCACCGTAGAAGGAGAAGTAGAAACGCCGGCGTTATCGTCGTTCCGCCTCGCGACAGTCAAGGGTGTGTTTCCGGACGAAGCGTCCGCCAGGTTCCTGTCCCCCACATGCTCGACCACATGCGAGAAGCGAGCGGCCTAGAGGACTGTTTCATTGCGGCAGGAGTAGCTCGCGCCGCGCTGCGAGCGGCGGCTGAGGGAAACAGCCTGGGCTTAAACGTGCCGGCGGCATACCGCGCAGGCTGGTCTCGCAGGTGAGCCAGCGAGCCTGCGTGTCTCGAAGCCAGAACCGACACCCACCACCCTCTCTTATCTCTCTCTCTCTCCGCGACCGCCCGTCAACGACAACGACGACGGGCGTCGCCCCACCCAACCACTTTACCTCGCCCGTTTCTCTTATGGGTTGCATCGGAGGCGTTTCGTAGGGTACTACCGAAGCTCGTCGACGCCCACCATGATACATGTGGTTTCAAGCGGCCCCACGATGCGATGCGCGTGTCCGAGACCGATGCCTAAGCCAGGTGCGGGTAAGAAAGAAAAGGAGAAAAAAAGAATAGGTAGCTCTCGTTTCGGGCGGAGAGAGATAGATCTATCGGGTTAGATATCTCGGGTCTATCGCCTTGCCATATTTTCTCGCAGTGCGTCCCCGTCTCCCGTCAGGTTAAAACATTGGACGGCCATGCCAACATCACTTCTTGTAACCAGCTTTATCTGTCAAGGGGAACAGAGACCTCTTAAATAAAATGCTTCAAATATCTGACGTCGCTCCCTGGAACAAGCCCAAAGGCTCTCTCACCCGCTCGACTGGTTCGTTTCAGCTTCGCGACAAATAACTCGGCGGGTAGCTTGCCTACTACCGAGTACCAAGGAGGAGAGGGAAAGGAAGATGGGGAAAGGAGGGAGAGGGAGGGAGAGAGAGAAGCGGTGGAATGCGATCGGCCACCAGCCGAGGGAAAACGATATCAGCGTGTGGCTGAGACATTCGAATTCCACCAGCCTTACGTGACAAGTCCACGGTAGACTGTGTGCCCCTGGTGCTAAGTAGGAGGGCGGGAGAGGGGTGAAAAGGGGCTTCGAAGTAGAGAGGAACCGGTCGGCCATGAGACAGCCCTCCAAGCCCCCGCCCTCGTCATTATTGAATCCACGCGCTTGGTGATGCCTCCGCCAACCTTCCACCGAAGGGCGGGAGAGGGCGGGACAGGGCGGGAGGCGTGATGCCAGCGCAAGGGAGCGACGAACCGCTCTCGATATCTTCGCTGAAGAAGAGGTTGGTGGCCTCGTCGTTGCCTCCTATCGACGGTGCTGGTGCTCTCTCTCTCTCTCTTACTCTCTCTCCCAGTTCTATCGCCACTCTCCCTCTACTCTCCCCATCTCCCAGCCACCTCGCCCTCACGACGACACGCAACCTCACCATGTGATACTCGACCACGGAGCCTACATCGATATCCTCTCTACCTACACCTCTTTGCGCGCGAGCCTTCAGCTTCCCTCCTCACTGCTCCGAGCAGTTAATGCCTCCTCTCATGCTAGCGACATTACCAGCTATAAATAATAATCTTAATATATCACCATGGTTGCGAGGTGGAATAAGGGCACTCTCGCTGTGGGTGCTATGGCAGCGGCGACGTTCGCGAGCGCCGCCCCTCTTGATTACTTTCCAATCAACTCCCAATTACCGCCTGTGGCACGGATATCCGAGGCCTTCTCTTTCACCTTTTCCCCCTTAACCTTCTACTCGCCTTCAAATATCACGTACCGGCTCGCCAACGCACCGGGATGGCTCTCTATCGATAGCTCCTCGCGTCGGCTGTTCGGCACACCAGGCGACGACGGCGTGCCGCCGGGCGAGGTCGTTGGAATTCCCATAGAATTAGTCGCTGAGGACGAGACGGGTTCCACAACGACCAATCCGGTTTTGGTTGTGTCTAGAAACCCTCCGCCTACCGTCTCCGTGCCAGTCTCCGAGCAGCTCCCCAAGTTTGGGCCGTACACGGCCCCCGATTCCGTGTTGCTGCACCCTTCGAAGCCGTTCTCTTTCCCTTTCGACAGAGACACTTTCCGCACGAAAAATAGGAACGGCGGACTCAGCTTTTACGCTGTGTCGGACAACAACGCTCCTCTGCCTTCGTGGATAAGCTTCGATGCAGATAGCCTCACCTTTTCTGGAGAAACGCCTCCGTTTGAATCTCTAGTCCAACCCCCGCAGACATTTGCCTTTCAACTGGTCGCATCGGACGTGGTGGGGTTTGCCTCCGCCTCGGTATCATTCTCGATCGTGGTCGGGAACCACGAGCTAACCGCTAAGCCGCCGGTGGTCAAGCTAAACGCGACGCGGGGAGAGCTCTTTGAATACGAAGACCTGTCTGATGTACTTAAACTCGACAGAAGGCCCCTGAGACCGGAAGATGTGACGACGATCACCGCGCTGGATCTGCCTTCTTGGTTGTCTTTCGATAACGAGACTTGGAGCTTGAAGGGCACCCCCGGGCCGACGGCTGAGTCGTCCAACATCACCATTGTCGTTGTCGATAAGCATTCTGATACCCTAAACTTGACGCTCGAAGTCAGGTTTTCTTTATTTGTCTCCGAGTTGCCCGATCTGGACCTAGAGGCGGGGAGCGACTTTTCGTTCGATCTAAAGAGGTACCTGTCAAAGCCGTCGGAGGTTCAGGTTGAGGTAGAAAGCGAACAGAATATGCCATGGGCCAAATTCGATTCTGCGTCGATGATATTATCTGGGACTGTCCCGATGCCCCAGCTCGCGAAGTTCGCGACGTCGCTTAGCATCGTCTTCAACGTGACCTCCAAGAATACGGACGAAACAGAGGTGAAGGCTATGGAGGTCCACATCATCGCTCCATCTTCCACTAAGCCGTCTCGACCGACTGCCGAACCCGCAGATCCTGACGCCGATGCTGCGAGGAGAAATCTACTCTGGCTTCTCGTGATACCGTTCCTACTGATATGCATCGGCGTCGTATTGCTCGTGTTCTACGTCCGGAGACGGCGTCGCCAACCTGCGGGGATCGACATCCGGGAAGTGTCCGGGCCCGTACCGGGAAGCTTCGTGGCTAACCGTGCCGAGAGCCTTGCTAGGAGCTCCACTCGAGATCTAAGGAAGGTAGTGAATGTACGGCCACCTATCCCCTCCTTCGCTAGTAGGTCGGCGCAAAACAGCTACGAAGCTGCTGCTGCTTCTTCGGATCAACAGTCCTCTGGGAGTGAGTCGACGAGCCCGAGCTTGAGCGGCAACATAATGCCGCATGCTCTGGCAATGCACTCTGGAGCGGGGTCACCCAAGAATAGTGTTATCTTCGAGACGAGAAGCTCCTGGTCCGCGGGCCAACCTAGCAGGCCATCCCCCGGAGGTTCGGCCAGGACAGACGAGGCCAGCCTATTGTCAGACACTAGTCTCGGGGAAGGGGAGGTGTATATCGCAGAAGCACACTTATCTACTATCCAAAGACATCGGGTCGAAGCATTCCGAGGGCTTGAGGTTCCGCGGGTTTCGGGGCCCTTCAGCATCCAAACCACGCCCGAGACGGCTTACACACCCAAGAGAAACGACCACGTGTTAGCCAGCGCGACGCCGCCAGCAGTAGGTTATGCCGCACAGCGGGGGTCAGCTCAGCAGCAATCTGGTCTCGGCCTCCGCGGCGTCGGTCAAAGGCTATCCCAGCTGTGGAAGGGGGACAGCTCGAGCCGGCGGTCCAAACATAGAGACCGGAGTAGTATCATGAGTTCCTCCACGGGGCAGACGACCCGCACAAGTATTCTAACATCCGGAATAGCGGAGGAGGAGGAGGAGGCTACAACGAGCGCCAATACGGTTGCGAGGCCGACTATAATACATATCCCTAGCAAGCCGGAGGAGGTACGGCAGATGAGCAGGAGAACTAACGAGTCCTCGCCTCTTTTTGGCGGGCGCTCGGTGACGAGATCGCCGCGGAACTTTGGGCTAGACAGTAGCCCATCACCACAATTTACTTTAGGGGAGAGCCCCGAGTTGCCGCCGAACACAGCGGGCCTCGTTATCCCTTGCAACAGGAACGATTCGTGGGGCCTTCTGGCGAGAAATTCCTTAGGGATCACCTATAAGGATCTTGCAACAACCCCTGGGCCAGGAGCAGTCTACCCAGAACCCGAATCACCGCCAGGTATAACTCGAGAAAACTGGATAGTTCATGGCGGAAACCAAGATGTCTTGTCACCGGGGCGATGGCTGCAGCCTAGCACACCTGCGAACATGGTGGGTATAGCCAAAACCTCACCCGCAAATACTTCTAGTGAGCTGCCACGGCTTCCACCCCCGACGGCATTTGCGATACCCAGGGGCGAAGGACAAGCGGCTCTGGAACGCCGGTCGTCACGGACTCCCAATTTCAGCCGACAGCCGTCGACGAGCTCGAGGTCTGATAGGTCTCACATCTCCCGAGAAGGCCGGCCATACCACAGCCGGGCACACAGGCAAAGAGTCCCAGACGAGATCCAAGTCCTAGTGTCGCGAACGCCGTCCGTGGAAAGCGCGGGGGCGCCGCCAACGCGGCCCTTGCCGGAGACGCCGACGCGAACTGGCAGGGCACCGTTAGGAGAGCTGCGCAACGAATCGTATCATCCTTCGGGGGCAGATGGACGGAGTTCCGGGGCCAGAGGGACGCCGTCTAGGAGCTGGCAGACAAGGAAAAGCGCCAAGAGTGCGAAAAGCGTGCAGAGTACGTGGGCGGACGGGGATGACGACGAAGATGCGTGGGAAGACGTGCGCCCACCAACGACACTGGACGGGTGGGACCGGGAGGATAGCGAGGGAAGTTTTGCCGTTTATATCTGATGTGTATTACGGAGCGGGAATATGATACCTGCCTACCGGCCTGCCGGCCTGCCTAGGCACCTAATTGCTATTATTAGTTAAAGACCACTTAAGGAATTGACGATAAGCATTCTGCTGAAGGCGTCGAGCGTTGATATATCGCCGTACGTCGGGTCTGCGATCTCTTGCTAACCGGCCCATTTATCATTCTGGCCATCTACGTAGGATGCTGGAAGGGTGAGAACATGAGGCTCGCGGGCGGGCGGAGGTTGCGCGTACGGGCATGCCGATAGCACGTATTTGCCCTAATCTAGTTAGAGGGTCTCTGCTCTCGAAGTCGTTTCGAGAAGTCTCGTATATAAGTACGACCTAGCCTGTTGAAACGGGCCGGGGGCTGGTGATGAAAGCTGTCTTCGGCGCGCCGGGGGAATCCGAGGCGCAACGACGGGAGCGTTCCTGCGGCCACCTGGAGCAAGTTGCCACTGGCGGGGTTTGATTTTATTTTATTTTATATAATTGCACCTATATAGCCAAGCGCTCGAGACCGACTTGACCGCAGGGCTAGACCCGTTAGAGTGGGATGCGTGTACGTAGGTATGAAGGTATGTAAATCATTCCTATGTATGCAGTTAGTAGCTGGTCGGACGTCGCAGGATCGAGAGCATGGATGGGCCTGACAGCTGCGACGGGGATGGAGACGACGGGGCGCGATGACAGTGTGACTGGGGCTGGCCAGCCTAGCAGATGCCCGGCAATCCCTGCATAGCTTCCGGCTGAGCGATTTGCGGTATGCCGCACGAGGCGGTGCACTGAGACCGGCCGGATACTCTGTCTTCGTATCTGAGGTGAGCGAGTCCCCCGGTTCTCGCCCTCTCGGTCAGGTATCGAAGGGTCTATTCCTGTTTTCTCGCCAACAGGGGTGTGGGATGGCGAGGGAGGGAGGGGGAGAGGAGAGTGAGGGAGGGAGAGAGGTGAGGGAAGGGAGACGGGGGAGATGCTATACACCTTGGACGGCAATAGGAGGTACCTAGGTACCTCTGACTGTCTCGAAAGAGGTACCTAAGGTACGTACCTACCTCTAATGTGGGGTGGGTACATTAGGCAGGCGCGTGCGTAGCCTGAGGTACCTGGATAGGTGCCTACCTGCACCTCCGAACCTAGGTACCTAGGTACCTAAGGAGAGGAGGTACCTAGGTATCTATGGGGGGACGTGGCCTCGATAAGAGATCAGGCGGGAATTCTTATCAGGTACCCGAGGTACCGTCTCACCACCCACTCGGCTCGGAATGGAAGCGCCCTTCCTCGACAGCACGCGACACGGTGTGCACTCGGCCAGAAAAGCTGCCCCGCGGCCTGCCGCTTCATAACTCCGATCGGATTACATACGCGAGGTATTAAGGTCCGGCCGTCTTGGTGCCAAGAAGAGCTCGGACACGCTCCCTAGGTTACCTGGCAGGCAGGCGGCTCTCTAGGTGCTTCTGTCGATGCCTTTTACTCGAGGCAGGTTGGTTCCCTTGGAGATGCGTAAAAACCACATGGGCTACCTACATGGGCGTGTGCCGATGCAGGTGGGTGGGTGAGTGGGTGCGGTAGGCAGAAAGGGTTGCGAGGTCGAGTCCAAGGGCGCACGCCGTGCATGATCCGCGGCCACCGTACGTAGGACTTTGGTCTGGTTCTCGGGGGTGGAATTTCCACCCTACGCCTACGCCTACGCCTACGCCTACGTACGTCGTGCCCTTATGTCGTATTCCCGATCTGCGATGCCAATTCCCTCGAGGTAAAGCCGCTTACATGGCTATGATGCCGGCGCTGCGTGGCGTAAAACCGACGTGGTAAGTAAGCTGCCGTCTTTGTTGTGTGTGTGTGTGTGACCAGGTAATCAATCTGGAAACGGACTGAGCAGGTACATACTAATTTGGTCACGAGATGCATGAAATTTTGATGAGATGTGAGTGAGAGGTACAACAGAGGTATACTGCCGTCTCAGACCGTCAGGGACCGACCATTTGGGGAGGACCCCCGCCAGTACCACCTAACGTAACCTATGAGGAATTACAAATGCAAACCCTCCGTGGGATCGTGGGAAGAGCACGGCGAGGGACAACTCGCTGGGAAATGTCTATATACCTGGTAGGCAGATATGTAGGTACCTGTGTAGGTTAACCTACCTACCTCTAGAGGTATGTGTGGGACGTAGGTACCCGGGTCCGTAGGGCACCGACTATAATACGTCCGGTGCTCTCAATTCCTAAGGTTCCTATCCTGTGCTGACCTTGTCCGCGCGCCGGATAGCGTCCGACGCGAGTCTGGACGGCGGATCATCGGAAATCCCGTTACTTACCTCTCTAGGGGAACGTTGCTCGGGCAGCTTGGGAGGTAGCCCGTCCGGCTGCTGCGCACCGTCCCTTGTCGTCGTCGGCCAGGGGCGCTGAACCAGGACCGGGCCGTCCGCCAGCTGCCGGCCACTCGGCCGCTTTCCTATTTTTCTCTCTTCTCGTTTTGGACGAAACGCAAAACCCCGCCTTGGACTCCGTCTCCCTGGGCTCTCTGCTCGACTACAACACACACATTACCCTCTACCTGAACAACCTGCCTATGAGTGTCTTTCGCCATCGGGAAATACCCCCCAACGCCCAAACCGCCGGCGCTGCTTGATTTCGCACACAATTCCTTCGCGTGACGCCGTGTGCCCGTTTCCCTTTCTTCCACTCCACATACATCATCCTCCCCCCCCCTCGTCTCCCCTCAAGGCCTCTCAGACACTCTCACCTTAGGTACCCGCGGCAGCTACCGCATTCGTCGATATACCCTTTTTTTCTCTTTCTCCCCCCTCCATCACGGTCATTGAAAATTTTGACCATCATCGAGTAGTTCGCGACTTTATCCTGCCTGCCCCTCCCCTCCGTACATGTTCATCCTCGTCGATAACAACGGTCTTGGCCTCTTCTGACCTCACGCGCTGCACCGCTGCACACTCTTTTCGCCATGGGTCAGACCCTCTCAGAGCCTGTCGTTGAGAAGGTATGGGTCGCATCTCTCTCCTCCGCCCTTTCAATTGCGGCGCCGCCATCCCTGCCTCACGACGCTGCCCGCCTCGCGCTCGTCCCGACAATCCGTCCAAATACCGCCGTCCCGTCTCCTGCCTCGTGCCTCGTGCCTCGTGTTCCCTTACATCGTCACGCATGCTTCCCGGCGCGCGGCTGAACGAACCTCTGCTGACTGGGGGCAACCTCTTCCTAGGCTTCCGACAAGGGCGAAGATGACCGGATGTTGTACGGCGTGTCGGCCATGCAGGGATGGCGTATCAGTATGGAGGATGCCCACTGCACTGTTCTCGATCTCCTGACCCCCCGGGGCGACGACAAGAAGTTTCACCCCTCGAGGTTATCTTTCTTTGGCGTCTTTGACGGCCACGGCGGAGACAAGGTAGCCCGGTTCGCCGGCAGCAACATCCATGACATTCTAAAGAATCAAGACACATTCAAGACCGGCCATTATGAGCAGTCCCTGAAGGACACCTTCCTCGCAACTGACCGTGCGATACTCAGTGGTAGGGACCGGCCACACGGGATAATTCTGCTGCATCCAGGTCTAACCCTCATCTAGACCCCCAATATGAAGAGGAGGTTTCTGGTTGCACCGCTTGCTGCGGGCTGATCACGGGCGAAAAGATATTTATTGTTTGTATCCCGCCGTCCCGCCGTCCCGTGTTCCGAAGCTGATTTGTCCGTGTACCAGGCCAACGCCGGCGACTCGCGGAGCGTCCTAGGCGTCAAGGGCCGAGCTAAGCCACTCTCCTTCGACCACAAGCCGCAGAACGAGGGTAAGGGCGCTCTACACGCCACTCTTCCTCCCCCCCTGCACCTCGCGGATGGCATGCACGGTTTGCTAACCCGCCTTCCCTTGTGCAGGCGAGAAGGCTCGGATTACTGCCGCAGGCGGTTTTGTCGACTTCGGTCGCGTTAACGGCAATCTTGCTTTGTCTCGAGCCATAGGAGACTTCGAGTTCAAGAAGAGCGCCGAGCTCGCGCCCGAACAGCAGATTGTTACCGCATACCCGGATGTGGTCATGCATGAACTCAGCGACGACGACGAATTCCTGGTCATCGCGTGTGACGGTACGGTTTCATCTCGTCGAGAACGTCCGGCTAGATCAAGGCTTGGATATGGCTGACTTTTTTTTTTCTGGTTTGCTCAGGTATCTGGGACTGCCAGTCTTCGCAAGCGGTCGTCGAATTTGTTCGACGTGGCATTGCCGCCAAGCAGGATTTGGACAAGATCTGCGAGAACATGATGGACAATTGCCTGGCCTCGAACTCCGAGACGGGCGGAGTCGGTTGTGACAACATGACGATGATTATTGTGGGGTTCCTAAGAGGCAGAAGTAAGGAGGAATGGTACGAGGAGGTTGCCAGCCGCGTGGCGAAAGGCGACGGCCCTTGTGCCCCTCCAGAATACGGTATGCCTTCTTAGAGAGAGAGAGAGAGAGCTCGAAGGTGTCTAGAAAAGACTGACCTTGCGACTCAGCTGAATTCCGTGGACCTGGTGTACATCACAATTTCGACGATAGTGACAGTGGATTTGACGTTGACGTGGACAACAAGCCCAAGGCCTTCGGGATCAGTGGGTTCAAGGGTCACATAATCTATCTAGGGGACGGTACCGAAGTTCTCACCGACTCGGACGAGACAGAGATGTTTGACAACGCAGAAGAGGACAAGGACTTGGCAAGCCAAGTGTCAAAGAACTCGTCCACGGAGGAGGACGCCGAAGTTAATCGACCACCACCTAAAGCTCCGTCGCCGCCGCCGCGCGCATCGCAGAACGCGGAAGGGAAGTCCCAGGCTAAGACGATCGAATCGAACTCGCAAGGCTTCGCCCCGTCTACGGCAGACACAACCGCGGAGGCCTCCCAAAAAGAGGAGGAACCCAAGTTAGCGAAACCGGACGCTGCCGTGATATCTAAAAATTGACCGGTAGGCGTGGAACGGCGAAGCAGGATAGTGCTGCAACTATACGGTTGGATGTCTCCACCCTCCGGATCGGTTAGGACTTGAAAAAAAAAACCAGCGCGTCCTCGGAATGGTCGGGGGCTTCTCGTGGCAGAGTAACGGAAGGGTCTTGTTTATCGGGAACGTTCGGGATTGCCGGGGGGGAGGGGGGTGCCTCGGGGCAGATACTTGGACGGATGCTCTCCCTGACGACTAGGGAGATTGACGTAGCAGGCTTGAGCGAGACACGCGATATGACTGACGAGCGAGTGCGCTATGGCTCATCGAAGCCTCGTGACGGGAAGCTTGGAGAGGGAGTTTTGATGAGCCGCTCGCATTGCGGCTCTGTTGCAGGTGTCGGGAAAATCCCGCTGCAGGGGTTGTTCTGTATGCTGCCGTATGAGGTGCGCAAACACGCACGTAGGGATTCCGTAGGTAGTTTTCTTTGGAGTGCAGAGGTTGCTAGCATCTTTGACGAAAAAATCATTAGCGACAAAGGGACGGCCTTCCTGTATGTCGGGAATAGGGGAGGCCATCGCCTCCTTTCCTCTCCCCTTAGGTACCTTTACCTACCTATACTCATACTTTATCCAACCTCCTCCGGCGGCCTGTATGCGCCTTGTAACAGGTAGGCCAGTACCTAAGGCAAGGACTCGATGTACCTAACTGAGGTAAGTTTGGTACCTAGACGCCTCAACTCATGCTAGGTACCTCTCTCTTAGAGACCTTGGCTCAAGGTGGTCCCACTTTGGTGAGCCGTGCCCCTCGTTTTATATCGATCCAATTTAGATGAGCACACGAATCTATGAGTATGGGAGCGAATGATAGCTGAGATCGGAACAACGGTGGCCGATCTGCCGACCGTCGCAGTCCCGCGGGGTGCTAACTAGGTATACCTAGGTGCAGGCAAGGAGGTTTCCACTTCTAATCATAGAGCCCTTTTTTTTTTCTTTTTTCTTCTTCTCTTCCCGTTAATGCAGGAGGTAGTTACAACGTTCGCCCGTTTACGTCCGCCTGGCAATTATTGTATATGCGCCTTCTTGGTGGGATGAGGCCCGTAATCGGCGGGAGATATCGCATTTCCAGCTCATGTCCCTGGGGATCCATTCGTTCTGGAGGGCTCGAAGACGCGTGACTGGCGTCTTAGGGCTCCTCGGGATTCCCAGGGGGCAACCCACCCCGTCGTCTCCATTCTGGTCGAACTCGCAGTTGAGCTCGCAACGATGGCTCTCGGCTGCCCCCCCCGACACGACGCCGCCGGAGAGCGCGAACGCCCAGGATCTGAATAAGCCAGACTTGACAGTCAGGTCGGAGTCTTGGCAGATCAGGGCCATCCTTAGACGAGTGATCACGATGCGAGCCGACTCGGAACCCGCGATACCGGCACTCGTAAAGCGGCCAGTCACATCCTCGAGCAGGTATAAATCTCGCCGTGGCTTGCGCAAGCAGAGGAAAAGCGCGGCCAAGCAGCATTTGAACGACCAGGCAAGTGTCATTGCTTCGAAACCGGACACCTCCATAGAATCGACGGCCAAGTTCATGCTGCACTACACGCACAAGTATGGAGATATGCTGAGTTTCCAAATTATCATAGGGAGAGGGGTAGCTGCTGAAGCGCGCGAGCTGTTGTCAGGCACGGATATGCACCTCTCTCGGATAAGGCAAAAGAATGGCAGCAGGATCTGGATCGACAAAGCCTGCCAGCTAGGCGACGCCGAGTTGGTTCTCAACTTATCCGGCCCCGAAACCGCGGTTCGGAATTCCTTGGTGGACGTCGTTAACGTGGTGGGGAAGATCACCGCCGTGAGGCTTCCCAGTCCTACCTGGAAGATGTTGCTGGAGGGTGCATGGCACAAGATGACCCCAACCCGACCCGAAGTCCGATTCCTCGACAGCGGAGAGGCATTGGATGACGAGGTACCGGATGACAAGACATTGATCGTGCAAGCTTGGGGAGGCGACGGCAAGAAGTTCAAGGAGTACTGGCTGACCGTGCGCGCCGAAGAGATCCCCCGACCAGCGGAATGGACCAAAGAGTCTTTCGAGAGATATGTTGCGGCCCTGGTCTATAGCCGGGTCCAACCTCATCGGGCGAACGTGATATATCCGAAACCCCCAGGCCACCGGGAAACTGTGATCTCTATGCTTGTCGGCCTGTTCGCCTCGACACATGTCAGGTCGGTGGTGTCGGCATCGGCATTGAAGATGGCTCTCACCTACATGCAGTCGAGCGGTCGCGGCTTTCGCCAGGCTGCGCAAAAGATCTTCAACCAGGCAGAATTGTTCGGCTACCCCATGGACACGGACCTGTTCCATATATTTCTGGTTGGCGCATCCAAAGACGGGGATTTGTACGGGTTCAACAGCATACTCAGGATGATGGTTCGGAAGCACCACCGTCCGCAGAGCAGCGCCTGGACGGCGCTCATGGAGATGGTGCAAGACGTGACAGCCCAGCGCTGGATCGTGGCCAGCCTGAGGCGTAGCGGGCTCAACCGCAACCCGTCGGTACTTCGCGTGGTGGGCAGGAAGATGGCGGTAGCCAATCTCATCGCCAAACCTTTGGATAAGCTTAAAATCGAGGAGTACGTGCACCAGCAGGACAAAAAATACGGGGTGGGCTGGCTGGACACGGTCACGCTCGACATGATGTTGGATGTGCTCGGGGCGCAAGGCAGACGGGACATGTGCAACGCCTTGCTGGATCTCGTCTCCGCCAGCGACGTTACCACGCCTAGTCCTATTACGCTCAATACGATGCTCACGCACTCGCGGAGGTTGCCGGATATGCTGGCGATACTGCGGTCGATGCCGGTGCGGTGGCCTAGGCGCGTAGGACCTACCCCGGACACTTACCACCTGCTGTACCGAGCGGCGTGGACGAGGTGCTGCCCCAACATGCTTCGAGTAACGTGGCGGTACGCGGCGTCGGCGAAAATGACGACGCCCAAGATGCGGTATGCGCTGACGCGACTCCTTCGCCAGGAACACGGCCTATCGAAGCGGCGCAGCTTCCTGAAGACTTGGGAAGACGTAATATTCGGGCGGGCGGAACTAGAAGAGCTGCGGGCGCTACACGGCGACAAGCTCAGGGCGGGGCACGTGTTGGCTAGATACGCGGAGCAGGACGAGGAGATGCAGCCCGAGGTCGATTTTGCAACCAAACTGGGGGAGGCGGAGCTGATGGACAGGAAGATACACCGACTGACGAAGGAGGGGGTGGTGCTGACGGTGGCGATGCGGAACGAGCACACGGTGGACATACCACTCAGACCGAGGGACTGGCTGGAGGAGCGCGCACCGTCATTTTACGTGGAAGAATGGATGATGAAGCACGGATGAACTACTACCATAGAAGCTACCTACCGACCTACCTACCGACCTACCTACCTACCTTAGGTACCTACCTATGCTGTAGCGGTACGAGGCGGGTGCCTATGCCTACAGCATTCGGGGGCCACGTGTACATTATAATTCTTGTACCAGTTGGCTGTACCTACTATTAGGATGTTTGGATATACCTATGGCGACGGAAAGCAGAAGGGAAAAGAGGGGAGGGGGAAAAGGGGGGGGGGAAGGCGAACAATAAATAGATGAAAGGTTCTTCGCTCCGACGCGATGCCGGCCACGGCACGGCGTGACGGAGTGCCGAGCGAGGGTGTCTCCTGGGACGGGATAGTCAGCACCAGGTAATACTTATACAAGGCGTATAGGGTTGTTGCTGGGCTCGTTATCTGGGAGTCCCCGAGGTCCGGTGCTCCTGGACCTGGCCAGACCTGTTACGGCAGGTACCTGGGTAAGTAAGAGGTACCTAAGGTAGGTAGGTAGGTACCTAGGGGTAGGTATCTAAGGTGCCTACAAATACCCAAGGTACCTTACCTACCAATCAAAGTACCTACACCCACCTAACAGGTGCCTAACCCGTCTTCCGCTATCAAAGCCATCAATAGCCGCGAGGGCATCTGAGCCCCGTCTCGATCTCGGCTCTGCTCCAGCGGGAAGAATAGAGTAGCCAGAAGAGGAGACGTAGGTAGCCATGCCAGGCACACACACACACATCTACCTCCTTACAGGTGCCCTTCGGTACATTCCCCTCCGCGGTGCTCTAGGGCGTAGCACATGTACTTACTTAGGGAGGGGGCTCCGTCGATATTGACCACTCACTCTCTCTCTCTCTCTCTCTCCAAGACTTGGGAAGCTCGCAATATCTCGCCTTCCATTCGCCGGCCGCGCCCGCTGCCAGATGCCCCGCACTGCTCTCACACGATCTCCTCGGCCACTCTCGCGTCTCCCACTCGCAAACCGCCCGACACTCTCGTTATCTTACGCTTCGACTATAAGGTCAGCTCTTCCTCGTCCTCGCTACCGCCATCTTCCCCCCTCCCACCCTTCTTCCCCTCTCCCCCATCACCGCAACAACGACGCCAAGACTACCCCCACCACCAACAACAACAACATCATCAGGACGACGACGACGACGACGACACACCTGGCTAGCAGCAGTGGCAGTACCAGCACCACAAGGTCCTATCTCACCCCTGCCCTCCGCGCCCACCAGTCTCGCAAGATGGCCCCCCAGCTCGACAGCTACTTCGCCCAAGTCGACGAGCTCTCGTCGCACTTCATCGACCGCCTCCGCAAGGCCGTCGCCATCCCCTCCATCTCCGCCGACGCCTCCCGCCGCCCCGACGTCGTCCGCATGGGTCAGTTCCTGGCCGCCGAGCTCGAGGCCCTCGGCGCCGTCGTCGAGCTGCGGCCCCTCGGCAAGCAGCCCGACAAGCCCGACCTAGACCTGCCCCCCGTCGTGCTCGCCCGCTACGGCGCCGACAAGACGAAGCGCACCATCCTCGTCTACGGCCACTACGACGTCCAGCCGGCCGACAAGAGCGACGGCTGGGCCACCGAGCCCTTCACCCTGACCGTCGGCGACGACGGCCGCATGTTCGGCCGCGGCAGCACCGACGACAAGGGCCCCGTCCTCGGCTGGCTCAACGCCATCGAGGCCCACCAGAAGGCTGGCGTCGACTTCCCCGTCAACCTGCTCATGTGCTTCGAGGGCATGGAGGAGTACGGGTCCGAGGGGCTCGACGAGCTCATCGAGAAGGAGGGCAAGGGCTACTTCGCCGACGCCGAGGCCGTCTGCATCAGCGACAACTACTGGCTCGGCACCGAGAAGCCCTGCCTCACCTACGGCCTGCGCGGCTGCAACTACTACAGCGTCGAGATCTCGGGGCCCGGCGCCGACCTGCACAGCGGCGTCTTCGGCGGCACCGCCCAGGAGCCCATGACCGACCTCGTGCGCGTGCTCGGCGGCCTCGTCGACACCGACGGCAAGATCCTGATCCCGGGCATCATGGACCAGGTGGCGCCGGTGACGGCCGACGAGGAGACGCTGTACGACGGCATCGCCTTCACCATGGAGACGCTGCACGACGCCCTGGGCTCCAAGACGACCATCTTCGAGGACAAGAAGCCGACGCTGATGGCGCGGTGGCGGTACCCGTCGCTGTCCGTGCACGGCATCGAGGGCGCCTTCGCCGGGCCCGGCGCCAAGACGGTCATCCCGGCCAAGGTCACGGGCAAGTTCTCGATCCGCACCGTGCCCGACATGGAGATCGAGCGCACCAACGAGCTCGTCTACCGGCACGTCCGCGACGCCTTCGCCAAGCTCGGCAGCAAGAACACCCTCAAGGTGTACGCCCAGCACACCGGCAAGTGGTGGGTCGCGAGCCCGAACCACTGGAACTTCCGCGCCGCCGGCAAGGCCGTCGAGCGCGTCTGGGGGGTCAAGCCAGACTTTACGCGCGAGGGTGGAAGGTGAGTGCTCTCTCTCTCTCTCTCTCTCTCTCTCTCTCTCTCTCTCTCTCTCTCTCTCTCCTTCCCCCCCCTCTCACCCCTTTCCAGCAAAGTAACCATGGCCGTTCGCACGAGTGTCCACGGCTGACAGCCCGCGTAACAGCATCCCCGTTACCCTCACGTTCGAGCAGGCGACGGGCAAGAACGTGCTGCTGCTGCCGATGGGCAGCTCGACCGACGGCGCCCACTCGATCAACGAGAAGCTCGACCGCCGCAACTACATCGAGGGTATCAAGCTGCTGGGCGCCTACCTGCACTACGTCGCGGAGGAGCCGCAGGAATAAAGGCTCGGTTGGGTTAGCTACCTACCTAGGTGCGTACGACGGCTAAGGGGGGCAGAAGCTACGTGGTAGGCTACCAGGCGTTACGGCGAGGGGAAGTAAAGGGGCCCGAGGGAGGTCGGCAGGCAAGTGAAGGTGACCGCCGCGGCGCTTGCGGGGTTGCAGGTAGGTAGACATTGTACCTATCGGTGTATGCCCGACGGCGACGAGCCGCGGCTCGTGTACAAATGAACCAACCGAATGAAGAAAAATAAAAAGAAAGCCCGGACGTGAAATGTACGCAACGACTCCCTTTTCTCCTCGTGTGTCTGATTTTCCTCGTGCTCTCCCTCCCCCCGGCACAGTGGTTAGGTTTCATATGAAGACTTGCTGCTGCTGTATTAGGTATTGTATTTGCGCAGGACAGGTCTCGCGCTATGCTCTCGCCGCCGACCCGCCTCTTCCCGCTCACCCTGCGTTCTCCGCGAGGTGCTCTGCATCACCTAGGTATATGGCGGTGCGCCCCCTATTAGCACGGGCATACGCACGCGTCCCGCCCGTGTCCCGCAACCCAATCTCCCTCCACCAAGCCCGGCTCCATCCGAGTCCGCGCCGCCCGTCGGCGTTATTACTACGCTGGGCGGCGCTTCTTTCTTTCCTTCTTTCTTTCTTCCCGTCCCTTATTAACCCTCGCCACCCCCGTATTAACGTCCTTCCCAGTACTTACACGTACGCACACCCATCCATCCACATCCCCACCCCCTACTCCTCCTCCTCCTCCTCCTCAACGCCCTCGCCCGCCGGGCCCAGCGCGTACGGCAGCTCGCGCGGGCGCCCCCACACGTCGCAGGGCAGGAAGCGCCAGGCGCCGGCGTGCCGGGGCGCGAGGCGGTCGGCGACGGCATGCAGCGCGGGGACCGAGAAGTGGGGCCACTCGCTGGCACCGGCGGCGGCAGGCACACGCCGTGCGCGGTGGTGCAGGTGCGCGACCAGCGGCGCGGCGGCGTACGGGTCGGCGGCGGGCGCGGCGGCGGCGGCCAGCCCGCGGTAGATGCGCGCGAGGTCGGCGGCGGTGGCGGGGCGCGCGGCGCGGGGGCGCCGGGTGCTGCCGCGCACGGAGCCCGTGGGCGACGACGAGGGCGACTGCGGCGGCGAGCACGGCGCTGCCTCCCCGCCGCCGCCGCCGCTGCTGCTGCTGCCGCGCGCCAGCGCCGCGACCTGGGCGTGCAGCCGCGGGACGAGGACGCGGGCGAGCGCGGCGAGGCGGCGGCGCAGGGCGCGGGGGTCGTAGGACGCGGGGCGCGCGCGCAGGGCGGCGGCGTCGGCGAGCAGGAGGTCGAGGCGCGCGGCGACGGGGTCCGCGGCGGGCGGGGCGGGGCAGCACCCCGCCGCCAGCGCGCCCGGCGCGGCGCCCAGCGCGGCCTCGAGCGCCGGCACCGCCTTCTCGCGGACCAGCACGTGGTGCGCGCGGACCCAGGACGCCCAGGCGTGGGCGAGGAAGGCGAAGTCGGCGGTGCGCGCGAGGGCGGCCGGGCTCGGGCTCGGGTTGGGGTGCGGGGCCGCGACGTGCGGCGCCTGCAGGTACAGCGCGTTGAGCCCGCGCAGCATCGCGTTGTGCACGAGCGCGAGCTCGGCGGCGATGTGGGCGGTCGGGGGCGGGGGCGGGGCGGCCTGTTTTAGGGGGGTTAGTTACCTAGTTAGTTTGGTGGGGGGGGACGGATAAAAGGGGGTCGGGGGGACCGCTTACGTGCGGCGGCGTCGCTGGCGTCGCGATCAGAGGCCACGGCTCGTCGGCCCAGGGCCGCCGCGGCGACGCCTTCTCCTTGCCCTTGTGCTGCCGCTGCTCGGCCTTGCCGGCGGCCGGCGGCCGGCGGTGGGCGAGGCTGGTCGTCGACGAGGAGGAGGAGGAGGAGGGCGGGTCGAGGAAAGGGGACGGCGAGCGCGAGGGCACGGACGACGGGGGCGATGGCGGAGACGAGTGTTGCCGGGGAGCCCGCGGCGAAGGCCCTGCCGGCGCGAGCACCGCGTCGATGCCCCGGACGGCAGAAGCCGAAGGTCGCGGGAGAAGAAGCATCGGAGTGGGTGGGAGGAGGGACGGAGGGATGGGGGTAGTTTGAGAGGTGGCGAGTGTGAGGCTGGATGGGCGATGGTTGAGTGGGCTACGTCCTAGTTATTCTCCGAGGGGGGTGTGGGTTGGTGGTGGGCCTGAGATATATAGGAGGGAGGACCCAGTAGACGGATAGTCAGCTCGGGCGGGAATATATATATAATAGAGAAAGTGTGTGTGGGTGGGTGGGTGGAGAGAGGGGGCTTGAGGAGGGAGATATAGATCGAAAAGGGGTCAGTCAGGGTCCGACACAGGACAAGACAATAGATAGGTATATAGGTAGCTGAACCGCCACCCGCCGCGGACGGGCGAACAGAGAAATTTCGATCGGGGAGATAGACAGCGGCGACCCCATCGGCTAGCCAGCTGGCCGGCTAGCCAGCTGGAGAGGCATGAATGATGTGGCTTCACGAATCCCACCCGGCCCGTCCCATCCCTCCCCCCTTTATCTACCCAGCGCGCCTGACTGGCTGGCCACCGTACCTACCACGATATCTGTCTGTCCGTCCGTCCGTCTATCCGCCTAATCTCACCGATATATACCAACATGCAGATCCTCATCAGGGCCACTCCGCCGGCCTCGTATCCCGGAACAACGAAAAAAAAAAAAAGTCGATATATGAGCGCAGGGCGCCGTATGTAGTCTGACTAGTCGGCTGACCCTATCACCTGGAGTGGCCCTTCGTGGCTCGTGGCTTGTGTGGCTCGGCGGATAGCGAGCCCCCAGACAGGCCGAGGGGGAGGTAGGTAGGTAGTAGTCGGAGACGGAGAAAATCCCATCATCCCATCCCAGAGAAAAGTGCAAAAGGAGGAGGAAGAGAGGAGGGGGGGGGGGCTGCGTTGCGGTGGAAGCGGACGAAGAATAGGAAGGGGATCTAGAAGATCTAGAAGCTGAACAGAGGAGAATGTGTTACCCACCACCGGCCGGGGGGGGGGGTTAGTTTAGGAGACGAGACTATTTTCCCTCGTGCGCCCGCGCGCTCATCCATCGCTGCTGACTGTGGTGTTTCTCGTGCTTCTTCATCCTCTCCTTCGCGTCCGTCCTGCTCTCGGTCCCCCCTCCTCCTCCGCTCGCCCCTTTTTGCCAGCATCGCGTCAGGTCGTTCTATAGACGCAGGCAGGCGAGCAAGCGAGTAAGACAGCGGCTGACCTATCTGACCTGCCTGTGCTCTTTTCCGGCCCTTCCAGGCCCCCCTCCGCCTATGTAACCCAAGCATCGTCGGCTGGGAGCCAGGCGGGCGTGACGTAGGGCAAGGTATGCGTGTGCGAACCAAAGCGGCATGGCGATACGCAGAGACGCGAACTTCTGCCTTCGTCGCCCCCCCCCCCCCCCCCCCTTCGCTCCCTCTGCACGTCGGTGTGCGGCGGCGCGTACTATCTGGCGTAGGGATGCGTGTTTATTCTCCGCTTACCTGCCAGGAGGTAAGATAGAGGTTGGGCAGGGCATGTGTGGGATAGGTATATGGCGTCTTTTTCCTTCTTCTTCTCGTCTTCGTCTCCCCCCCCTGGCTCGGCGGCATCCGATTCCACAGATGGGCAAGTGTTGTTGTTGTTGTTGTACCGTGCCGCATCGTGTGGCGTCGTGGGTTTATCTATGGGTGTTTTCTTTTCGTGTTCTCGCAATAATCCTCGCTCATCACTCGATAATCGACAGCGCCACGCCACGCTCGTCCCTCTATCTCCTCGTCCTCTCCTCTCCCCCCCCTTCCCGTCACCACCACTAAAATCCTCCAATCCCTCCGACCCAGACCCTCTCTTCAGCTCAGCTCCCCACCAGAGTACCCGAGCTCCCCAAGCTAACCCGTCTAACTCTTATCTACCTATTTATACGCGCCCCTGTCTCTCGCTCGCCGACCGCCATCTATCTCTCGGCCCCTCTGCCTTAGCTTCGCGTCGCTTCGGCAGGGCGCAGCCGTTAGCCGCAGCCGCACCTCGCTACCGTCGTAGCGACTGGCTTCCTCTCTCCGTGTCTTTCTATCTCTCTCTCTCTCTCTCTCTCTTTCTCTCTCTCTCTTTATCTCTCTCTCTCTCTCTCTCTCTCCTCTATCCCTCTCTCTATGCATCCCGCTCTTCTACGCATACGCGCCCATGCTAAGTCGGATGGTGGTGCCGTGCTGACCAGCAGGGCGGTTGTGCGAAGCGATATGTCGGGAGGGAGCTGAGCTGCAGACGAGGCAGGATGGCGCCCAAGCATGCGTCTGCCCGCCGACGACGCCGAGGGCAGAACCAACGCCTACCCACCCGATGTATTGGGCAGATGCAGATGCGGATAGATATGTAAGTGTGCAATATGCAAGATGGGTGACCGGACGGACGGACGCCTCGAGCTGACCTGTCTGTCCCCACGCACGATGTCGCAGTCGGAGGAAGATGGTAGCAGTTCGTGCTGTGGTGCTACCTGTTTACGCAGCCCGAGGTAGGTATACATGTCCGCGGACCTACATGCATGCACTATTTGCATACTTCGGTTGCATACCTACCCGAGAGAAGCATGGCCGCCTACCTTCTATGCACATACGCTCGATGCGTGTCGCTATCGGGTCCGGCCATGAGTGCGAGCCCGCCTCCTCTCTCTCTCTCTCTCTCTCATAAGACATGTGGACGGCGGGCTCGGCCACCAAAACCACACCTACGCAAAGCAACCGTAGCATCGATGGCGTTTATGGTGTTGCGCGTGCGGCCTCGGCGTCGATCCATTGGATTGCTGGGAGGCGGTTCGGGAGAGCCCACCTCGGATTGGTGCGCCACCAGTCAGCTATAAGAATATATACAGATACGTGCTTGCAGAGGTCATACACGGCGGCGCTCCTCAATAATCGAGCTGTCTTTTTCTTCTTCTTTCCATTTGCCTCCCTCTCCATCACCCTCTGTATCTCCCTCCCCCCCCTCTCCCTTTTTGTCCTGCCTTACCCGCATAGGCAGTCTAGGCGGTGACGCGATGTATCCCTTTCGCCCTCCAACCTCCCCTTTGCTCAGCGGACCTCTTCGAATCCTCTTGCTTCCCTCACCTCTCTTTCCTCTCTCTGTCTCTGTCTCTGTCCTTATCTTGTAAGCGTGCCCATCCTAGAATCCTAATCCCGATAGCACCCAATCTCAAGCAGTAACCTCCCGAATCCACCACCGTCGGCCATGTCTTCACGACGCCTTCACATGCCTACGTAGTCACACCTGCACACGGCATGCCTCTCCCACGTGTGCGTGGCCACCTCCTGGCCGTATTCATAGCCCATAGTCGCAGCTTGCGTCCCCGTGAACCGTCGTCGTAGCGGCCAGACTCGTAGCCATCGTCGTGTCATGCGTATCTCCGGGACAGGCAGGCTCTAGTAGACCCCTCGCCTCACCGTGGCAGCGGGTCACCCTCGTCCCGGACGCCCCGCGGCCCGCTCTTGTCGAGTCCCCGCCACCCGTCCTCCCAGCCTTTCCCGCTGTCCACCGCGCCGCAGGATTCGCCGCTCTGCGCCATGCCCTTGATGTCGCTCCAGTATTCGAGCCTGCGCACCTCCTCGTCTGCCTGCTTGACCGCCTCGACGAGGTTCTCTCTCCTCTTTTGCTGCTTCAGCTTCTGCTGCTGTCCCTCTGCCCCATCCCCCTTCTGCTGCTCATCCCGTGGCGCCGTCGCCGGTGATTTTCCCTTCTCCTCCTGCTGCGTTTGCGGCCGCGGCTCCTGCATCTCCTGCAGTTTCTCGATCCGCTCTACCTCGTCGTGCATCTGCGTGAGCCGCGCGAGGAGTAGCCTCCGCGACGCCTGGAACACGAACGAGGACATGATGTCGTGCACCGAGCCGGGCAGCTGATCCAGGTCGTCCGAGCAATGCTCAATGTAGTTCCCCACGGCCTCGAGCTTCTCGCGGTCGATGCGCGTGTTCCTCAGCTCTGACAAGAGCTCATCTACGGTTGTTATGTCTGCCTTGACCGATGCCGCGTCCACGTCGCCCCGTCGGCTGTCCCGCGATCTCCGGACGGTGTCTTGAGACCTCGTGGATTTCTGCTGGCCGACGCTCTCCCCTTCGGCTCCGTCGGTACCCCTGCTACGACTACGCTGGCGGCCTCGTGAGGGCGTAACCGAGAAGTACTCGGGGCTCATCAGGTGCGGGTCGTTCGCTTGGTATCCTAGGCCTTTCTTGATGCGCCGCCTGATCCAGGCCCGCCTCCGGACGAACGAGTTATACCAGCTAGGGCCGTGCCAGGAAAACTTCTTGGAGAACATGAATGAGTATTCCCAGCCGTCCTCGTCGGCTCCGATCGTATCGTCGTGATTCACGCGCCATTCGGGCCAGGCCCATTCCCAACTCGGATCGGGCACCTGGGCGGTGTATATGTCGGTCGGACTGGTCTTGTGGGCGAAATTTGTCCAGGGCGCCGGGTCGAGGTTTCCCAGCGCAGCGGAAGAGAAGAGGGGAATGCCGCAGAGAAAACCTCCGCGCTGGTTTTCGTACAGTATGTCGATGGCAGTCTCGGGCTCTTTCGCTGGCTGTCGGCGTCCAGGGCGTATGGTGCTGCTGGATGTCCTCTCCGGGCCCTCATCCTCTGTCGAGGCCTGCCCTTTCCCTCCTATCGAAGCCGGGGCATTCCCGTCCCCGACGGAAATCCGCGACGCATCCTCCTGCCCGCCTGATGGGCCTGCATCGCTCGGCGACGGCGCATCGTCCGTTTTGGGTAGGTCGGCAGGAGGGACGCGAATTTGGGGGGGCACCAAGTATTGGCTCGAAGTAGGTCGGTCGGTCGCGCTCTGGGGTTCGGGCGTCCGCGACCCCGCGTCTGCGTCTTCGGCGTCTTCTACGCGGTCGAAAATATTAATTTCATGATCAATTTCGCTGTCTTTCAGCGAGGGCACGCGACGAGAGCTGCGCAAATGCGCTCTGGTCCTGGGCATCGTCTGATGTGAACACTCAGCATAATCGAAAGCTACCGGACAGCCATCGATGACGGGTGGGAGGTAGTAGTCGTAGCTTTGAATGCGAGGCGGAGAGGGAAGCGAATGGGTGGATGCTTCCAGGTCGCTACGATCTGGACTGTCTGCGACGCCGTCTACGTAAATCGGAGGCAGCTCGGCCTAGGATTCAGCCACGGGATAACCCGAGGAGGTAAGGCACTTAATAGATAACACGAATCAATTAGATGATGGTGGTCTGAATATGAATTGAGGTCGATGAGCTGACGACTCTTCAGCTACCGCAACGGGGATATAGAGATAATAGCGAGACGACGAAAGACGACGAGAGGTAGCAGAGAAGCCGAGGGACTAGCGGTACTGTTAGGCATTGAGGGATAATATGAGAAACTGCTCTATGGCAACGTAGACGATCAATACGCACGCAAATACACGTACCCTGCCATTGCCATGATCCCCTCTCTGGAGGAGGTTGGAGACAGGCAGGGTTAGGGGTGTATAGGCATGCAGGGTAAACAGGGCCTCGGGCAGGACTGCACGATCGAGGATGAAGCAATGCGATCGCGGACGGGCCGCCAGGCGAAACGCGAAGACCACCTAACCAGGTACTTTACCCAGGTCGGGAACGACTACTATACACATACATTAGCAGCTGGTAGGTGTACTCTAGGTACATTGGTGCCTCAAACGAACCTTGTGCGGGCATTCAGTTTCTCATTACCTAGGTACCTCTACCTAGGTACCTACCTAGGTAGGTACCTGAGGTGAGGTCCCTAGAGAAGTAAAGGTGGGTACCTGAAGAATACATGAATACATCATTACACACGCAAAATCGGCGGCAATACTAAGTACCCACCTAGGTAACTCTGAAGGTGTCTAGCCAATCATCATCTCTTCCCAGGAGGTAGGTACATACCTGCGTACAGGCGTAAGGTCCCCACCCCCGCAAGCGGCGACCGCCGCTACGACATGCGAGATACCCACAAGTAGGTACCTAGGTACCTAGGTAGGTAGGTAATATCATGCCTACGTACGTGCTCACCTACGTCATTGCGTCATGCATCTTGTGGCGATGGAGCGACAAGCCAGGCCCAGCGGGGAGGGGGAACTATAGTTGCAACTCGCGCACTCACGGCAGAAGGAGAAGGCGTTCTACAGAAGTACTAGCGGCTTCAAAAGGACCTACGTCGGTGGGCAGAAGATACCCAAGGTACCTACCTTCTACGCGTCAAGTACACGTCAAGTACAGGTCAAGTATAGGTGGGTGGTGAGGTGTGACGTTGGGCAGAACGTATGATGCAATGCCGGGGGCTTGCGAGGTACCTGGCCCGGCAGCGGGCATGACGATGCGAGGGGCGGGCATGTACCTACATCACCTACCTTCATCCTCATGCCTACCTCCTTAACGAGTACCTAGGCATGTACCTGATAAATACCTGCCTGCCTCTAAAGGTCTCCCCATCGACCCCGTCCATTCCCCCGTTTGCGCTGTTGACCCGTTGACCCGTTGACCTGTCGAAAGAGGCCCCCCTCCCATCCCCTCCCGTCTCGACTTCCACCCATCCAGTAGCTCTTCCAATTCCATCACCGCCATCCCTCCGATTTGCTTCCAGACAGACAGATACGGGCGCGAACACTTACGTACATCTCACACCACCTCTTCACTTGCCATGTCCAGGTCCAGACTGCCTCTCGTCCTCGGCCTTACCGCCGCTGGCGGCATCGGCTACTACCTCTATAGTGCTGGTGGCGACCCCAAGGTTGCCCAGAAACAGGCTGAAGGTAACTCTCGCGCCCTGTCCATCCATCCCCTTCCCCCTCGGGCATGCCATCGCTGTTCATGTACAGGAGGTAGACATTAGAGAGAAAAAAAGGCGACGAAGGACGCTCCGTGAGTAGTACCTGAGCTAACGACCCCCACAGCCGACGCGAACAGGTTCAAATCGGAGCTGCCCGGGCGCGGCGACGAGATCAGACGGGACGCCGAGAAGTACGGCGCTCAGGCTGGCGCCAGGGTCGACGACGCCGTAAGTAGCCCCAAACCTCCCCCCCCCCCCCCGCGTTCTCTCTCTCTTCCGCATAGTCTCCTTCGCGAACTACGTACCGGGCGACTTACGCATGTGGCGGAACGCATAGTTGAGCAAGGCGCAAGCCGAGCTCCGTAAGGCCACCGCCGATGCCGAGGCCCACGCGAGGGACGCTAAGGCCGCCGCCCTCAAGAAAGTCGACGAGTTCGACAAGAAGATCGAGGACGAGGCATCCAAGGCTAGAGGCGGCATCTCGAGCTGGTTCGGCGGCGGGGGCAAATAAACCGGCGAGGCTCATGCGTCGGGAATCGAACCTGGCCGTCACGCAGTAAGGAGATACGTTTAGAGAGGTGAGAAGGCGGAAATAAGGGGCAGGACATAACAATCGAACTGTACGATTGGTGGCATTTGCGCGTAGCAAAGTCGCTAGAACTCCAAAACTTTTCTATTCTCAGAAGCCCTCGATGCTTAGGAAGTGTCGGTATAAAGCTCTCTTCCTTAATTCGTGTGTGTGGTATCACCCACTAGGACAAACCCGAACCGCATTAACGCCGCACAGCCATCCCGGTTGCCCATATGTGTATGAGTCGTTCGTTAGATGCCCCCTACCCCGAAACGCCCAATGAGACCTAGATCGTAAGTCATTCCAATTTGTTTCCCCTCCCCTCCAGGGAGGGAGAAGAAGAAATCCACTACGAGAAGTGGATCCCCTCGGCGTTGAAGGCAGCGAGGAGCCGTAGGAAGTCGTTTTCGTCGCACTTGGCGCTCCGCTTATCGGCGAGCTCCGTCACGTCCTCGAGGACGCGCCGGACCTTCTCGCGGACGAGCAGGGCGACGCGAGTCTTCCTGCGCTTGCTCTTCGTCTTGGCGACCGGGGCGGGGGCCTTGAGCTCCTGGAAGAAGGACGGCGTGTCGTCGTCACCGTTAGCGTCGCCAGCACCGCCATCGTAGTCGTCGTCATTGTCGATGTCCATGATGCCGCCCCACTCCTCCCCTCCGGCCGGCGCGTTGTCGTCGTGGTCGTCGTCCTCCTCGTCGGCGAGGGCGTCGTCGACGGGGATGTCGTTGGAGGCGCACCAGAGGCGATAGTTGCGCTCGAGCATGGCGAGGACGCCCTTGTTACCGAGCCAGGCCGCGCGCAGCGACTTGTTGCCCCGGTTGAAGCACACGCGCAGCATCCCGTCCCACTCGGCGAAGCTGATGGCCGGCCGCTCCGCGCCGAGCTTCGGCTCGATGCGCACCACGCTCGAGTCCACCTGCGGCGGCGGCCGGAAGTTGTTGCGCCCGACCTTGAGGATGTGAGTTATGCCTGGGTTCGCCGGACCGAGGTCAGCGTCGCGTCCGGGCCGAGAGGGTGCGAGAGAGGAGGGGGGAAGGGGGACTTACGGGCCCAGAACTGCGCGTTAACCGACAGCCGGCAGTAGAGGGAGTCGCCGGGGCGGGCGGTGAGGCGCATGGCGAATTCGCGCTGGAACATGAGCACACAGGTGCGGGGCGGGTTGGGCAGCGCGAGCAGCTTGAAGACGAGCGGCGACGAAATCTGGTAGGGCGTGTTCGAGATGCACACGTCGAACCCGGGCAGCGGCGTCTTGATCACGTCGCCGAGCAGCATCTCGAGCCGTTTCGCCTCCGGCTTACCCTGCACCCGTTTCGTCGTCTCCGCCGCCATCCGCGGGTCCATTTCGACTGCCTATATCCTCCCACCTCCCGCGTGCGCGGGTTACGGTTAGCCAAATCGCAGGTAGATGAGGGCTAGAGCGAGCGGCTACCCACGATGACCTTTCTCGCCTGCTCCAGGATCTTGACCGTCAGGTTCCCCGTGCCGGGGCCGACCTCGAGGACGGTGTCGGTGGGCTTGAGGTAGGCTTTGGCGACGATGGTCTCGGCGATGCCCGGGTTCTTGAGGATGTGCTGGCCGAAGTCCTTGCTGAACTTGAAGACGTTGTTGGCGGCGGGGTGCTTCGACGGCCGCTCGTAGGGACCCGAGCTCGCGGCTCCGCGCTTGGGTGTCTTGGCCTTGCCCATGGCTACTGCTGGAGCGTCGAAACGGGACGACGTGCTGCTGCGGGCAGGTATATCTAGGAGGGGCAGGTCCAAATTGTTGCGACAAGGAGCCTTTTTTGAATACAATACTGAGTAAACTCTTATCAAGCTGCGATAATGGAAATTTTGGCGATGCGGCTATCGATGTGGCTTACCTCAGTTATCGTAACCCTAGTAATTACTTATCGCAGCTTCTAAGTACCTAGGCGGGTACATATGCAAATAACCACTACGTACAAATCCAAGGTCCCCATATTTTTGACGAGAAAGTCTCCTTCTGTAACGCCAGCCTAGAAACAAATCTAACTTCAGAGAGCCACAGAGCAAGGCCTCCTCCGCCTCCCCTATCGACCCCCTCTACTTCTTAACCGCCTGCCGTGTCGAAGGAGTCCACACCTCCATTTCGGCTGAAAAGAAATAAACAAGCGTTTCCCTATACATCAATCTCACCAGCTGTCGTCGAACCACCATGACGGGGCGACGCGACTTCTTGAGCCAGCCCGCCCCCGAGAATTACGTCGCCGGTCTAGGACGTGGTGCGACCGGCTTCACTACCCGTTCGGATTTAGGTCCCGCTAGAGAAGGGCCCTCCGAAGATCAGATCAAGGAAGCACTCGCAAAACGAGCCGCGCAACTAGGATTTAGCGATATCGCCGGCAAGAAGGACGACGACGACGACAATGATGACCGATACCAAGACCCGGACAACGAAGTCGGCCTCTTCGCCGGCGGCGTCTACGACAAGGATGACGATGAGGCCGACCGCATATACCGCGAGATAGACGAGAAGATGGACAAGCGGCGGAAATCGAGAAGGTTAGTCTCTATCCGTACCCCCCTCATCGTCCCCGGCTAGTTCACCGTTCATCCCAAAAGCCATACGAGCAGATTACCGACGATCATTTCAAACGAATAGGGAAGCACGGGAACAAGCCGAACGAGATGAATACGAGCGCAAGAACCCCAAGATCCAACAGCAGTTCGCCGACCTAAAGAGAGGGCTAGAGAGCGTTTCCGAAGAAGAATGGGCGGCCCTTCCCGAAGTTGGAGATCTCACCGGAAGGAATAGGCGGAGCAAGCAAGCGCGGCAGCAGCGCTTCTACGCCGTCCCGGACAGCGTACTAGCCGCTGCGGGCAGCGCTGGCGAACTAGGATCCACCGTGGTCGAAGAGGGCGCAGCTTCGTCATCCGGCGGATCGAGCGGGCAAGACGGGACGATGACGAACTTTGCCAAGATCGGGCAAGCCAGAGACAAAGTCCTTCAAGTCAGGCTTGACCAGGCTTCTCAGAGCGGAACGGCGACCTCGGGAAGCGCAACAAGCGTCGATCCCAAGGGTTACCTAACCAGTCTAGCCAAGTCCCAGTTACCGGAGAGTGCGGCCCAAGTTGGCGACATCAACAGAGTTAGGGAACTCTTAGAGTCCGTCATCAAGACCAACCCCAATAACGGTCCGGGATGGATAGCGGCGGCACGCCTCGAAGAGCTCGCCGGCAAAATTGTAGCCGCTCGAAGTGTCATCGCGCGCGGCTGTCAACACTGCCCCAAGAACGAGGACGTCTGGCTCGAGAATATCCGGCTCAATGAGTCGCGGAACGCCAAAATAATTGCTGCGCAGGCAATCGAAAAAAACAATCGTTCAGTGCGGCTATGGGTTGAAGCGATGAAGCTAGAGGACGGCCCGAGGTCGAAGAAGCGAGTGATACGACACGCTATAGATCACGTTCCTGGGTCGGAGGCTTTGTGGAAGGAGGCAGTCAACCTGGAAGAGGATCCGGATGATGCCAGACTGCTCCTAGCGAAGGCGACAGAGCTGATTCCGCTGTCGGTGGACCTATGGCTCGCTCTGGCCAGGCTCGAGACTCCCGAGAACGCGCAGAAGGTGTTGAACAAGGCTCGCAAGCACTGCCCAACCTCTCACGAGATTTGGATAGCTGCGGCGAGGTTGCAGGAGCAGCTCGGCCAGGGCGAGAAAGTCAACGTTATGAAGCGTGCCGCGCAGGTACTCGTCAAGGAGTCCGCGATGCCAAAACGGGAGGAATGGATCGCTGAAGCAGAGAAGTGCGAGCAAGAGGGCGCCATAGTCACGTGCTGCGCCATCATCCGGGAAACTCTGGGCTACGGTTTGGATGAAGACGACGACCGTAAAGACACCTGGCTAGACGATGCACGAAGCAGCGTCAACAGAGGTATGTACGGGACGGCCCGGGCGATATACGTCTACGCTCTCCAGGTGTTTCCGACGAGCAAGACGATATGGCTGGCGGCGGCAGACCTCGAGAGGAATCACGGATCGAAGGAGGACTTGTGGCAAGTGCTCGAGAAGGCCGTCAATGCGGTACCCCGCAGCGAAGTGCTGTGGATGATGCTTGCCAAGGAGAAATGGCAAGCCGGAGAGATCGACAATGCCCGGCGCGTCCTGGCGAGAGCGTTCCAGCAGAATCCGAACAACGAGGATATCTGGCTGGCGGCCGTCAAGCTCGAAGCCGAGAACGGTCAGATCGAGCAAGCGCGCGGTCTCCTGAAGACGGCTCGTCAGGAAGCCCCGACCGATCGCGTCTGGATGAAGAGCGTCGCTTTCGAGCGGCAGCTGGAGGATGCCGACGCCGCGCTGGACCTCGTCCAACAGGCGCTCAACCTATTCCCTGCCAGCCCCAAGCTTTGGATGATGAAGGGCCAGATCTATGAAGATATCGGCAAGCCGCTGCAGGCTCGCGAAGCTTACAGCACGGGTGTCAAAGCGGTACCGAAATCGGTCCCCCTATGGCTGCTCTATTCCCGGCTGGAAGAGAAGCTCGGCCAGCTCCCCAAGGCGCGTTCGGTACTTGACCGCGCGCGCCTCGCCGCGCCCAAGTCGGCGGAGCTGTGGTGCGAGTCAGTCCGGGTGGAGCGGCGGGCGCATAACACGAAGCAGGCCGAGTCTCTGATGGAGCGGGCGCTCCGCGACGTGCCGAAGGCGGACCAGGGCATCCTCTGGAGCGAGAAGATCTGGCACCTGACGGCGCGGCCGCAGCGGAAGCCGCGGGCGCTGGAGGCGATCAAGGAGGTGGACAACGACCCGACGCTGCTGGTGGCGGTGGCGCGCATCTTCTGGGGCGAGCGGCGGCTGGAGAAGGCGCAGAACTGGTTCGAGAAGGCGCTGGTGCGGGACTCGGACCTCGGGGACAGCTGGGCGTGGTACTACAAGTTCCTAATCGAGCACGGGACGGAGGACAAGCGGGAGGAGGTGATCACCAAGTGCGTCAGCGTCGAGCCGAGGCACGGCGAGGCGTGGCAGGCGGTGGCTAAGCACCCGAAGAATGCGAGGAAGAGCGTCGAGGAGGTGCTGAAGCTTGTCGCCGCCGAGCTGCACTAGGGTCTCGCGGTAGGGCTAGACGGATAGGTAGAACAGAGATGACCTCTCACAAGGGTTAGGGCGTCGTAGTTGTAATGCGACGGGTCTACATTGTTACGAGTGAGGTGCTGTGTTGGGTGCATAGGCGGATGCGTGTTTTGAGGGTTATGTATAGTAGCAACCTAGTATACTCGTCGGCTATTCACGACTCTCCCTCCTGTATCTCATGTCCCTCCTCCGGCAACCGTTCCTACGCCCGCCGGTTTCGTCGCCGACATTCTACCCGACAAATAATTAGACAGCCTTAGAAGTCGACGGAATCCTCTATTTTCATCTAGCCATCCTTGTCACTGTCTCGATGTATCACCCACACAATCCAACGAGTTATCATCCTAGATCCTGGCCCAAGAAGGCCTCAGACGCGGTTCCAGAAATCTACCTACGCAAACTCCTTGCCATGATGCCAGCTCGCCGGCGAGCTGTACTGAACGCGAATAAGAAGGCAAAGCAGAATTCAAGTACGTGCTTGGGTGCATTCGAATCACAGAGACAAGGGCATGTTAGTAATATGCATTGGCAGAGGGGTGAAAATGTTTCCGCTTCTCTTCACGTCTCCAGCCCCTTTCCGTCCGACTGCTACTACCATTGCTGCTGTTGGTCTATAGTAGATATATAATGCATACACACACACTTCCCCCCCTAGACCAGTTACCCCGGGCTAGGCTGCATCTATCGACTCGACTCGAGCCTTACCTTGCTTGCTTCCAGTCACTGTGCCAGCTGGTAATTGGCCGTGGCCGCATGCCTACATGCCGAGGCGGCAAGAAGAGGACGAGGGGAGGGAAACTATCGAAGTGATATCTGAAGGGGGTTGGGGGAGTTGACCAGAACATCGCGTGAGCGCGAGTAGACAACCTCCAATACCCTGGGCGTCAACTTGAGCGACTAAGAATCGTCGCATAGTTGGGGGCCGAAAAGCTAGCGTCGCTTACCGCCGCCGTCTAGGTTTAGATCAGGTTTCCCACCAGGCAGACTGGAAGGAAAAACAGTATGAGTCCTAGGGAGGAGGAACATTATACGGGGGTGGGAGAAGAAGTGAAGAGAACAGGGACTCGTCTCCGCTACATACCCAGATTTAAAGGGAGACACGACACGATAGAGAGACGGAGCTGCTAAGAGTCTCGACGGCGCACTGTAGTCGACCGGCCTTTCTGTTCCTCTCTCATCCACCCGAGTCCTCTGTCTATCGATCTCATTCTCGTTCTTACTCACACATACTCTCTCTAGGTAATTATACAGACGTACACGCACACACGCACCCACTTTCTCAACTGGCTTACACCTACAATATTCGCCCTTGTCTTCTTACCCTGCTCACAACCCCAATCGCAACGTTGGACAACGGCAAACAGCCACCTACCATCCGAAAGAGGCGCCGACACTTCGTTCCCCGGGTGCGACCGCGTAATCGGCGCCGATACCGGATTTTCATATACCTACATACATAATTAGGTACTCGTACTATAGTAGGTGTAGGTATCCATACACCTACGCAGAACTCTCCCAACAGCCCCTCTCACCCTCACCACCAGCAGTAAGCAGCAAACCCACCACCACTCCTCTCGCCCACGATGGACGACAACGGCGGCGGCATCAGCAGCCCGGTGGACACGGCGAACCTGGCCGCAGCGTGGCTCTCGTTCGCGGTGACGGCGGCGGGGCTGGGCGGGCTGATCTCGCAGGCGAGCGCGATCAACGAGAAGCTGGACCCGTTCCGCGCGACGCGGACGGCCGAGTACCTGGGGATCTGGTTCCGGCGGCAGGCGGCGTTCCCGTGGTGGCGCATCGCGAAGCCGCCGCCGCAGGGCCCCGTCGTCGCCGCCGGCATCGCCGCCGGCTTCTGCGGCGTCTCGCGTCTGCACGTCACGCGCATCCCGCTCGCGCCCCCCGGCCGCGCCGGCTGGCCCACCGTCCTCGCCATGTTCAATGCCCGGCCGCGTTCCTCCTCCGAGTCGGACGGCAGCGCCGGCTGGCCCACCGTCCTCGCCATGTTCAATGCCCGGCCGCGTTCCTCCTCCTCCTCCTCCGAGTCGGACGGCAGCGCCGGCGACGACGGCGCGGCCGCCTACGCCGACAGCTGGGGCCACCTCGAGCGCCGCCCCCTCAAGCGCTACCAGGCGGCCGCCTGCATCGTCATCTCGCGCACCACGCTGATCACCATGCTGGTCGCGACCAACGGCCGCGCCGTCTTCCAGTACAGCGACGCGTCGGGGTTCCGGGCCGGGTACGCCTCGTACTGCGGGCAGTGGTGTGTGTCTGCCCCCCCCCCCTTCCCCCCTCCCTAACTCCCCAGCGAAACACCGCTAACCCCGTCTCCCCCTGAGCAGACATCACCTGGCCCATCGGCCAGGAGGCCGTGGTCAAGTTCGCGGCGCACGAATCGCTGGGCACGGCGGAGCAGCTGCCGCGCAGCTTCATGCAGCGCGTCGACCGGTGCGGGCAGATCGCCGCGGGCGTGATCCTGGTGCCCCCCTCGCCCGCGGCGGCGGACAGCGACGCCGACGAGCGCCCCTTCGCGCTCGCCTTCCCCGGCCGCCGCCCCGCCGGCACCTACCAACTCGAGCACATGGCGCGCGGCTTCCAGGGCGCCCACAGCGGGCGCCACCTGTACAACATGATGGGCGGGCGGGCGCACGAGGTGGACTTCCTGGCGGCGCGGCCGGTGCCGTGGGACGCGGTCGACGTGGCGCAGCAGGTGTCGGCGGCGGGGCTCGTGCTGCGGCTGCCGTGCCGCGACCGCGACCGGTACGGCGGCAAGCTGGACGTGCCGGCGGGATTCCCTGGCGGCGGCGCGGCGTGGGTCGTGGTGCCGCCGGCGGAGGAGGCGCTGCTGCGCCGCGCGCTCGACGGGCTGCCGTGGGTGGCGCTGTCGTGGAGCGCGCACCGCGGGCTGCGCGACGTGCTGCTGGCGTACGGGCGGCCGACGATGGACGCGCACCGGGCGCAGCTGGCGGGGCTGCTGCGCGGCGCCGCGGCGCGCCACGCGGGGGCCCTGCGCGCGCGCGGCTGGGACGCGGCCTTCGTGCGCGACGCGATGGCGCCGATGGCGGCGGCGGCCGTGCTCGCCGGCCCCGGCGGCAACTCGGGCGACGCCGTACGCGTCGTCACGGACCTGGCGGCGGTGGCGGTGGCGGCGATGCCGCCGGCCTCGGACGCCGCCCCGCGCGAGTGGTCCCTCGCCCAGCTCGACGACGTGCGCTTCTGGCGCGACCGCCCGCTGCTCCGCGGCACCGCGTTCCGCGCCCCGCGCGAGACCCCGCTCGACGCCGCCGGCGTCGTCGCCTTGACCAAGCTCTTCGTCCTCGAGTGGAGCCAGGAGTTCGACTACCAGCTCTACCACCACCTGCCCATCTCGCTGTACTTCGCGTGAGGCGGGGCTGCGGTTGGGGCGCTTGGAGGGAGTGAGACCCACGAGGCCACGGCGTCCCACGCCGTGCTTGTAGGCTCTACGACGCGCTTGTTGCTCTTATGGCTGCCTACTTGTTTACAAGGCAGACGAGAGCATTCGCTCTACTCACAAGCCTCCGGTTCGCCGTGGCTAACCAGCCGGCTAGCACATATATACGTATTTGAATCAGCCCAGCCCAGCCCAGACACGGCCGCGGCATTGTGAGAAGGGCTCTAGGAGCAGCCGTGCTAAGCACATCTCCGTCTTGCCCCCCCTTGCCGCTTAGGTAGGCCCCTTGCCAAAGAACAAGCAGCCGGGGCCAGCGGGCTATCCTGCGAACGGAGAGGCTTGTCAGAGGAGACAAGGGAACTCTGCTAATGCTGCGGTGGTGTGGTATACTTGTCGACCTACCCCTACCCTACCAGCCATCGTGTTGTCAGGAGGTGGATAAGGAAGGTTAGGGATAATTAACCGCGATCAGCTAACCTAACACATATAAACCCTAGTGTGGCTGGTAGCTTTACACAATAAACAACTCCCGATCGTCCCACGAGGCCCCCACGTCCATGATGTGATATCCATGATGTGATACACCGCCTCTCGAACGTAGCGCGCCGCAACTACTATTAGCCCGGCAGCTGGCTGGTTCGCTAGCTTTAGACGATGGCTATCCTAGTAGCTCATGCTGTTGTCCTCGTCCGGACTGCTGGGGAAATCCCCGGTAGCTTACGCTATAGGTCGTGGGTATATACACATGGCACATCATCACAGGCACGCAGTTCTCGACGACTACAAGTAAAGCGTCTGGTAGAGAAGGAAGTTCATTATCTACCGGGGAGAAACCCGGCCTATCCGTAGTATTAATTACTTTAGTAGCAAATGGGGGTTTTTTTTCTCTCTTTCTTGAGCTGCTCTCTCTCAATGCTATCGTAAGCCGTCGCAAGTGCAAATGCTGGACCCGTCTGCTTTGTTTCTGGTTCTTGGTTGTTCTGTTCTGGGTATCTGTCTGAGGGGAGTCGCCGCCCTCCGTCTAAAAAAATTGAAGGTTCAAGTCGTGAAAAAAAAACCGCGCCGATCCATTTTACCATCTCCTGCGCAGAGAAATGGGAGGGGGCAGAAAAGAAGAGGCCCTTCCTCTCCCCATCGCAGAGTTGTGTCTCTTGAGGGGGGGGACCTATGCTTTTCGTATCCATCCCATGCAAGTGTAGTCGAGTCCAACCTCGCGCGTCGCAATGCCTCGTTTTGTGTTGAATACTCCCAAATATTCTGTTCGTATCTTTGGGAAACCAATGCCAAGCAGGTAAACATGGCCATGTTTACGACCTGCGACTCCAAATCCTTAGGTTGGTGCAGGCGAACATCACCGCCCGAAAATACAAAAAAGAAAAGGCGCAAGACAAACCCAACTCCTGGGCTTCCATAATGCTCGCGAGTGCCGTACTCCAGTCGATATACAGAATCATTAAGATACAAAGAAGATGGGAGATTGTGGGCGAAGAGTGCCCTTGTCGTGGGTACGTCACGGTACCCCGGCCACCGTCTGGTTAGGCCGCAGAGACGGGTTGTTGGCAGAGTTCGGCTTCACGGTAGTCTTGCCGGAGATGGCCACGTTCCTAATCCGCTGACTAAGCGGCAGGGAGTACTTGAGGACACCTTTGACAATCAGGGTAAATTCGTCGGCGATGATGCGTTCCCATCGCTCAGAGCCGCTCTCTGTCGTGTTCCCGGGTCGGCTCAGCCGTAGGGAGCCTGTGGAGGCGGAAATGCCGGATTGGAAGAATGAGCCTTCGTAAGTCAAGGGACTGTCGAATGCGAGGATGTTACCCAGACGCATGTTCGGCGAACTATCGTCAGAAGGAGGATTGGGAGGCGCGTCACCACCGCCAGGCAGCTTGACAATCGGCGGATCGTCTCTAGAGCCGTCTAAGGTGCCGAACGCGTCCTTGGGACGTCGCCACCACTCCGAATCCGTGCCGGCATGGGGTGACTTGGCAAAGATCTCGAGATCGGCCGAGTCGATCATCACGACGACTACGTTGGGGTTGTGTGCCCTCACGGTGATGTCCATCATCAACTCCTGTTCACTAGCCAGGACGTTGCCGATCTTGACCAACTCGATGTCGGTGAGAGGCTGCGACGTCGCAAACATGAAGGCGATCGCTCCCGAAATGACGACTAACAGCATCACCGTGAGGACCAGGCAGCTCGCAAACCGGTTCAGCAGCGAGGGAGCTTGCCGGTACGTCTGCGCTTCGAGGTTTCTGGAGTGTCCGCCGCGCCGAGCACGGGCAGATCGGGTAGACCTGACCGTACCGCCAGGCATCAGAGGGGCCCTCTCGTCGTCGGCGCCGGTAGTAGTGTCGTCCATGTCGTAACCCGACAGCGCCATCTGCCGTTTATTCTGAGTCGACCAGTTCCGGCCGGCGAACCTAGGGCTCGGAGGGTTGGATGGCGGCCTAGCGCTATTGCCCGAAAATTTCGACCTGGCCGCGTTGGGAAATGGGGACTCGCTGCTGAACAACGAGAGGTGATTGCTGCTATTGTTCCGGCCCCAGCGGCCGGGGTAGTGGTGGTGGCGACTCGTCCCTCGTGCGGAGCCGGCGTTGCTTTGGCCGCTACCTCGACCGTCGTCGTCCCCGAATGGGCCTTCGTTTCCGCTGCAAGTGTTGTAAGTATTTACGAATTTCATGCTCTTCTTGACCGGCACAGTGGGCGCGCTGCCCTCCAGCACACTATGGATCGAGCGCATTCCGTTGCGGTCGACCTGGCTCATCATCGAGGTCGCGCTGGGGGTGCGCGAGTGGTAGCGGCGAGGGCGATCGCCGGCGTCGGGCGGGTTAGAATCGTACACGAAGGTCTCGTCCGAATCTGAAGAATTAGCCGCCTCCTCCACCGCGCTGGCAATCTTGGCCTCGAAGATATCGGCTTTCGAGGAAGCTGGACGGATTCCCGTGGTTAGCAGATTACCCACGTGTGCAGTGATACTCGTAGTTTTCTTAACCGTTGGCTGTGATCGCGATATGGGTTGACCCCGAGCTGATCCTTGGCCGTAGTAAAGGTAATACGGATGAAGGAGTGTTGAAATCGACATAGCCGGTCTCGTCGGGCAACTTTGCCAATGCTGGTATCTCATAAGAAGACTGTGTTGCTCACCATTGCCAGAAGGGACGGCGGGTGCTTTTCTCGTCACCCTCTTCTTCTCTTTCTTCGCTTTGATCGTCTCCGAACTGGGCTTGCTTCTCAGGTTCCCGCTCGCGCCCGCGCCGCCCGTATTGGGGGCTAGCGACGGCGGGGGCACGTACTTGACCTCCTCCGTCTCGACCGTCATGTTTTTCGACGAACTCTCGGCCGAGGTCGGTCCTCTGCCGGTGAACCTCAGCGTCGAGCTCGATCGCCTGCCCTGGAGCGGGGGCGCTGGGGCCGACGTGCTGCTCCGCCTCACGTTCATACGAACGCCTCCGCTATCGCTGCCGCTTTCGCTGTTCGTCGTGTTCTGGTTATTGGGAAACTTCTTGCCCGAAGCTCCGGAGCTCTTGCCTGGTGTGGGTTCCTGGGCGGCGGCGAGCTTCTCGAGGGCAGCGTCGAGTCCTGGCTTCGGCGTATTCGGCTGGCTGACTTCTTGGACGGTCTCCAAAGTCGATGCCCCATTGCCCGGCCCGCGGACTGGGGTTCGCATACCAGACGATAGGTACACTTCTTCGACCTCGTTTTCGGACTGCGAGGCCGATTCTAGGTAGGGAGGAGGCGTAGCTCGGGCACTCGCGGCGGATGTCTCGTGCTCGTTCCTCCGTGCGGAAGAGACTCCCGCTGCCGGTCGACCCAGGTGAGGAGGTGGTGATTTTAGTCGCGGGGACACAGGCCATCGGGGTGCATCGGGTGCGACTGAGGGCTTCTGCGGGGTGGCGGCTCGAGAGGCAGGATCCGGGGCGGACGGGGCAGGAGGGAGTGCGGGTGTCGTGGCGGCGGACAGTTGGTGCCGCGACGTCGCGGCGGGCGTCGGATTCTTGGGTTGAGGCCTCGAGGGGCTCGGGTCTTGAAGGCTGTTCTTACGCGACCTTACCGTGGCCGAGGACGCACGGCTGGTTCGTCCCGACTTCATGGCTGAAGGACGTACCGGCGAGGGCTCTCTCGACTCGGCGGGCGATGCTGTCAAGGAAGTGGATGTCGATGTCCACCTGGATGCCTGGGAATCGATGTTGCCGCCAGAGGTGGTAGAGGTTTCGTTGTCGACGGAATTCAGACTCGACAGGCTGGCATCCATGCTAACGGGATCGGCAGTATTCATGTCGACGCACTAAGTAACTGGCCAGGGAGGTCGGTTTCCGTAGCGAGGGGGCTCAGAGTCGGTGCAGAGAATGGAACCACGTCGATGGGGTCGTGCCACGAAAAGGTCGGGAACGGGATTAGCTCGAGAGAAGGACGGCTGTGCTCGGACGGATGTTGATCATCGTGATGTGGCAGCAGGTTCGCATGCGACTCGCTCCCACAGTGGGCGAAGTGAAGGCCGTATGCACAATCGGTCAACGAATGCTGGTCGGGCAGGGAGAGCCGGGTGCGATTACTGGGCCCTGCGTCTTCCTCCCCCCACTGCTGGCCCTTGCCCGTGACGCCGGCCGGTTCTCGACTCGGGTAGGATGGAACGGCCAAGCTACGGTTGTCCTGCTCCACGGATTGGCGAATGGAGCCAAGGTGGCGAGCAGGTGGTCCACGCCGGATCGGGTTCGTGTCGGACGACGACGGGATGGGGGAACGTGGAGAGTCCAGAGGTTGAGTTGTGGTGTAAAGGACACAATAGGGTAGAGAGTGGTTGCGGATAGCTTGCGGGCGTCCCGCGGCCTATGTACGTAGGTAGAGGAGCACTATAGGATAGCGGGAAGGGGGGGATGCAAGCGTATAGCAGCGGTGGCAGTACGCATGCAGTAAGGCGAGATGAATGAATGGGGAGGCTAGGTAGAGAGAGGGAGGAGAGAGGAGATACGGTATCGGCGCGCGTATAGGTGCTGGGACGGATGCGTGATGACGGTGAAGATATCGGCGGTGCGGTTTAACAGCGGACAGAGAGGAGATGAGACCAGAAGATCTTCACATACGATGCGGACCCGTGGGAGAGTGAGGTGTGGTTTCGTGGGTGTGAGAGGTTGTGTTGACGAGGTTGATTCGGATGACGGATTGGGGGGGGGGGGCGTGGGAGGAAAATACGGGGAACGGAGTTGAGGTAGGTATGGGATGTGGTGTCTCTCTCTCCACGTCTTCGAGCAATCAATTAATTCATTCATTCACGGGGCTAGTGCCTCTCGATGATTAGGAACTCTTAGCAGCTTGGGTACGTTAGGTAAGAATGCATTGGCGGTGGCTGCGTCCAATGCACGACGGGAGAGGAGAGGGTACCTAAAGTACCTGCCCACCTCATACGTATGTGTACTGTGTAGGTGCTGAGGTACCCAAGTACTACATATCGTACCTACCGTACCTACCCAAGGTACCTATGTACACTACATGCATAACAATGGAAGGCAACAATAGATACACAAGATAGGTACCCGCCTAGGTACCTACGTCCCATCCGAACTGGCTGCCGATACTGTTCTCTGTACCTACCTAGGTACGTACCAACCACGCTTTACGTACCTGGGTACCCCCCATTCAAGGCTTAGCCCGAGCGGGTCTTCGTGAGCCCGCAGGCACCTTTTTGGTGGCCAAGTGGCCGTGAATAAGGCATGTGCAGGTACCTACGTACTCGCTCCCATCGCGTACCCAGGTACCTAGCCGCGCAGGAGCCCGGTGGATCCGGGCATTCATCGGTACAGTGCGCAAGGGACGACCCAAGACGAGAGCCCTGCGTGAACAGACCTTAGGTACCTCCGGCACACCTGCAGAGAGGGGGCCCGGGGCGTAGTGCTTCAGGTATCTGGCCTGACAGGATTTACCGAGGTGTGAGGTGCCGTTATCGTACAAGACGCATATGCTACAGAGTCGACGAGAAATTCTCGCAGAGGGAGGCGAGTTGCGGTAAAAGAGGACCTCGGATGGAGGGGTGGAATACATACGAGGTAGGTATGGACGCGTACTCATATGCATGTCAGGTACCTACCTAGGGCCCGTAGGCGTGAAGCCTTGCTAGTGTGAACGTCCCAGGGAGTCAGTCTGTCAGTCATCTTGATGCTAGAGGGAAAACGGAAAACGGCCCGGATTTTATCGACCCGAAAAAAAAAAGAAAAACCGGTTGGCCTGACCGTAAAGATAGCCATCCAAATCACTACCTGATTCAGATTCTCCAGATTCTCCAGCTAGATTCCAGATCGGCCTTGGGCAGACGGCCGGCGAATTCTGCTACGTAGTACATCTCTCATGCATGCAGATATTTCTCTCCAGTTCCTGAGGTCGGCCCGGTCTACATCCATTACCTAACGAGAGGAGGCATGTGTTGTACCGACTGCTGGCTCGGGGGACAACCCAGCAGCAGTGGGGGGCGGCGACACACGGCTGGCGGCGGGAGTTATACCTACTGCGCAGTAGGATATGCTAAGTAGAAGAAGCTATACTAGGTAGGTACCTATAGTAGGGTCTACCAGTCAACCTCTTCGCCGCGTCCCATTTTACTATAGAGCCTAAGGTACCTACCGCTACTAGCATACCTGGGACCGTCGGTATGTGGGTACTTGGGCGGAGGGCGGGAATCCGCCTGATGGCATGCATACAACAAGCAGGTTATGCAATATAATAAGCCTGCGCGACTTACAGCTTGTACCTACCTCTTATGTACATACCTACATACATACATACATCCTACTTGTTAGGAGGTAATGGACCTGACGGAACCCGCCGACCAACAGGGACGGCCAGCTAAGGGGCGGTACCTCGAGCTACGAGCAGAGCGCGCTCCACCCCAACAGTTTCGAGTGTCGACCCGAGGTACCGGCTGGTTTGACCGCAAGTTGCCCCTTCTCCCGTCGACGCCGTCTGGCTAGAAGACTGCCATTATATCCACTTGCCTGGATTCCCCGGAGCCACCTCCGTCAGCCCGTCAGTTCTACGTGTAGGCACTCTCCTGTTGTACCCCGGTACATCCCGCCCATCCTCTTCTCTTCCACTTTGCTCCGGTGCGCTTTTTATCTCCTTTCTAGCTCTTTTTTTTTTCTTCTTTCCATCCGAGCTTCCAGACGAAGTCCCGCCCATGTCGCCTCCCTTGGCCTTCTCCACTCCCATCCTCGCCCAGGTCCATGTCTTGCATGCTCTCTCCACACGTTGTCTCGTCCTACCGCCTCTCCTATGACAGTTGAGGAGATCTTGTTTGAGATTCCTGCCCTATGTCTTGCTTCCACTGCCCTCCGACCACTGCAGATTGCATGGCATGGCGGCAAGCAGGCCGGCAAAGCAGAGCATGCGAAGTGGGAGTTGAGAAAGGCGAACGAGCGAAAGCGGCAGGTCTCTTGCCGTGTCATCCATCCGTCTATCCATCCATCCATCCATCCCACCGTCCGTCGGCGCTCTTCCGCCCTCCGTCGCGGGAATATCCAATTACTAACTGTGAGGTATGTACACGTAGGTATGTGTATGCGCATGTCTACGTCCATGCCCAACCTACTCATACGTAAACTTGTCTGCCCTCACACGTATAAGACATGCATACCTGCGTAGTGTAGTCTGCGCTATCACCGTCACATCCTAGGCGATACTGACGAGACGGCCTGTCATCCGCGTCCAACCGAGTAAAAAGGGAAAAGGGAGAATAAGAAAAGGGTAAAAGGAACAGATGGACCCCCCGTTTTCTTCTAGCGTGCGAGCGAGCGAGCGAGAGAGAGAGGGGGAGACGATTGTCTTGCCTTGTCCGGAAGGGGCCCAAGGCGGGGGCGAGCACGAAAGCGACGTCGACCTTGGCCCCCAGTACCAATCGGGAATGACAGACGACAAGATTCGAATATAGCACTGCTACTCAGCCTCGCATCAGCCTATAGCGACACCGCTTCCCCCATTCAAACCCGGCAGATTTCCACCTCTCAGCGGTCGACATGTGGACGATTCGCTACGCACACAAATCCTCTCCCTCTCCCTCTCCTGGCTGGTGATGTCTATCTGACGAGCGTGACCCTCGACGAGCCGTGTAAAGTGAGCGGGACGGTTTACGAGAACGCTCGCTCCCCAACCTAGGAGCAATGCATATGCACAATCCCGGTTCGGAAGAGTTCGTCTGCGTAATTGACGATTAAATGACTCCTTCACCTACCTATGTTCCTGCCATCGCACGTAGGCGTAAGACATGGTGTCGGGATCGTTCTCTTCTCTAACCGCCCTGGGAGGCTTTCCCTTCCCTCAGAGCGCGCTCGCTTTTCGTTTCTGCTCGCCTTCCCCGAGGTCAGAGGTGCCGGCCGCATAGCTAAGCGGCGAATCCCCGGCGGGAAGGGAAACGAAAAGATTAAAAACGAGACGAACAAGGGAGGGGGGAAGAGTTCCCCCTCGTTCGCGCGCGCGCGCGATCCAAGAGCCGAGACCCTTGCCCTCTCGCGTCGGAAGTCTACGGGACGACTCGATCAGGTCTATTCCCACGGCCTGAATTACCATGCGATTGCGTGCACATTAACTCCGAAGAGAAAAGAAAAGAAGAGAAAAGCCTGCTCGTCCAACGGGTCGGCAATAAGGCAGCGCCGTCACCACTAGCCATTCAGGTCTGCTATTAATAATCACCTCGCCCTCGGTCTTCGAAAATAGCCTTAAACCTCACCCGCAGGCGCGCAGAACAGGATCGAGGAGGCCTGGATGGGCGGAGGGAACGATGGATTAGGATGTGGTGCCCGCCGTGGCCTGTCAGACCTCACTTGTGGTAGGGTCTGACATAATAAGCGGCCCGTCCAAACGGGATGTCGAGATCTCTCCATCCCTGTATTGCATCTTCCTCTTCCTCTTTTGCTTGTGCCGCTGGTGGTGTCGGTGGCTCAGCCTACGTACCTACGTAGTAGAGAAAGCCTGCCTTGCTCGGCCTTATCGACTGGGTTGACATGTCATCGGCCACGACGGCCAGCCGGGGGTGGTCAACCCAGTGGTCATCTGCGCAGGAACCCGCGATCCCCATAGGCCTGGTTGATGCCAACGTCCATCGCAGGAGTGTGGGGGTGGCCGACTGTTGGAATCCAACACGTGTTGCTCCCATCCCTCCCCTATTCTCTATCTTCCTCTCATTCTCTCCTTTTTCGTCTTTTTGTATCCCTTTTTTCTTTCCTTGGCACCTAAATCTACCCCCCTTCCCCCCCCTCCACTGCCATCCTCTCCTCCTTTACACCCCCCTCCCCTCCCCATCCCCTTTTTCACTCAACGTTGACTGCGCGATTCAGTAATAAGAATGATGGGGTTAAAAAAAGAAAAGAAAGGTGACGATAGGGGAACTGGCTGTTCAGATGCTGACGGAGGACACCCTCTCTTTCCCTTCCTAGCCTTAGGGGCTTGACACGACTACCCCTGTCCCACACCCCCCTTCTCTCTCTCTCTCTCTCCCTCTCTCCTATCACCCAATCCGTACGTATTCCTCTTTTGAGCCAACTCTCTGGCGACTTAAGTAAGTGTCATGATGACTGTAGGATGCTTGCTGGCGTGCGGGGGGTGACATTATGCCTCTGACTCGGGACGATAGGTTGGTGCGGCTCTTCTTAGTAGTAGGGGAGATAACGACGGCGCAGAGCAACGGCCACGCTCGCTGTTTAATCACTACGTACGCGCGCATATACTGTATGTCTACACATATATGTATTTTTTCACGGCTCGCGTCGCTAAGCGCGTACGCACTAATGATTGCCTAGAGCCGTCTGATCCTTCGGCCGGCTCCTTTTCCGCGCGCGTCCTTTCGACGGGGCCGGACTTAGGTATTATGCCGTTTCTCGTTTCTTTTCTTCCCTCTCAAGGCGGTGTCGTGGTGACTGGGGTGCTCACGAACCACCACATGCGCCCGCCACGGGCGCACTACTCTCTGTCTCTCCCCCCTCCCGGCGCGCGTCAACAAAGCGTAAAACTACCAGCCATTTCCTATCGCGTCCCCGTCCGTCGACTCTAGCAAAGACGGTGAGGGGACATCTACAGGCGGCCTAGGCTAACTTATTACTTACTACTGCTGCCGCTGCTGTCAGCGTGCGACAAAAAGACCTCTCTTTTCTCTCTAGCGTCCCCTCCTCCATCCTCTTAACTATACCCTAACCTACCCACCGCGTGCACGCGCCCGAGGCGACGACGACCCCGCACTTCACGCCGCCGGGGGGGCGGTGTCCTGGGACGGCCGCGGTTTGGTCCTCGAATCGGCAGACGCCATGGCGGGCCCGCCTAGGCCCGGCCAGGCAAGGCCCTTCGTGCCGCGTCCGGAGGCGGGTTGGCGCGCGGGGCCGTGACTACTCCCGTATTTGCCCTGCCCAAGTCTCAGAGCAGTTATCTCGTCGGTTACAGGCGGCGAGAGGGGAGGACGTCAAGACACGGTGGGAACGGGAGCTGGCGGAGGAGGGAAGAGAAAGCGGGCAGGGGATATTAGGCTGCGAGACGTCGAGCTGGTCGGCGATCAATATCGATAGTCCAGACGCATCGTCGCACTCTTGCAGTCGGTCCCACGAGACGGCCCTGCGAGGTGGGCGAATCAAGTGCGCGCGCTCGCGCTCTCGTCGTGTCGTGTGATTAGTAGTAGTAGTAGCAGTAGTAGCATTAGCAGCAGCAATATCACCAGCAACAACATTCGTCGTCGTCCCTCGCCCCTATCACCTATCCCCCTCCCGCCAAGCTCCGGCGGGCCTCTTTCGACAACTCCACTCCACTCGTGCCGCCGCTCCTAGTCGGCGCCTCCCCTCCCCCTCCCCCGCCCCCAACCTCTTTCCCTCTCCCCCTCTCCCTTCCCTCCGCCCTCTTCTCCTCTCGCCCGCTCACGCGCAGTGGATGGGCGCGCGCGCGTGATGGACGGGACGGGGGAGACACGCACTCGCGGTCGTCCTTGCAGCCGGGGGCAGCTGGGAGACGGGGCACGGCGGACGGCGGCGTATCGACAGGGACGAGAGAGGGGGGGGAGAGGAGGGGGGTTGACGCGGAGCCGTCCGCCCGCCCGTCCTAGGGCCGCCGTGGCGCGGGCCGCAGGGCGAGCTCGTCGCGACGCGTGTCGAGCCTACCTACCCCCGTCGTCTGTCGGGCCGCGCACGGGTTGGTTTACGGGCGGAGCAGACGACGTACCTGCCTACCTGTGTCTAAGCAAGGAGTCGACGACCCGCGCGTGTGTGTGCTCGTGCGCGCCGGAGAGACGAGACGTGGCACGCACTCCGCCGGCGCCGCCGCGGACACGTCGCAGAGAGAAGAACACACACACACAGTCTGGGGACAGAATCTGCAGTCCCATTTTCGCTCCATACTAGTAGTAGTCTTCAAGTTCTCCATAATCTCAATACATAAAAAGCGTCCCGTTGTCTCGATACGACCATAATATACCGCAGTTCCGTAAACTCAGCGAGTTAAGTTAATATAGTAGTAGTAAGTTAGGGTAAGTAGGGGTTGTTTGTTGGCTAAGTTCAGTCAGTCATCACGAGAGTATAAAAAAGTATAAAAAAAAGTAAGTGGCAAGTTTCGTTCGTAAAGCGGCGCGAAGACCCTCGCTTCGTGCTTCTCCCTCCTCCTCTTCTCTTTCTCCATATGTCGCTCTCTATCGCCCTGCGTCGTGCCCGTTATCTGGAGGGGTAAGACGGGTAAATGTCGTCTAGATCCAGCTGGCCTTCTCTTCCCTCCTCTCTATATATAATCCGCCTTCCACGCTTCCTCGCTCACCCGCGCATACATGCCCCTGCCCCCCTGCTTACCGCACGGACTCGTCGTCTTTGCGTCCCCAGCCAGACGCCCAGCCCATCCAGCTCGACCTCTTGTCGGCGCGCGCTGCATCGGCAGTCTCCTGCACAAGCCGCAGCGGGCGCGGCTTCCGCCCCGCAAGCGTGCTCTTCTCGTAGGTACTCTTCTCGTACGTGCTCGCGGGTCGCGGCGGGCTCGCGCTCGCGGTCGTCGGCGTGGCCACCTCTGCCGCCGAGTCCCCGCTGACGCTGCTCGTCTCGCTGCGCATGCCCGGGAAGTTGCCCGCGCTGCCGGTGCTTCCACCCGTGGTCCGGGGCGTCATCACTCCCCCGGAGGAGGTGGGGGAGAAGAACCCTTGCGAGTGCCGCGACGACCGCGAGCTTAGTGTCGGCGACAGCGGGCCGTCGAGGGGACCCTTGTACATCGCGTTGACGATACCTGCGGCCCCCGTGAGCTGCTCACTCATGGGGCGCACGGGTATCCGCCGCGCTGTGCTGTGCGACCGGCCGAGCCCGATGGGGATGCTCGGTGCCGTGTCTGGGTTTGATACAGCCGACGGCAACGCCGAGATCTGCGCTAGCTGCGCCGCCGACATCGTGATCGGACGCGGCTTCGGCCGCTGCAGGATGCTCGCGCTACTGGTCGTCGACTTGGGGCGCTGAGAAAACGATGCTAGCCCTCCCACGTGCTGGAGGTCGAGGGACGCTGACGGCGGTGGGGCAGGGAGGTCCTTGAGCGTGTTGCTATTGTTGGCGTTGGGGGCGCCGGGCTTGAAGTCGGAGGACTGGTCGAGGATGTGCTCAAACTCCTGGTGTGAGAGGAGCCGCTCGATGATCTTGTTGATGTACAGGGTCAACGCCTTGTTCTGGTCCTTGGCGCTGCGGAGCTCGGCCTCGAGGCGGCGCGTGTTCTCGTCCTCGAGCGGGGCGGCCGGCTTGGGCGACTCGTCGCCGATGGCGCCGAGTTCGTCCGCTAGGCTGGACGCCGGTGGCGTCGACGGGCGGTCGCCCGCGCTCGAGCGACCCTCGAGGGCGTTGAGAGCATCCTGGTTGGCGGCGACGCTCATGTAGCTGAAGTCGCCCTTGCCGAAGTCGCCGTGGAGGGTTTTCTCCTGCAGCAGTAGCTGGTAGGACTCGTTGTCCTCCATTAGGCGGGCGTTGGCCATGCGGGCCTCGACGAGCAGGCGCTCGACCTCACGCAGGCGGCCGCCGCCCTGGTTCTCCGTCTCGACGAGCTTGATCTGGGCCTCGGCGAGTTCGAGCCGCAGCGACTCGATCAGCTTGTCCTTCTGCAGCAGCAGCTTCGAGTTGTTCCTCGAGTCGCTGCGCTGGACCGAGGACGGCGGGGCGAAGCTGCCGCCGTCTGCGCTGGGCGAGGTGGTGCTCGCTGTCAGGCCTCGGTCAGCGCGGGACGCGAAGGGCGGACGTGCTTCGGATGCTGGATACTCACTTTGCCTGGTCGGCCGAGATTCCTCGTCGGCATTCCGCTGGTTGAGCGCCTCCTTGAGGCGGTTAATGACAGACTGCATTTCCTCCTCCCGGTTGGCCATCTCCTCCTTCTCCTTCATCATCGAGCCCCTCTCGGCCTCGTAGATGGCCTCCATCTCGCGCATCTGCCTCGCCGCCTCCCTCTTCTCGTTGCGGAGGGCCTCGATCTGCTCCTCGCTCTCGTGCACCCTCTCTTCCAGTTTCGCCTGCTCCTTGAGGGCGTCGTCGAGTCTCGACTGCAGCACCTCGGCCTGTTTCCGGTGTTGCTCAGATGCAGCATCGGCCTTCTGCAGGCGCGCCTTGAGGTCGCCGATCAAGGCGACGGTCTCGGCCCGCGCCTCGGCATCTGACGCGGTGCTGGAAATGCTCAGTGATGAGGTTGCCCTGTGTGTGGCGGCCGCCCGAGCGGACATGGGGGTGCCGCCCCGGGTAGATCGTGTCCTCGACGGTGTGCCGCCATTGCTATTGGAGGCTGCCCCGTTCGTCGACGATGCGGGAGTCGAGGACCGACTCTGTCTCGACGGCGACGTATTGTCGGTCGAATTCCGACCCTGTGCGGCCGACAGCGGCCTCTTTGGAGTAGCGGACATTTGACGGCGGTGGTTTGCGGAGAAATAATGACGGGAGAAGAAAAGAAAAAAAAAAAAGAGAAGATGGCGGTATATGCGGAGTACTACTGTAGATTGGTACGCGAGGGATACAATTGGCAATTCTCCTCGCCCAACGTATTCAAAAGAACAGCAGGATATAGATACAGCACGCGGTGGGCTAGATAGATTCGACAGATGGGATATATCCGGCCACGGTGGTACGACCGTATTGTTGCTTGGTCGAAGGTGAGGAACGAGGTTTGTAGCTGTAAGTGGGCGCTGTGGAAAGTAGCGGAGAGAGAGGAAGGGGAAAAAAAATAAAGGGACCAATCCTCTGTTGACCGGTAGACGCCGCAGGTATTTTTTTTTTCTTTCTCGATGATGATCGCCTGTCTGTCTGTTTTGTTGTCGTGGCTCGGGTCTGGGGTTAGGCGGTAGGTGGTAATTATGCGGTGTCGTGGCGCGCGCGCATGTAAATGGGGTTCTGGGATATGGAACGGGTTTGGGGTGAAGAGGAGAGAGAGGGAGAAGAGAGAGAGGAGAGGGGGGGAGGAGACTAGGTAGGGATAGGGGTGGGATGGATCTGGTTAAGGGGATGGACCCCCGGATGCTGCATGAAGAGGGAGCTACTCTCGCTGTCGACCTGTCGCTCCTTTCCCACGGCGGCTCTGCGAAACCGAGCGACGCAGCGAGACCGGGTTGCGTGATGCTCCCAGTGACGAGCAAACGAACGAAACGAACGGACGAACGAGGGTACGTGGACGCACGTGTGAATACGTGTAAGTGCGTGCGCGTAGAGGAGCGCGGCGAGGAGGTAGGCGTATGACGGCACCGTGGCGGGCAAGGTCAGGCCGCCAGGTCAGACAGGGCCAGGTAGGCCAGGCAGGGAGGCGGTGCGGGTGTGGCCGTAGGAGAAAAGGGGCTCGGCGTATGATGCACACGATGCTGGACGGCGTACGCAGGTGTACGAGTATATCCGCAGGCGAGAGACGTATCCCGATAGTAACATATATAGAAATACAGGCATCAACCTCCAGACCTGTAGGCACGTAGGGTCTGTCTGTGTGTGCACAGAGGCAGGTCCGCGCAGGTCCAGCGTCGCACGATCGGTAGCTGGCACGCCTCGGGGAATCGAGACGGATGGGATTCGGGTCTCCGACAACCTCCTCAGCTTACACTTCGCCCGTCGACTCGGTTTGGAATAGATTGGCGGAGCGGTAAAAGAATAGCAGGTCGAAGGGGGGGGGAGGGGAGAGCCAAGGTAGCAGAGGTAGTAGTACTAGCACGCGACTAGCAGTAGTGGCAGCACCGGCACTGGCGGTAAGTGGCAGCAGGTAGGTACCGCGAAAGTAGCCGGGAGAAGAGGAAGACGTAGAGAGGGAGAGAGGTGGGAGAAGAGAGGGTAGGTAAGTCTGGTGATTGGACCGAAGAGGGAAAACGTTTTAATGGTTCCCTCCTCCTCCTCCTCCTCCTCTCTTCCTCCTACTTCCCTACTTCTCTTCTCTCTCTCCTATTCCCCGTCCCGCCTATTCGGGCCTCTTAGTTAAATTAGTGTTATGCGGTCCCTCTTCCTCACGCCTGATGCTCGGTGAAGGGATGGAAGAGGGGACTAACACCGTGCCTGTTCCGTTATGCCTCCTCAGGTACCCGTCCGAACGGTGAGCGGTCCACACCTGTTTCCACCACATGCATGTTGGATACCTATACTTGCATATATACATGTACATACGCGGGCAGGTCTGTACAATGTCAACATACATGCATACGCACATACATACCTACATACCTTACATATTACATACCTTAGGTACCTACCTACCCCATGTAGCCATATACGCGCCGCATCCTGGCGAAATGGGCTCGCACTATGCCAGAAGGACGCGTCGAAACAAGTATGAGAACAAATCGGGGTTGCGAATCCCAGGAAGAGGATTCACCCATACTTACGTACCTGCCTAGGTACTAACATCCATTGCCCGGGTATACAAACATAGGTTGCCTGCTGCCTTACCGCCTGTGCAGCAAGTACCTCCTCGGTCAGGCACATGTACATTAGGTACATTGTTCGCTATTCCCTAACCTAAGATACCTAACATTAGGTATCGATGTACGTACACGATACAAGGGCGGGCACTTCGCAATGCTTGATAATCCCGCTTGGCCGATTCCCGCGCCTGCCATGCGGCACTGTGGTACGTGCGACGCTCAGAATGTCCGATTGAAACCTCCGACTCCCCAGGGCCCGTTTCCACTTCCGTCTCCTCTCTCGCGTCCGGGTCTCCCAAGCGACACCTCCCATCCCCCCCCGGTCTTGAATCGAATCTATATGGTAAAGCATCCATCTGTCCTACACGCCCAGCTGTCACGTGCGCAGATCGAAATGCTTGTCACGGGCCACGAAGGGACGATCCGTTCGACACGGATACGTACATACTGAGTACTTACATTGTTACGCACCCTGCCTACATCCACACATACCGTGCACGTGTCATGAACTGGCACGCTTCTTCTTCTTCTTCTTGACAGCGCCTACCCGGACGTCCCGTCCCGTTATCGTGACTTTCTCGAACCGCTCCGGGGAGGAGTAGAGAGCACCTAGAGTCTCGCTCAGCATCGGTGGCGGCGTTTTCAAAGTGTAGATCCTCCTCGGTACGTCGTTGCCTTAATATGTGCGTGGACATCGAGACTAGGCTGCCTCCCTTACAGGGCAACCTCAAGTTAGCTGCCCACCGCTTATGCACATACGTGCATACCTCTACCCATAGCCGGATCCGCAACCGCACCTGGTAAATATAGGCCGACACCGAGTTTTCGAAACAAGCGATCAGATACTTGGTGAGCAGAGCATAACTATTCTCACACGTGTCGGGGGGTGCCTACTTCATTTCTTATGCAACCGTCACTCACTGCCTGCGCTGGTTCTGTAGACGTACTTGTATACATAATAGTACGCGTACAAGTATAAATATACCTGAGAGTCAGCCTCCATTACGTGGGCAGCGAGTCCTCGCCTAAAGGAGGGTTAACCGAGACATTATTCGTTCCATACTGCCCCATAGTAGGAAAGAAAAAGCACTCCAGGGAGACGAAGGCGTTCTGGTGTCATCGAAGACATATCGCGTCCTGAACTATTACCTAACCGACATCGTAGTAGATCAGTCTGACTGGTGACTGGCTGGTTCGGTCACCCATCTGAGGGTATCAACTCGATAGTGGCCAATTCAAGCCATGTCGGTCGTGGCACGAGACACCTGCCAAGAAAACATCGGACCGGTTCACCGACAGCACGGCTGCTTGGGTATCACTTGTATTTTGTATCAGGTTAACCTTTTTTTTTCGTCCTAATTGACATTCAGTAGTCGTCTAAAGAGAGGCTACTCAAAGAATCCCTCTAGGAGCTGCGCTCTCCGAAGAGGCACTTGCAAATACGCAAGAGATACCAGCGGGAATCGTACGCGAACGACGAGCCGCGACGACCCTGTCCCTCCCCAGATTTGAACCCCAACGCCGTTCCACGATGCCGTGTTCTAGTCTAAACTTCCTAGGCCTGCTGGTCGGCGAGGATATCCGAGTCACCAGCATCTATGATGGCCATCGTGGAGCAGCGGAAGAGTTTACCGCAGGCGGTGCCCAGCTCGATCTGTATCGCGGCGGAATACGAGTAAGCCAACTGGATTACCCTCCAAAGTCTTGGAAAAAGACTTCTTCTCTGGGCGGGGCGAATCGCCGAGGACATGCATATGTCCATCGACCACGGAATCGAGACAGGGTATGGGGCTTCAGCTTACGTTGGTGCCCGAGAAGTGGTGAACGGGGGCCTTGGACAGCATCGAGTAATATTCCAACTCAGACTTGCGCAGCGGCGGCGTGTTTCCGGAGATGATGACCAGCTTGGCCTTGCCAGATCGCAGGCTCTTGAGGGTCGACTTGTAGCCGAGAGTGACTGGTGCAAGACGTTAGCCACTGCGTTGACAAACTCGCGGCATTTCGAGCCAGGGCAAAACGAAAAGAAAAAAAAACTCACCCTTTCCAGACTTCATGACAAGCGCAAGGCGCGAGTTGATGCTGTTGGCATCCTTCTTGTTCTTCTTAGGAGGCATCTTGTCGAATATGGCTGCGTGAATGCGGGTGTGGGTACTGCTGGCAAAAACGGAACGATGCTGAGGAGAAGATGAAGAAGGTGCACATTACTGCCAAAAGCGAAAACGACGGGCCAAAAACCACAGAAAGTGCTCGGCGGGGTGGTAGTTGTGGAGACGGAACCGAGATCTTCCGGTAGCCGATGGTTTCAGCCCTAACTCCACTCTTTGCTTAGGTGAGCGGGCCAATGAGGGCCCCCGCCACCGAATCCGCTTTTGTGACTCTCCTTGCTTTGAAATCAAAGTCTGGAATTTCATCCGTCAAGAGGGACTTCAACCGCCTCGCTCCCTGCCGGCACCATCTTCTCCCCCCAACATCAACCAATAACCACCATCACCACTACCACATCCACGACAGCAGCATTCACGACAAGCATTCAAGATGGCGCGTCGTCCCGCAAGGTGCTACCGGTACTGCAAGAACAAGGTGAGCTTTGCTGAACCATAGGGATCCGTTCCCTCCCTCCCCGGCTGCCAGCAAGTCGTTGCGTTTCAGGGCCTCCTCCCTCAGAACGGTCGAGCGCCCGAGGACGTCTTCCAGTCTCCCACTTCCCATATTCCGAATCGCACGAGCGCCTACGCTTCCTCTTAGCGCCAGGAACATGCATACACATACTCCTATTGTCCCATAATTTCGGAGGAGAGAAAGGAGAAGCAGAAAGATGCAATTACTGATACTAACTATGAAACTAGCCGTATCCCAAGTCCCGCTTCAACCGTGGTGTCCCCGACCCCAAGATCCGCATCTTCGATCTGGGCCGAAAGCGCGCGACCGTCGATGACTTCCCTCTGTGCATCCACCTCGTCTCGAACGAGTACGAGCAGCTGAGCTCTGAGGCCCTGGAGGCCGCCCGCATCTGCGCCAACAAGTACCTCGTCAAGCTGGCCGGCAAGGAAGGCTTCCACCTGCGCGTCCGCGCCCACCCCTACCACGTCGTCCGCATCAACAAGATGTTGTCGTGCGCCGGCGCCGATAGACTGCAGACCGGAATGCGCGGCGCCTGGGGCAAGCCCAACGGAACTGTCGCCCGCGTCAACATCGGCCAGATCATCCTGAGCGTGCGGACTCGTGACTCCAGTGAGTACCGCTGCCCAACCCACCACCTATCTGCACCACGCTGGAAAGGCTTCCGAGAAAGTAATAGTATGCTAACTTGTCTGTTCCCCTAGACCGCGCCATCGCTCTTGAGGCCCTCCGACGATCCCAGTACAAGTTCCCCGGCCGGCAAAAGATCATCGTATCGAAGAACTGGGGCTTCACGCCGCTGCGGCGCGAGGAGTACCTGGAGAAGAAGGCGGCCGGCCGCGTCAAGGTCGACGGAGCCTACGTCCAGTTCCTCACGAACCACGGCAGCCTCGCCCAGAACGTCAAGCGCTTCCCCGAGGCCTTCTCCGAGGCTTAGGCGCGTGCACCTGGGCGGGAGCGGCGGCGAAGGAGAGCATGGGCAGGGCAGGCCGGCAAGCAAGGCATATCTGTTGGGGAACTGGAACTGGCACTGGCGCATTAATTGGGTTTAACGAAAACGTTCCATACACATAGCACATACAAACACGCGCGCACACGCATACGCGCGGCACAAGCTACTGCTGCCGCCGGTGCTCCCGTTGTCGTTGTTGTTGACAGTCAATTCGGATCTGCATTTGCATTACTTACATCTGCGCTCGCCACCTCGTTCGTGATCGTGATGTTGACTACCCGCCGAGGTAGCTTCCGTCTACTATAGAAAACCAGGGGAAAAAGAAACATGTGCTCGTGAATCGTGGTCGTTTAGTAAGTAGTATGCATACGGCCCTGCTAACCATCCTGCCTATCGGTGGCGGGCGCAAGGTGGCCAGCCAGGCCGTAATGCTTCATACCGTATCCGACGCTCGCACGTCGAGTTAGTCAGCCCCTTCCCCTTCCTCCTCCCCCCTCCTTTTCTCGCTGTGCGTGCGGCACATCCGAGAAAAGGCGCTGGGGCCGTCCCGCCCGACGCGCCTCCGCCCGTGTCGGCGTCGTTTATTCTCCCCACACCCCCTCACTCTCCTGCCTTCTGCACCTACCTACCTTATCTCCTTCGCTCTGGCGCCTGCGGGCCTGCGGTGGGCTAGTTTCGGGGTAGGGGGGAGACGGGGTAGGGAGTTGCTGTTGGGGCTTGGTTCGGCCGGCGGGCGGGGTCGCATGGCCGGGCCTGGCCGGCTATCTATTTCCGCTGGCTCGGGACAAGGCGTCTGTATGCGTAAGGTAAGAGGTAAGTAATTGCTCGAGGGGTCCGGGGGATCCGGAATGCGATCGTGGCCGCGTGCGCGCGTAGGCGACGGCGGCGGGGGGATGCTGAGACGCTGCATATGGCGGCGCATGCTGCTGTGAACACTATTTCTCTCTATATATATCTCTCTCTATGTGTGTGTGTGTGGTGTGTGTGGTGTGAGTGATACACTCGCCTATACCTATAGTGTCAGAGGCTTCCCCCGCTATCGCACTATCAGACTGCCAGGGCTACCCGAGACGAGCCGGTGGCAGATGTCACGAGACACAGAGAGGGAGGTCCAGATGACGTAGTAGCGCAGTATTGCGGTGCGCCGCTTCACGACGCCGCTTGCACGAGCGCTTTCCGACAACGGCGCTGGCTCTGGTGCTGGTGCTAGAGAGGGCCGTCTGCGCATACCTACCTACGTTGACCATGTGATCGTCTAGCGAGAGGGGGGTGTGATGACTACGGCGTGTTATAGCGCGTGGAGATGGGGCGCATATATGGTTGTTAGTAGGTATATAGGAGCACGGGTTTTTCTAGTACGCTTGCCAGTCATGCATACGTACATTGCATACAGTAGTAAGGCACTCTTCCGCTATATTTGTCCTGTGTGCGCAATATATGTATACACGAGGCGGGGCCGACACGAGGAGGGGTGAACCGGTGCAGCGAGCAGGAGAGCTACCAGCCCAGGCAGAAACGGGCACTTACATCACTGTCATCTTTTTATAACTATGACTGCTGCTGCTACGGCGCGATTATGGGAACCATCCGCCTCCTCTACCCACCGGAGAGGGCGCGATACGTACGTGTATGTGTATCATGTCTAGTTCGCAGGCACGGCACGAATAAACCGCTTCTCCACCATCATCGCTCGGACCGCGTCGTCGTGATGGTTCATCACTCGCCCGCCGATGGGATGGGACTCTTAGAAAAGGTGGAACGCTGACGAGATGCGGCGAACACGATAGGTAAAATCAGAGAGGGCAGGTGGAGAATACGGGCAAAGAGACGGGGTAAAATAATGCATTGTCGATATTGGGGCGGGTTCGCGCTGCTTACCTACCTACGTAATACGTTCAGGTATCTTTTGACTTCCGTATCGTCGCCGTCCCGATTTCCCACTTACCTTCCTGCTTGCGGCGGGGTCGTCCAGGCGTAGGTATCTTTCTGTTCTATCAACGAGCGAGCGAACACAATTTCCGCACACCCTGTAGTGCCGGAGCTCGCGGCCTAGCCTGGTTGAGGAGGGTAGGCGTAGTAGCTCTTGTCTATCATGTTGACGGGCAGACCGATTCCGGTTTGCAATGCAGAAAAAGGAGAGGAAAGGAAAATAAACAAGGAAGGAGAAAAAGGGGGGAGAGGAGGAAGAGGGAACTTTGGGATAGACCTGGATTCACAACCATGACAAGGGCAACTGCGCAGAGCCAGGCCAAGGCGAGGGATGCTATCTACGTATACACGCTCAGGTCTCGAGGCGAAAGACGAAAGGTGAAGTTGGGGGGTTACATTTGGCTTCGTTACCGATTTTCTTTCAGCTCGGCGTCGACTTGAGTCGAAAATAGCAGACAGACATGCAGACATGCAGACGGAGCGAGCAGTGTCAGCCGCGGACGGCATCGGGATGGCTAGTCAGCTGAGTCGCGATAGGCAAGGAGGAAGCCGGAGTGTTGAGATGCAGGCATAAGTCTCGAGGTAACTATGTGCCGAATGCGGTGAACAACCACTCGACGATGCGGCACTAGCGTGGTGCCATGGCCATGCGATGCTAGGCCACACCGTGGGCCAGCGAGACAAGCCCAAGTTTCGATGCCTACCACGTACATAATAGTATAGCGTATCCCTGTTGCTATATGTATGTAGGCGGGAAGGAATACCGATTCCGCAGTAGACAGCGCGGCATGTCCCATGCGAATGGTGGCGACCCCCTTGCGAGTTTTCTCGCATACGCATCAAGTCGCACCTCGAGTCGACACTGGGTGGTTGCGTGTGGTTACGTGTACCTTAGGGATGCTTCGGAGACGATACGATGAGGAGAGGGACCCCCCAAAAAGGCAGAAGAAGAGAACAGTCTAGGCGAATGGACCTGGCAGGTCGGTGTGCGTGCATGCGCATCCACACGTACCTATTCATAGGTAGGTGATATAGGTAGGTTGGGCTGACCAGGGCCACGACGGCGTTGCTGGCGGGTTCGAGGGCGCCGTGGCCAGGTCAGACACGGGTATACTACATGGGCAGCACGCGTACACGCTGGCTGGGTTCTGCGGCGAGGGAGGTGATGTGGGACGAAGGGAGGGATGGGAGCGAATTGCTGGTCAGAGGGGCGTGTTATTTTTATGAGATCGGCCAATTCGGTGGTCGAGATGGGAATGATGGACGGGATGATGGGCAGAATGATGGGTATTTTCAGGATAGGGCATCGAAGGTGGTGTAGAGGCACCTAATTAATGTCTTGTCGAGGCGTGGCCGTGCCTGGCTGCGAGATGATAGCCCAGGGTGTGTTAGGTACTTAGGTAGGTACATGTCCCACGCTGCGGGATATCTCGCATCTGTCAAGTATCCGAGGGTGTGCACCTCAGGTACCTAGATACCTACGTAGGTATGTAGTGGTAGGAGGTAGCAAATCGCGTCCCATCCCACCTTCTAGTTTTATTTTAGATATGCGGCGTACTGGCTACCTAAGGCAGTAGACGATGTCCCCCCCTAGCCGTACGTACTCGCTACCTGCTGTCCGCGCTCGGGTTGGTGTCGTATGTAATGTGCTGAGGAGTTAGCTTAAGGTTGAGGGTGACAAGTGTGCCTACCTAACCAGATGGACGATAGCACCCTCCCGCCAGATCCTGTGCTGCGCTAGCGTGCCTGCCCGGCGTTTGCCTCGATAGCCGCCTGATAATGAGATGGCTCGATCCAACCCTTTATGAGAGGTAGATACCTCCTTAGGTACCCATGTACTGCGATAACGCACCTGAGAATTGTCGATGGGCGGTGGTGTCCTTACCTCCCATACACCTTTAGGTAGGTAAATACTACACGAGAGAGAGAGGCACTTGAGAAGACACCATATGAGAGGGACGGACGGACCTATCGAGGTCGAGATACCGAGATACCGAACGCGTCGATAAGGAGGTAGGTCTCGGGGCGAATGAGTGCCCGCCGATGGGATGGGCGAAGAGAGGAAAATCGGGGGCTGGAGGTGCACCGGCTGCCACCCTGAGGCGCCCACTAACGCTGCAGCGCGACAAGAATGAGGTAATCCCAGCCCGAACTGAGCCCATCCTCTGGCTTATCTCTCTCGCACCCTCGCACCCAGGCACAATTCACACCCCCTCATCGCCACCCTCCTCTCCTCTCCCTCCCTCCCTCTACCCTCCGTTGTATTTTATTTTTATCTTTTATTTTCTTCAAAATGCCCTCAGCCACGGCCGCCTTCCAATGACGCATATGCCCACGATCGGGAGCCAGTCAAGGACACGCAGCACGTGTATCTCCCGCATGCGCCTTATCGTCCCGAGCGCACGGCGTCAGCTTGGCCCCAGCGGACGGCTAGCGGGCGACGGGTTCGACTGGCCGCTCTGCACGAAGGCCGCTTGTACTAATTGGGCAATTCCACTGGCGGCATCTGTGGTCTGGTCTGTGGTCTGGTCCGCTGTTCTCTGCTTGGCTCGCCGGTTGCCGGTCGATACCCAAAGGCTGCGAAAGGTGGGCGGATGGTCGATGCGCTGTTGATGCGGTCAAACCACCGGCCCACGCGACTTTGGCATCATCAACAAACAGGTCCCTGGGACCTTTTTCTCTCTCCCTCTCCCTTTTCCCTCCACCGCCGCCAATCGGACAGGTCACACCTGCATCCCGCCCTGGCCTCGCATCGCCCGTGACAGATTGGCCTGCCACCCGCCCGTCCCCGCCAGGCCCTCTCTCGCCCGTCATCCCATCCACGACTTCGTCTTCTTCTCCTGTTCCTGATTAACCTCACTCTGACTTGTCCGTCTCCTGTGCAACCCACGTAGCCTCCTCCGAAACGCAGTCATCCAGTCTCCATAATTAGCATCTCCGTCAATCCCGCGTTAAGGAACAAGCACGCCGATATTCTTCCCCTCCCCCTTTTTCCCCCTCCTTCACTCACACATTTCGCACCCTCTCCACCTCCTCCGTATCGAGCCTTGCTTATCCTGGTCCTGTGTTGTGTCCCCTGCGCTGTCTAACGCTGTCCAACGCTGTCCGACGCTGTCCGACGAGTCTGCCTTGCAGAGAGCACCACTAAGCGTTGTGCAACTCTGGTCGCGTATTATTTAACATCGACCGCTGGGACCTCCCCAGTCGGGCAACTGCTCTCGCCCTTTGCGACTAACCACCCAACTGCAAAACGTTTCTTGCGATGGCGTTTCATCAGCCTACACGTCAGAGCGCTCAGCGGCTCTTCCGCCCCGAACCTGAGGATGAGACTCAGCAGGCTCCCCAGCTGACCCCTCAACCCGCCGAAGATCCCCAGACCTGGGTTCTCTTCTCCCCCGCTACCGACGCTGGTACTACGACGTCTTACCTGACGTCGTCCCACCAGACCAATACCACTCCGGGCCGCTCGCGGTTGAGCGACATCGGGAGCTTTGATCCCGTCGCCCGACCAGGCTCCGGCGCCGAGCCATCACGACCCGCAAATTCCGCCAGTGACGCAATCCAGGACGAGGAGGACGCCGAGCTGGACAGCCTCGACAGCCACCTCCCCGAATTCCGCTCTACACCTGATTTCTACGACTCACCCCCTGCTCTCCCCCACGCCACACCCGTTGTCCCCGCCCACGACGGCTTGGGCTCCTTCCGACCAGACCAGGGCGCGATCGGTGCCGACATGCAAGAGCGCATCTACGCCTTCGAACAGTACAATCCTCACCGCGTGAAGAGACATGACGGTCTCGACCTAGCTCAGATCGACCTTGAAGATGAGAGGATACAGGAGATGGAAAAGCTGAGGAGGATAGAGACCTGGCGACTAGAGCACAGCCGGTACCTCTTGGAAGAGATACAGAAGGAGACCCGCAGAAGACGACGATCCATCGCCAACATTTCGATACCCGATAAGCCGGAGCAGAAAGTGGACGAGGTAGCGACGCCGATCACGACGGATGATATGGCAAGTAGTACGATGGATCATTCGCAAGATTGGCACGAACGCGATGAGAGCGAACCCGAGACGGATCGCGAGAGCATCTGGGGGCGCATTACTCGGAAGGTCATTCGTGACCTGATGGGGATCGACGACAAGCTGCTTGCCATATTATTTGGCGAAGCTCTCCCCGACGAAGAGGACCTCGCTTGGACGCCGAGGGCCTCGGTTACACCGAGGCTAGGCCAGCCCACGGACATGGCCAGGGGAGACGGTGCGGCTGAAGCCGATTCCGGATGGCAGCTCAAGATGCTAGAACGAGTCGCGACGGAGCTAGGCCACCTCATCAACCGAATCTCCGAACATCCCGGGGCCTTTTCCACTTTCAGCCGAGTGCAGCAGATGCCTCTTCCGTACGCCGGCCTCGCCTCCATACCCGAGGGCACCGTCGACACCACGCCTGGCACCGGGGCGAAAGCGAGCGAGCCGTCGGTAGCGATGCCCGAATTCCGACCGACGATCGGCGCCCACGCACGGCCGACGGACGGACCCCACGTCGGCCGCCCGCTCGGCCCTGGTGCGCCTAGCTCGCAGGCGAAGACGGAAACATCCGGGGCGGCCTTTACGCAGGAAGAGTGGGAGCAGGACCTGGACGTGAGGCTCGTGTTCCGGTATCTCCGGTCGCGCTTCATGCCGCGGTCCAACAGCAGCGCGGCGATGGCCGGCACGCCTAGCCTCAGCGCGTCGAGCGCGCAAGACGTGGCGGCCAAGGCGGCGCGAGTGCGCCAGCACCACCCGCTGATCTCGAGGTCGCGGCCGGCGGACCGGCGCAAGTCGAAGGCGGCAGTGCCTTCGAACCCGCTGCCGGCGTTCAAGTACGCGGGCAGCTGCGCCAGCCACAGCACGCGGAGGTCGGTGAGGCGGAGCAGCTGCTCGTCGTCGCGGCACTACTGGGACATCGGCGGCTCGGTCGGGACTGGCTCGATGATCGCCACGACCGGGCCAATGGGAAGCTGGGGCGAAGTGTAGAGACGGGATTGGGTCTCGCCAACATGCTGTACAAATACTATCACACCTATCTTAGGCGTCGGCGGCATAATAGGGCCGTCTGGGTCGGTCTTACTTGTCTGCACAGGCATACACATATACACATTACAAATGCATCACGTTTACACATAACCATGCCTAACACTACTCATAGAGCGAGAGAAGGCGATTCCCACAAAAAAAAAAAAAGACGGCCAATTTCGTGGCCAGGCCGGCAAGGCGGACGGTAGGTTTGTTCGCATTGGCCAATGAGGCATCGCAATTGAGTCACTAGTGGTGTCCCCAACAAGCAGGAAACAGACGAGGTGACTCCGAGGCGCGTCGATTCTTGGTCGGTTATTCGTCCGCCTAGCTTTTGGGTATGATCTCTTCTTCGTCTTTGTCTCCTCCGCGCGAGGCGAGCGTGGTGGTGAGAGGGCTGCCAATGGGCCGGGTGCGAGATCGATTTCGGGGCGATTCCGGGGGGGGGTTTTTTTTTTCTTTCCAAGAGGAGGAGGTTCGTGCGTAGGAGGTGGATTTTTGGCGGGGAGGCGGTCAGGTGGGACGGGAAGGGTGACGGGCTTCCGCTGACGTGACGAGCTGGTGACTTATAATACTCAGTACTCAAGTAGGAGTATGAGTCGGCGGTAAAAAATACACGTACAGCAGGGGAAGTTCGCTCTGGGACTCGGCAAGAGCAGGAAGCGCGCCTCGTCCCTCCCCTCCCCTTTTGCCGTCTGTGCTTCGGTGGACGTGCGGGTCGCCAGCGAGGGGGCGGGCCAATGGCAGGGCGCGGCCGCGGTACGGGACGCGGGTCAGTCGCGACGTCCTCGAGCGCTTTCTCCCATTCGCTGCTTCCCTTTTGGGACGACCGCGTTCAAGCCGGCGAGCTCCTGCTGACCGCGGCTGCTGATTGGCCGGAGGCCCACTCCCTGGCTCTCCCCCGTTTCTTCCACCTCCTCCTCCTCCTCCTCCTCCCTCCCTTAAGCAGCTAGCAGCAGGCTGCGCACCTACACTACGACGCACAACGTCCATCCATCCGCCTCACACACTGGCGAAAGGCACACGCACTTTCGCTCTCTCTGTCCGTTGTCATTGTCGTCGTCGTCGTCGTCGTCGTCGTCGTCGTCTACTTTTCCCTCCTCCTCCTCCTCCTCCTCTCGACTCCTCCGCATATATATCCATCCACCCTCGCCGGACCGCGCGCTACGCAACCCAACGACGCAACAACGCAACGCCCGACTTCGACTTGTCCTATTCTCCTCGCGCCGACCCTTGTCGCCCGTCGTAGCGTCGAGTCATAATCTGCATGTGTATCTATCTCACCTCGAAATACCTACCTAGATACATGCACGCATCCGCACACGCACCATACTACGTTGTGCTACCTGCGTCGACACCCTGCCTCTCTCTCCCTGCCGCATCCTCTTCTCCACAGCGCATGATATCTCCTGTGGTGTTCCCTAACCGTGCTTCTACCGCCTAACCCCCCCCCCCACCATCGACCGACTTTAGCCCAACCCTCCCTGGGCGCCTCACTTCTGGCCATCACCACCTCCCATCCTCGACTCGCCCTTCGCATTGTCCTCCGTCGAGCTGTACGCGTACCTTCGTCGCCTGCCGCTTCTCTTATCGCATACAAATTGTCGCCTCGTCCTCGCCTGCTCGTCGCCTACCTCTCTCCCTTTTCTCTCTATTCTCTCCTCCGACAAACGGTTCGTGTGTGTGCCTGTCTACGTACGCGTGTATGCTCGTGTGGGGTGAGAGTGTCTGGGGAGCCGTTCGGGTTCTTGGATTTTTGCTGGACCGCAGGACGAGTCCAGAGCTCGGACTAACAACGGGAGCAGTGCCATGTACTAGATATCTCGAATCGCGACCCAGCCGTGCCTGGTAGGGTCGCCCAGGGACTCCGACGTCCTCTCTCGTCGCGCGACCGACAATAAATACCCGTCTCTCCCCCCTTCGCCCGCCCCCCCTTCCATCTCTCCATCGCTTCAATTCTCCTAATTCCTCCAATGCTCCCGACCGAGGCGCATTCGGCCCAATGGCAGGACTTACCCCCGACCTCTCGCTTCTAAACAGCGCTTTCTTTAATATTTACCATGACGCCCCTGGAAATACGGGTTCCCCAGCCCTCCCCAGCGGTCGATGCAATTTTGTCGATTTAAACCACGGCGCCAATGGCCCTCGATGCGGATGCCGTCGCTTCTGGAGTCGCCGCACTCTCTCCGCCAGGACGGGCAGAGGCAGCATGTCAGGAACCTCGCCGGTATTTGCTAATGGATTCCTCCACGGCGGGAGCGGCGGCCTCGCAGACGACGACGCCTGGTGCATGTGTTCCCACCATGCGTGCTTCCACGATGATGCTCGCGACGGCCAAACCCCAACTGCCGTCGTCCCTCCTCCCGACATGGTAAGCAATGGCCAGGAGAACGAGCGACCCAAGACCAGCAGGGAGCCGCTCACGCCGGTGCCGGATCCGTCATTCAAGGTGCCGGGATTTGTGGAGTCGTCCATGGATATGTTTAATGAATCTCTCTTCCCGAACCGCCCGACGGGGCGCGATGGTGCGTCCCAGACCGGGAGCGCGGTGCCCGCGCCGGAACCTTCTATTCCTGATACCCTGGCCTGGGCCAACTTTATCCAATCCGAGCCGGACGACGTAGGCTTGCTTCCCCCGATCCCGAGCCAGTGTCTGATGTCTTCCCAACCAAGCTCGACGACGTCGTCTGCCCGGGTGAGTTATCTTCGGCCGTTTGCCGGGAAGGGGCTGCAGACATTTAGTAGTGTCCGAACTAAGCTAGGTGAGCCCCCTCTGGGGCAGGATGACGAGACCGAACAGGAGGAGGATGCCGTTGCCTCCGGCGTAGATCACCAGTCTGTCGATGACGGACAGACCGTCACCAACACCCCAAGGTCTTGTAGGCACGGAGACGCGACTGAGAGGCCGGGACTGTCCTCTCCGGCACCCCACCAGGACGCCCTTCAGCAGTTGTCCGATGTGGTTCAAGCGCATGACCAGCGACTAGACCGGCTGGAGAATCCCTCCATCTCCACCGCCGGCTACGACGGTTGTGACGACAAGCACGACCACGCCGATCTTCGAATCACAGAGCTCGAGTCGCGCGTCGAAGAGGTCGAGAAGATGCTCAACGACACCCCTAGCCAGGTTTCGGCCTACCACCCAGCTCGACGTCCGGACGTCAACGCGTCTATGAGCAGCGCCGTCTCCGTCTCCACCAGCGGGACCGAATACGTATTGAGTCGCACCGAACTCTACAGCCAGCTGCAAGCTCTAAAATCTCAGCTCGACCACCTGCAGGGGCTCTCGCCCTTCCCGTCCCCGACACGCCCGTGGGATGTTGAGGTGGTCTTTCTGCCCTTCCCGTTGAAGGGTATATGGATGGATTCTACCTACTTCGCCGGCCAGCACCCCTTGGACGCCGGCGCCAACATCGAGGCCGACCAATGGACCCAGCTGCCTAGCAGCTCGTCTGCCCTGGATCCTCAGTCGCCGGATGGCGACTGGGCCGGGCCCGAAGTCGAGTCGGAGTGGCTGCTCCCTCGCGCGTGCGCGCCCGGCCGCGTCATCCAGCAGCGGCTTAGGAGCCGAGGCCTCGTCAAGAACGTGACGATCTGCGGCCCAGATGCTAGGAGCGTCCATCACGCGATGAACGACGCATTCGGCACCCTATTCCGCACCTTCTCTCGCATGCAAGCCAATGTCCACCACGGCTCGACGCAGCACCACCGCGTCGCCAAGTTCCTCGGCCTCCAATCGGCTTGGGTGCCGCTGCGCAAAATCCGCAGCGATCCGAAGCTCCACTTCCTATCGCCACCCGAGATGGTTACGCCGGTGACGTGGGATGTCTCTTTCCTGCGCGCGAGCGTGGTTATGAAGGTGGGCGGGGCGCAGCGCCTCTACATCACTCACCCTGAGGCGTATCTCCAGGACCAAGACGCGTACCTCAACGGGTGGAACTGGCAACGCCTGCGCGAGCTCAGTCGAGTGTACGCCGACTCTCAGAGCAGCCAGGAGGTCCCCGAGGCGGACGCCATGGAGGAATGCTGGTTGCGGAACGACAACCTCGATGAGACTTCCGCCGTCGCCTTCCCGCCGCCCGGCAGCCGGCAGCCGGCGCAGGTCAATTGGCGGACCGTGTCGATGTCGCCGTCTCGGCACATGAGCGCCAGCGTCACGGCCGTGCCGCTGTCCTTCGCCACCAGTCGCTCCGCCGCGCGCAATCGCACCAAGTCCCCGGCTGCCGTCACGTTCAAAGAGCGGAAAGGCTCTAGACCACCTAATATACGCACGGCCTCGATGCCTCCCATCGTGCCACACGTCGTCTCGCAGGCCCAAGCGAAGCGGCGAGTGACACCGGTTGTTCGGCCTGCGGAACGCCGCGTGGCGGCGCAGGTCCGCCCCCCCATGCCACACGTCGCAGCCCTTGCGAAGCGCCGCGGCACCCGTTCCCCGTCTGCGCGGCCACGGAACACCCCCCGCTGGAGCACGGCGTCGCCGACTCCTATGCCCGAAGCCTTCCCCCCCCGCGGCTCGACGCCGTTCTACGCGACGCCGCATAGCAATGCCCCCTTTATCGACACGCGGTCCAACCGCGGCGTCGTGACGGCGGACGACGATCCCGACAGCGGTGGGAGCGGTAGCGGCGCCGACCAGCATGGTGGGGACGAGGAAGATATGGAAGAGGATGACAGCGACGACGGTGGCGACGATAATAATAATTCGGACTACGCCGACAGCCCGATGCTCGATTTCGCCCACGTGGACGATCCTCTCGAGTCGTGGCAGGACAGACAACTCCCCGGCGGCCCAGAGGACGAGGCGTGGCCGGGTATAGAGGACGAAGAGAACCGTAATGCCGAGATCGGGATCGACATCCACGAGGACGACGACGCGATGACGGACGCGGACGGGTTCGAGACGGAGAGCCAGAAGTCGAGCGTGCCGAGCGAGTACCCGAGCACGCACCGGGCGTGGACGGGCGCCGAGGAGGGCGGCTTCCGGGTGTACGAGGATGCCAACAACGCCCCAATCAGCGTCGTAAAGTGACGCACCTGGGGACGGGCGCGTCGCTATGCGGTGCCTCTAGTTTTGGGGAATGTCGTAAATCGTGAACTAGCGGGTGTACTTGGCGGATTTAACGACGTGCGCGAGGCGCGGTTCGGGACGTCTTGCTGGGAGGGAGGATGACTGACGACGGCGGTGGTTATCTTATCAGACATTGGCGTCGAGGGTCGGTGTGGGCGTTGGTTTTTTTTTTTCCGGGTAGAGGGCATTTTCGAGAGCGATTGTCAAGAGAGGAGTTGGAGTCGGCGTAGATGAGTGGATTGATTTGGATATAGGTGTAGAGGCGTGCGTAGTACCATTGCTTCCGAAGCTGCGCGCCATACTGGTTGGATGGCTTCCACACCCACCCAGCCGCGCATATATACGGGCCCCGGCGTTTCTGCCGCTATAGAGAGATGGAATTTGGCGGCTGGATGTGTCTTTCTCTGACCGGAGCCACCTAGTCGGCTCTGTCGTTTCAAAAAGAGAGGCGGGGGGGGAAGGATATCGATCTGACGGGCGTACGGTTGCGGTGCTCTGCTTCCGACCCCATTGCTACCTCACCATCGCCGCTACAAATATACTACTACTACCTACCTGCCTTCTCCTATTCCCTCCCGCCTGTGTATCATTATTAGATGGCGTCTATCCCGTACTTCCCTCCCTCGGTACTGCTGTCTTGCTGTGCGCATATGCGTATACGGGGTGTCTTACCCGTCTATCTCTATTTATCTACCTATCTAACCCATACCACATGCGACGTACTACCCGTCGTGGTATGTGTGTATTATGTATGTATTTTAGACCGCCCTGTCTCATCGCCAGCATCCTCTACTCCCTCCGCCTACCAGCCACACTTGCCAGAGTAAGGCTGGATTCTTAAAAACAGCCTGCTTTAGAAGGACACAAATCCCCCCCCGCCTCCGACTCGGACACCGCTTACGCATGTCAGCATTTCTCTCTTTCCTACTTCCTTTCTTCTTCTTCTTTCTCCTGTTCCCCTCCCCGGCCCATAGATTAGATAGGACGGGCACGATTCGAAGCGGCGCGGGGCACCAGCGAGATAGCCAGCCCTCTCTCTCTTCGTTACTCTCTCTGCTCGCTCGCTCCCCCTCCCTTCCCGCGAGACAACCAAGTCAGCCGCTCTGCGCGCGCTCTGCTCCTCCTGGCTACGAGGCGGGCGGGGAAAGCAGCAACGGGCGCGAGAGGAGAGCACGCGGAGAGAGTGGGAAAGAAGGAGGGCGGGGAGGAAGGAAGGAAAGAATTCATCCGATTGCCGCGCTGGGGAGCGGCGTCTAGGGCGGGAGCGAAACCTGTCTGTCTGTCCGTCTATCTGCGCAACTCTGCGTCCCGTTTCCCTCCGTCGGTGCACCCGTCTCGTCTAGCCCTCCTATCACCCCCCTGCTTTCCCCCTTCCCCCTCTATGAAGCCGGTCCGTTCATGTGCATGTGTGTGCGTGTATGCATGTATGTGTGTCGGTATGTGCGAGGCCAGCTTAGCACCTCGTGGGAATCTGGGAGAGAGAGAAAAGGGGGAGGGGGAGGGGAGGAGGGCGCGGTGTCTAAGACGCGCGCGTGCAGATTACGATACAAGCCAGCTAGCTAGCTGGGCAGGCCACGAGCCCTGGATGATATTTTTCCTTCTCCTTTTCCCGTTCCTTCTCTCTTTTTCCCCCTCTTCTTTTCCCCCCCCTTCTACTGAGCCTCGCTCGCTCCTTTTTCTCTCCCATTCTCCCGTCCTTCCCATTCTAACCCCTCTCCTTTTCCATCCCATTCTCCCCTTCGCTTCTCCGCCCCGCGCCACAACTCCTCTGACCATGCTCGCCTGCGGCCTAGCATCTGCCGGCCGAGAGCTCACGCAGAATAGCCTACCTCGAGACGCGCATCGGGTCCGAGGCCCCCGCGGTGGCTCCGAATAGTACCGTCGGCGATAGCTAGTTATTACCGTCGTCCTCCTGGCGCCGTAGGCAGAAGAGAGAAAAGAGAAAAAAAAAGAAAACGCGAGGGGCGGACAGACCGCGCCCCGGAAAACAAACGCAGCGTCGTGAATCGTAGCGCCGCGGCGGCTCGCGAGAGGCCCGCGCGCGCTCGGTGTATCCCGTGTGTAGGTATTTATTTATGCATATCTTTATGTGTTGTCGCCCTCGTAAAACGTAGTTGTCCGCGCCGCGTGTGCGCGCGCGCATGTAAATATGTATGTGTTGTATGTCCCACCCCTTCCCCTTTCCCCCCCTAATGCTGGTACGGAACGCAAAGCCGCACGTCGCGGATCGGTGCTAGGATCGCAGACGGTGCGATGCCGAGAAGCCGAGAAACCCAGTCCCGGCAGAGAGAGGAAGAAAAAAAAGAACAAGGAGAAAGAGAAGAAGATCGGAACGGGGAACGTAGATGTGCTGCCGGCGTGGCGAGCGGGGTGGAAAAAAGAAAAGGAAAAAAAAGGTGGGAACGAGAATGCGGGATATGCAAAGGCCGAGGGAGAGAAGGGTAAGAGACCAGCTGAAGAAATCGTGAGAAAATCGTGGATTCTAGGTATTCGCCGGCCCCGACACGTCCTGGGGGTAGATAGCGGCGAGGGGAGAAGAAGATATGTGGAAAAGGGGGGGGGGGGGGGTGCGAGGTAGATTGATGCGTAGACGGAGTGAAGAGTGACAAGCCAGTCAAGCAGAGTTCCCGCCGCATATCTGTGCCCTGGTGCTTCCACGATCCTTTGCTTTCCTTTGTCCCCTTGCTCTCTTCTCCCTCTGCGCCTCTGGCTATCGCGAAGCATTCGCGAGGGAAAAAGAACAATAAAAAAAGGGAGAAAAAAAGCGTTGACAGAAATAGCAAGAGAGAGAGAGTCGCGTGCGTGCCCCCGTGTTGTCCGTCCGATTGTCTGTGGAGTCTGTACGCTGGGGAGGTTCGTTTGCGGGCGCGCGGAGCCGCCGGCACCGGCGGCAAAAGCAAGGGAATAACAACGCAGTGGCGGCGCTACGCGGAGCGCGAAAGCAGAACGGCGCGCCCGAGAGCCGCATCTCATGCTACCCTCCTGAGCAGCAGCGGGGGAGGATAGAATGCGGCGAGACGAGAGGTAGGGACGGAAAAGACCCCGTGGACGACCTGCCGCCCTTCTCTCCCCTCTTCCTCCTGTTTCTTCCCCCCAGTCCTCGCCGAAACGACCCTCACCAAACCCCTTCCCCCCTCCTCCCTCCTCCCCCCTCTCCTCTCCTCTCGAACTTCCACCCCCCCCCCCTCCGGCGCCCGGCGCGAGCGGCAATCATGCCTAGGACAGCCGCGCTCCGCTAGAGGCCGGGGCCGGGGCGCGCTCGTCGTCAGCGTCGGCGCCCGCGGCGCTGCCGTCGCTCTCGTCGAGGGCGACGAGCGAGGCGAACGGATTGGCGGTGGGGACGGCTCCGGCGTTCCTGGCTGCGCCTGCGCCTGCGCCTCTGCCGCCGCCTGCAGCAGCAGCAGCATCAGCAGCCGCGGTAGGCGGGTTCGACTTGGTGGCAGACGAAGACGCGCTCGTCTTTTCTCGCAGCGGCGGCGGCGGCGGCGGCGTCTTGGCTTCGCGGCCGTCGGAGCCGGAGGCCCTCGGGCTCGCCCCGGCGGCGAGGGTGCTGGCGCCAGCGGTGGTAGTAGAGGGAGAGACGGGGGTGGGGGCCGGCAGCGTAGGGGGTCCCGGCGCGGCGGTGCCGGTTGAGATGCGCGGCGGGGGCCCGATGGGGCCGAAGGGCGAGGAGCCGAAGGATGCTGGCGCGGAAAGAAAGGCACGGGTTAGCAGGTTGGCGGCCGGAGCGCAGAGCTGGGGAGGGGCGGAGTGCTGGGAGGGGAGAAGAGAATAAAAGAAAAAGGGAGACGCGATGGGGAAGAGCGGGAGTAATGGTACATGCGCAGGTAAGAAAGAGAGGCCACAACTCACCGATCGGATTCCGCACGCTCACGCCTCGACTCATGAAGCGGTTGTCAGACAGCGGCTTCTGATCGTGCGGGCTCTCGGGGGCAGCGACGCCGCGCCGCCAGGCCAAGTTCTGGGGCGCGGGGGGTGGGCCCATCGCTGCGGCCGGTCCTGGTATCACGCCCAGCTCCCCCCCGGCGCCTCGGGCGGCTACAGCCGGGGTGCCGCCGTGTCCGAGGAAGCGGTCCTCGGCGGTGAGACCGGGCTCGAACGGGACGGCGGGCAGGGGCAGGGGCAGGGGCTCGCGCTGGCGCGCGAGCTCGGCCTGGTGCTTCTTCCACCACGCGGGCAGGCCGTGGAACAGGCCCAGCTGGTGCTGCGTCGCGCGGTCCAGCGGCATCTCGTGCTTGAACTTGCAGCCCTGCTGCGTGAACGCGCACACGCCCTCGTGCACCCACTTGTCGCAGTAGACCTTGGGGCGGCGCGCCGGCGGCGCGTGGACTTGGGTCGGGCGGCCGTGGTGGTGGCCGTGGGCCTGCGCCTGCGTGTGCACCGCCGGCGAGGACGACGACGGCGGCGGCGGCGGCGGCGGCGGCGGCGGCGACGAGCGGGCTAGCACGAGGGCGGTTGACGGGCCTGCCGACGCGCTGGTGAGAGTGAGGGTCGCGCGGGTCGGGGTTGACGGCACGGATCCGACGATGGTGTCGATGCGGGACTGGCCGGGGCAGACAGAGACTGGTTAGCACGGGACCGACTGGGTAGATGCGAGGGCGGAAAACGAGGCTCAAGCATGTGACGTAGAAGAGGGGGTGGGGAAGGTCTCGGATCCGGCACTGTGTTTGTATAGACATATGAGCCGTCAATGTGACCTCTGTTTATCATCTCCACGGCCGAGGAAAACTCGCAAGCAAAGAAAGCGCTCTGGGGAACGTAGATGCCACCTTGGCATTGTTCTTCTTCTCCGGGGCAGCGTCGCCACAAGTGCACGTACATATGGACAGGGCCTGCGAAGACTCACCTGTATAGTATCAGATGGCGAAGTCGGTGTAGGAGGCGGGCTCTACGGTGCTGGGTCAGCCGAGCGGTCGTTCGTCCCGACCCCAGACATCTGATAGCTATATAAACGCGGCCGTGATAGGAAACAGTGAGGGTAGAAAAATGAGGAAGAAAGGAAGGGGTAGCTCACTCGGGGAAAGACCATCTCGGTGTTGCTCGACCGGCCGTTTGGAGGCAGGGCCCGCGGTAGCGGCACCACTACCATGCCGGCGCAGCCCTGCTGCAGCGCGGGGATCTCCTTCAGAGCCGGCAGCATGTCCGCGGGGATCAAGCGCGTGTACTGGCCGTTTCCGCGGTCGTAGCAGTAGGCGTAGCTGGCGTCGAGCTGCATATCTGAGAAGGCGCCCAGGTTCGAGTACGGAGCGGTGACGAGGGCCGAGGCCTGGTGTTGGCTATGATACTGCTCCATGCCGTGGGTGGCGTACGATGACGAGGCGCCGCGGATGGCGGAGCCCGGTTGCAAGGGTTGCTGTTGCTGGCCGCCGGCGGGCGAACCGAACGGACTGTACACGTTGCCACTACTACCGCTGCCGCCGCCGCGAGCCGGAGATGCCATCTCGTCGACCGCGTGGGATCTCCAGTTGGAAGAGGCGAGGCTGCGGGAAGGAGACGACGGGGCCAGCTGCTGCTGGATGCTGGATCGTAGTGCCGAGCCCTGCAAAGCTTGCCCCTGACCCTGTCCCTGCTGGAAGAGAGTCACGTTGCCGCGGTCCGCCACGATCTTGCTTCTACGGTCGTTGACAGATTTGAAAGGGTTCCGGTCCATCGTGGGTCGCCGCTCGAGACGGGCGTTCGGTGTTTGCTCTATATCAGCGTTCGGGTTGAGGTTGAGGAGGGGAGAGGCTGTCGCGTTGAGGGTAGCAGGGGGTGTATTTCTTGTGGAAGTGCGGGTGATCCCAGCAGAGTTTGTTGTTGGCTCGGCGGGGGAGGCGGGAGGAGGAGGAGGAGGGGGAGGAGAGGAAGACGAGCAGCCCATGTTGCAGGAGTAGATGGCAGCGGTGGCAGCCGCCCTTTTTTTTTTCCAGGCAGCCGAAAATCAAAGAAGGATATCGAGAGCAAACGGGAAACAATGGGCGGGCATAGGTTCTAATTTATACCGCCATACGAACCTGGGTTAATCAGTAATGATGGCTCAGAGGAAAAGGGGCAAGGAAGGCTGTGCAAGGAATGAATGAAGGTTGATGGCTGCTTCGATGAACAGGAGGAGAAATCAACGAGGTGAAAGGGAATCAAGGCAGCGAGGACGTATTGACAGGAGAAATTGGGAGCTCTTTTAAGAGGAACCACACAGGGTTGAGACCCTTTTTGTCAAGCCGTATCCAGGGGGATAACGTAAAAGGGGGGATGAGGAGAGGCACACACACACATATACGCACACACATATTCCTATGTGCGCCTCTCACGCTTCTCTCCCTCTTCTCACTCGTTGCCATGTGAGCAAGCCGGCCATCCCCCATCTGGGCCACCTAGGCCATCACAGCCGTTTGCTGAGAAACCTCAAATAGGGTTAAATGCATCCACCGGTTACCTGCAGCCCTGTCTTGTGTTTTCCACGTGACAAACGACCTGTGAAGACTTGTCAAATGACGGGAATTTGTCCGTCTGTCTTGGGCCACAAAGCACAGGAAATCAAATTTGCCCATGAGTAGGCTGGTACTAACCTGGAGCACCTATCGTCCCTATCTATCTCTACGTGTGGGAGTAAAGGGGAAGGGTAGCCTTTTATCCATTCCTTCTCTCCTGCCCCCCCCCCTCCCTCTCTTCTCTCTCCTCTTGTCTCTCTCCACCTCTACATACATGCCAATTAGTAAAATGTAGGTGTCTGGGAAAAGAAGCAGCCTGCTCAACATCTCTTATGCCTCTTGGCACATCAAGCCACGCGAGGTGCTATGGCAGAGCATATTACTTGTTGGAGATATCTCGTAATCGCTGCATTAGAAAATTCCTCAGTGGCTGGGTATGGTACGAGTTTCCGGATGTTCTCAGGGAGTCGATGTAGAGACGTAGTGAGATTTCGGTAGGGTAACCACGGCAGATGGAGTTCGGTGGGTGGCTGGTCTGACATACTAAGCAACTTACGGCGCCGGAGTTCGCGGGGGTAGAGTTGGAATTCTGGTTCACTTGTCCCCCGTGTGTTGTAGGTGTGGGCACGACAGTTGGTCTCTGTGATGCTAAAGGTGTAGAGTTAGAATTCTGGTTCACTTTTGCTCCACTCATTGTAGGCGTGGGCACTGAAGTTGGCCTCTGTGATGTCGAAGGTGTAGTAGGGATACGTGGTGGGTAAGGGGCCAATTGAGGACCACCCACGGGGGGGTGCTGTCGTAAACTAGGTATCGAGATCACGAAGTTGGGACTCGTGACCTGGTTGAGAGGCACCATCGGATTGATGTAATTTTGCGGCGGCACCGGGGCCGACGGCCACAGCAGCAGCGGCGCCGGGGTTCGTGGTGCTATCTGGTGGACTCTTGCTGGCCCGTGTTCCGTCTGAACGGTGCTTTGGGGCTTGGGTACCTCGGTCTGTGGCTGCTTTGCCGGCTCGAAGCCTTGGCTCTGAGGTGTTTTTGCCGGTGCTGTTAGTGGTAGTGGTGTTAATGCTCTTAGTTCTCCCATCTTCACGTTTATCGAAGTTGGGAACAGGGCCTTTACCTTTGACGGGCTTGGCTTTTATTGCACCCGCCATGGCATCGTTTTCGTCGTACACTCCGTCCTCTTCGTCTTCTTCGTCCTCTTCGTCGTCGGGGCCGTTGTCAATGTATAGCTCGTCCTCGACGTCAACGTCAGAACCGCCGCTATCCGGTTCTTGGCGCTGTTCCGCTGTTAGGAATTCTTCTTCACCATCGTCGTCAACACCTCGAATGAAACCTACTTGGTTGTTCGTCTTGTAGTCGATAGCCTACATATCGTCGGTGAGCTAAATGGGAACGGAAAGCAAAAAGGGATTTCTCTGACCTGGGTTCCCCGTCGCCTAGCACCGCGTCCGTAGGATTGTTGCTTGATAGCAAGCTCCCGTTCGTGCTCCTCCTGCCGTAGTCTGAGAATGTTTTCCCAAACGCTTGCATCCGTCGTCGGTACGCCATCGCCGGCAGTATTGTCGACGGCGTCGGTCAGGGTGCCTGAATCGTTAGCCCAGACACGGGCGTACGAGAACTGGGTTTCAGCACTTTGATCGTGGCCGGCGTCCGTCTTTTCGAGTTGACTCCTGTCAAGTAGCCTACTGACCGATGCCGCATCATACGTGATCTTATCCTTATCCTTCCCGTCGCTGAAAAGTTCCTCTGCTCCCTTTCTCAGGATAGACTCTAGATCCTCGTTCGCATCGCTATCGGCATCTAGGCTTTCGATGAGGGCATGGTCGAGGGCCATCTTCCTCTTCCCTATCTGCATAATCTGTTCTTCCACCGTGTTTTTGGTCACGAGCTGGAAGCAGAGTACCTTCTCTTTCTGACCGATCCGGTGGGCTCGTGATATAGCCTGTATGTCTTGATGGGGGTTCCAATCCGGGTCGTAGATTATGACGGTATCCGCTGTGGCGAGGTTGATGCCGACACCACCCGAGCGGGTGGACAGGAGCATTGCGAATAGCGGCGAATCGGGCGCGTTGAACGCGTCGATTTGCTTCTGTTTCTTGAGAGCGTTCATGCCCCCATCGATTCGCCCGTACCGTAGGCCTAGCACGCTGAGAAAGTCTTCGATGATGTCGAGGCAACGTAGGAACTGGCTGAAGATTAGAACGCGGTGGCCCCCTGCTTTGAGCTTGGGAAGCATGATCTCCAGCAGCATGAGTTTCGGTGACGCCGCGATCAGGTTCCGCCGCATTTGCTCCTCGTCTACATTCTTGTCCTCGACGTCGCCGTTGAAACAGAAGGGATGGCAGAGGCATTGGCGGAGATCCGCCAAGATGTTCGACAGACTCTTTCGGTCTCCGGCCTTGAGCTTTCCTTTGGATATGATTGCTTTGATCAGCTCCGGGTTTCGAGCCATGATAGATTTGCACAGCCTCTCTTGCAGGACTGTCATCGTGACGGGGACGATAATCTGCGCCATGGGCGGCAGGAACTTGAGAACTTGAACCTTAGTTCGTCGCAGGAAATAAGGGCGGATGAGACTGTGAAGCTCTGGGAGGTTTTCTTTCGTCAAGTCGGCATACTTGGCATCCAGCGCCTCGGCATTGTTCCGGGAGTCGATAAACTGGAGTAGATTGAAGAGCTCCCGTTTGTTGTTTTGTAAGGGAGTGCCTAGCGAGAATTAGTGGTTTCCCCCCTAGTCGTGATGGGCCTAGGGAGTTGATGGTTTGGTGTTACTTACCCGTCAGCAGGATCCTGAACGCAATTTTCATGTCCAGCAGCGTCTTATAAAGTTGGGTTTCCTCGTTCTTGAGCCTTTGGCCCTCATCGACCACCAAGCCGGCCCACCTGACGTACTGGAAGGCGGTCCGGATCGTGCTCGCTGCCTCGAAGGACATGATCACGACATGCGCTTTCATCCCGTCCTTGACCCCGTCCGGGAAGAGCTCGTGCCTATAAGCGAGATCCTGGGAGATTCTGCCGCCGTGGTATGTAACCACGCGGAGTGCCGGAGCCCAATCCTTTAGCTCGCGGCGCCAATTGGGACATGTCGCATTGGGGACGACAATGAGGAACGGCCAGCATCTCGGCTGATTCTGAACGAGAGCGCTGATGAAGGAGATGATCTGAATGGTCTTCCCTAGCCCCATCTCGTCGGCAAGTATTACGTTCTGCTGCTGGTGGAAGTTATAGAGGAGCCAATTGACGCCCTCCATCTGATATTCCATCAAGGATCGTCCTTCCTTGAGGCCCGGAGGTTGGCTTTTCAGCTCGCATTCCTCTTGGAAGTCTAGAGACCGGTATTGTCTTATCCGCTCCCTCATCTTCTGGTCCCTTGTCGCGGGGAAGTATCTGCCGTTGATATATTCTTCGTAGGCGGCCTTGAAGGCGTCCCAGGGGCCTCCCGAACCACGAGGCGGCGGTTCATCCCAGACCACTTCCTCGTAACTAAGCCCCTGGAATTTGATGAAGGCTGATGTGACGTCGGAAATGCGCGCCAGGTCTTGCGCCTTGGACGAAGCAGTAGAACCGCGTCGGTATTTCACGCTCAGGAGGACGTCGGCCAGCAGCCATTCCTCCTCGATCGCTGACTGCTTATCCATCTTAGGAAACTCGTTGCCTTCGCGTTTGTGAAATGCGATGCGCGAGGTAGGCGCAGCTATGCCGTAAATCCAGGCTCCGGGCCTCCAAGTGTCGTGAAAGTGCGAGCGTCCCTTCCATTGCACGAGGTATTCTATCTCGTCTTCGCCAAATTCGCTGCTGTGCTGGCCCTCGTATTCGTCCCGGTTGACGGGTCTCCACGCAAGTATCGCACGGATTTCATAATCGGACCTTTGACAATCTTTACATTTCCAGCTGGCGAGCGAATATTCTCCCAAACGGTCTTCTCTGACCTCTGCCTCGCTAGGCTCGTGCGAATCCAGCGGAGGCAGATGTTCAAAGTGGTAGCCACGCCTGCAGGTCAAACAACGGAAGAGGAGGCTCTCGGCGTTGTTGAGCAAAGCGGGCCGGATCTTCACGATGGGGTCTTCTCCGCCGTTCTCAATCCTCGCCTTCTCTTCTTGCTTGGGGGTTTTCCTGGCGGAAAATTCGGCACACGACGCGCCGATGGCCTTGCAGGTTTGGCACATCGAACGATTTGGCGCGTGCCTATCCTTCTTTTGGTGGATTCCGACACAAAATCTGCACTGCAGCACAAAGCTATCCGGACCAACCTTGGTAACCCTGTGGTCGCGTTGGGATCTCACGCCGATGCATTGTATATGATAAGAGTACGAGCAGCCCTGGCAGAAAATGAGGGGACCTTTGCCAGAGAGGCCGCCTGATCGACACGTCTCGCATATATCGGAATGAAATCTTCGGAAAGGGGACTCCCCGGGAACCTCTTGGAATGCCTCTTTGATCGCGGCATACTTAGGTGCAGATGGCGTTTTATTTTCCACGGCTTCGTATTCATCGTCAATTTCGGGATCTCCCATGTTCTTTGAGTTCCTGTTTGACCGTCTCGACCTTCGTGACGCCTCAAATTCGATTTCTGAGTCGCTCCCCGAACACCTGCCCGAGGCGTAGAAGCTCTTGACTTTTTTCTTCTTACGCGCCGAAGTTCGAATCGGACCAGCGAGGTCGGAACGAATGATGGGAATAACATCATCGTCGTCGTCATCATCATCATCATCATCACCATCATCATCATCATCCTGATCGTACCTAATATCCCGTGCTAATTCATCTTCGGATTCGTCCCCGACACGGCGCGGTTGCCGGACTGGAATCCTTGACCTGGTGGCCCGACCCGTCGAGAGGGCTACGGATCCGGACTGGCGCCTACCCGTGATCGACGACTTGGCCTCTTCGGACCCTCTCCCGGCCTTCTCGCCGTCATCCCACACCCCTTCATCGAGTTCCTCCTCATCGTTGCTGGCAAACTTGTGACTATCACCTATCGATGCCGGACGAGGGACCCGCCGCGTGATTCTACGAGTGGTGCGCGGAGATGGCTTCCGTCGTTTGGCACGGTAGCCCCGGCTAGATGAATCGGATTCATAATAGTCATCCTCGGGATGAGGACGCTTGCTCGGTGCCATGCCCATAACTGCCCTGCCAGCGCTAAATCGCTGTTGCTGGAATACCTGCAGAGCCTTGGAACCATTCTCTAACTCTAGGAGATCATCATACGCCACCTAAAGGTAAGGAAGAGGTTAGTTATCGGCAACGAGTCTGACAATGAAGAGGGACGGGGAAGGAGAGCTCAGGGAATGAGTAGGACGGCGAGGGAATGGTAGGCACTGGGTAGGCACCCCAGTCGAATAGCACCGTGCACGATTTTTGAGGCATCTTGGGCGGGAAAGGGAGAAGACGAGGAAAAGAGAATCAGTCGAACGTGTCGAGCAAGGGAAGCAACGTAATGTTTCCCGGGTGCCCCGCCTCAGACAGCCAACTAGCCTCCAACTCACCATGTTGTCTGAGTAGCTTTGCAGAAAGCAGAATTGGTGGAGAACATGGCCCGAGCGGTCGCGGGGATGCAGAGGGCAGGTGTTCTTATGTTCGTATATGATGCGGCTGGTGAAAGAAAAGGTAGGTGGTTATGGTGGTAAAGGAGTTGGAGATAAAGAGGCGTGAGGCGCGTCAAATGTGCAGGTGCGCGCGAAGAAACCGCATGCTAGGGAATCGATGATGATGATGATGATGATGATACCCACCTAGGTGGGGTGGGCAGGGCAATCATCTCACAGGTGTGTCGAGTGGGTGAGGGTATGGGTTTGGGGGCAGGGAGTGGTCGGTGATGAGTGAGGTGTAGAATTTGCATGCATGCTATGAGGACATACACACAGACGGGAGGGGATAAGTAGGCGGGAAAGATAGATATACAGAGATGGCGAGGGGAACAATGGCGAACATGACCTACTTCGTCGACCCTTCCGTCCTCGAATTCGACGCTGTAAATCGCCTCCTCGTCCTCGTCCTCGTCCTCGAGGTCTACCTCGTCCAGGACCCTGTCCACGGCCAAACCAGGAACCCACTCGTATTCCGTCGGGTCTGGCGGAGGCGTAAGGATGACCTGGATAGGCAACAGCCGGGACTTCGCGGAGGGCGAATCCGCCAATCTCACTTCGCCCTCGGCATCATCCTGGGGGATATTCGGATACCCGTTTAAGCTAGGGCTGGTGTCTCTGGGGCCCGAGTCTCGCTCCGCTACGTCCTTCTGCAATATGTCGTCGTCCTGGGGGTTATTTTCTAACTCGCCTATCGTCGTTAAATCGCGCGGTAGTTCCTGGTAGAGTCCCATGTCCGCATCCCCGGAGAGCGCAAGCGTGTCCTCCATTGCGACGTCGCCGTCTTGCAAAGCCGCCGCGAGCAGGTCTTCTACTCTTACGTCGTCCATCGCGTCGTGCGTTGCCATAGCCATCGCCCCTCAAATCCTGTGTGGGTGCAGACGGGAGGCGAGATGCATCATGTCCAAGCGAGGAGGTGGATCGGGACGGAATATTGGAGGGGCGCTCTCGTCCGGCTCTGGCTCGGCGTCGGCGGTGCTAGAGGGTAGGTAGGGAGGTGGGGATGCGACGAGAGGACAGGGCCGGGTGGTCGGCCAGAGGCAGAAGGTAGTGACGGAAGCAATGCAGTCAATGCCTCGATGGCGGGATGGCGGCGTGTAGCCGGCTGGCATCAATAGAGCTAGAGTCTGCAGAGTGGTGGGAAAATGAATACCTAGGTTGTCTCGGAAAGACGCGTCGCCTAATCCCGGTCAACGCGTTTTGTCAAAGTGATGATCTCGGAGCTTTTGGTGGCGCCACAAGGAAAACGGCCTTACGTACTCAAGCGCCCTGGGAACGTTGCTATCTGATAAGGCCCCGGTCTATATGTAGCACCGAAACCCCTTGACGGCCGTTATCGATAATTCCCAACGCAATCGATAACCGATAATCGATAATCGATAACTATGTCAAAGTGCTTCCGATCGACAGGGTACCTGAGTACTTGGTGGGGTAGCAAGGAGGAGGAGGAAATGCCTGTAGCTTGAATTTTTCCTACAACTTTTTTTTTTCTATCGTCGCAATTCGTTCAGATTATCTCCATACGGGTTGTCTCCCCTCCTCCTCCCCCGTCCTCTCTCCTCTCTCTCTCTTTTTTTTTTTAAATTAATCCTACGAAACCAATCCCATACACGACTGCCTCTTCGTGCTTGCGAGATAGCTTCGAAGTTCCCCTTCTCCAGCAATCGCACACGTAAGATGCGATGAATCTCCTCAATGCTTCCTGTCTACGCGGTAGATATAACGTGTTACCTAGAATCGCCATCTTCCCTTTGCTTGTCGCCAGCCCTTTGCGCTCGTCCTCGCTCTCGGCCATTCACCGCGGGATTCGAAACTCGGAGAAAGTCAGCGCCCAAGGCCACAGCTACGCCTCCTCCTCCAGGGGTAAAACGAATAAAGCAAAGAAAGGCGGCAAGGGCAAGGATAAGGGCAAGGGCGCGGGCAAGGGCAAGAAAAATAACAAAAAGGACGACGGGAATTCGGGAAAGAAGTCGAGAAAGGCACGCTTCAACGATCCCGATGACCCGTTCGGCCAGAATAGCTTAGTCTTCCAGCTGAAGAATGTCGGCGGCAAGGACGCGGGCAAATCGGCAGGCGGCAAAAGAAATCCCAATCTACTGACACCGGATCAGTTCATGAAAGATTTCATGTCTAGTCCTACGCAGGGGAAGAAGTCGGGAACCGCCGCTAGCGTACCTCCTGCTGCTCGTCCTCCTCCCCCCTCCGCCCGCGCACCTCCTGCTGCTTCTCCTCCTCCTCCCCCCCCCGTCCGCGCACCTCCTGCTGCTGCTTCTCCTCCTCCTCCTCCCCCCGCCCGCGCACCTCCTGCTGCTGCTTCTCCTCCTCCTCCCGCGCAACCGGCGGGATTCTGGAGCCCGCCACCTCCGTCGGGTGGCCCGCAGTCCGCCGGAGCGCCTAAGGTCGCCAGCACAAGCAATACCACTACCGAATCCAGCTGGGGGGGAGCAGGAAATAGAGGAGGTGGCTTCAGCTCGTTCGGTTCGCAGAGTTCGGTCCTTTCCAAAGATGCCTTTGGGTCGAGCGCGGGCAAATCGGCCGACAGAGGCGGAGGGTTTACTTCGTTCGGTAGCCGGGGGGGGGCCAGCGCAAGGGATACCTTTGGGTCGAGCTCAGGTAGATCGGGCAATAGATGGGGTTCGGACTCATATGGTAGCTGGGGGTCTGCTGGCGCAAGAGGTGGCTTTGGATCGAGCTCAGGGGGGTATGGTGATAAAGGAGGAGGGTATCCCTCATTCGGTTCTCGAACTTCGGGTAGCACAAGAGATGGCTTTGGATCGAGCCCAGGTAGATCGAGCGATAGATGGGGTTCGGACTCATCTGGTAGCTGGGGGTCTGCTGGCGCAAGGGATGGCTTCGGGTCGAGTCCGGGTAGATATGGTGACAGAGGAGGAGGGTATCCCCCATCCGGTAGCCAGGGGTCCGCCGGCGCAAGAGATGGCTTCGGGTCGAGTCCAGGAAGATCAGGCGATAGAGGGGCCGACTCGTTCGGTAACCGGGGGCCTGCTGGTGCAAGAGATACCTTTGGGTCAAATACGGGCGCCTCGAGCGACAGAGGACGAGGGTTTACCTCGTTCGGTAGTCGGGGGTCGGCCGTCGCGACAAATACCACCGGGTTTAGTTCAGATCCTTTAGGCGACGGTGGGATTAGGGGAGGGGGACGCAGTGTCACACCCCCACCGGGGCGGCCGACGGACACGGGACGCCAGCAACCCTCTTACGAACCCTCTCGCGATACCCCCCGTGAGCCTTCTCACACACCTTCTTGGGGCCAAACGATACCGCAGGATGATGGTCCCGTTCGCATCACTCGCACCACGGCAGCATCGCAGTTCCTGTATGGCCGTTCGTCGGTCGAGGCGGCGTTAAAACGATCTCGGCGGAAACTGTACGCATTATACATCTACAGTGGGGATAACCGACAAAAAACTTCTCAAGACGATCTCGTCGAAGCAATGGCCAAATCTAGGGGGATTCCCATCAAGAGGGTGTCCAGCGAAGGTCTTCGAATGATGGACAAGATGAGCGAGAACCGACCGCACAACGGCTACATCCTCGAGGTGTCCCCGCTGCCGCAGTTGCCAGTCAAGGGTTTGGGGCCCGTGTCTACGGATCCAAAGAAACCTGGCTTCGGGCTCGTGCTAAATTATCAGTCTCCGGAGGAGCAGGAAATCAATGGCGCATCTGAATTTGTCCCGAGCGCGCTGCCAGCCGGCCGGATGCCGTTTGTCCTGCTCCTAGACGGCATCCAGGACCCGGGGAACCTCGGAGCCATCATCCGATCGGCCGCGTTCCTGGGCGCCGACGCGATCGCCGTCACGAAGGGCGCCTCGTCGCCCATCACGGCGGTGTCGGTCAAGACGTCGGCCGGCGCGGCCGAGATCGTCACGCTGCTGTCGGTCGTTTCTCCGGTCGAGTTCATCACGTCGTCCCGGGCAGCCGGGTGGGTGACGTACGCGGCCGTCTCGCCGGAGTCGGCGCGGTCCCGGGGCAACTCGCACTTCACGCTGGACCGGATCGAGTCGTACGACCCGCTCGCGACCCAGCCGACGCTCCTGGTGCTCGGGAGCGAGGGCGAGGGCCTCACGCGCTCCGTCAGGCGGTGTACCGACTTCCAGGTCTCGATCCCGAACCACTCCCAGGCACCGTCCCTCATAGACAGCTTGAACGTCAGCGTGGCCGCGGGCATCCTGTGCTCCGGCTTCCTGCGGAAGCAGTACCTCGGCCAAAGCACGAAAGAACCCGAACCCTCTCAGCTCTTCTGAGGTAGTACGGCGGAATAGCATGGGAACTGCGTGAGCTTCTTTGTTTTCTCTCTCTCTCTCTCCGGGGTGTGGTCCGACGATACCCTGGTGCGGTAGGACGGGCGTCTTGTACGAGTATCATGTAATAAAAAGAATACAACGGGAACGCTCTACTTCCGGACGCGAGTGCACATACACACACATACGCAACACGCTGGGTTTGGCTCTGTGCACTGTATCGTCGCCTGCGTAGGCCGTCGGGCAAGTGTCTAGGTGTTCAGAGGGACAGGTGGCCTGCTCGTTCACCGTACTAAGCGCTTGAAAGCCCGAAGAACGGAACAGCGACTGCGCGCTGGGTATGCTCGGGGCCAACAAGTCGGCTGGGCCGCTCTCGGGCATCAAGCGTTGGCGGTGGCGCGCGGCCCGCCAGCTACTATCTGACGCTCTCGGGCTCCTGGGAGCACGATGGAGCCGCAATGTCTGGCTGTAAATATCGTAGATAAATTTCGACAATATCGCCTTTCAAGGATGCAAGACATTGTGAACACGCACGAGTTTTCCGCGTTGTTTCTTTTTTCCGTTTCCCCATCAGCTCTCTGCCCAAGTTGTTGCTTGACCAGCTCATCCATCGAACCCACTCGGATCTTCGCCCCTGTTCACGGACCCCAGTCGCTTTGAGTAGCACCCAATGGCACTGCGCCGCATCTCGTCGACGCAGGGACCCTCAACCGGCTCGGGATCCATTCTAGATTGACGGTGTCACCCGGCCGACCTTGTTTTCTTTCCTCCGATTAAAAAAAAAAACCTCCTGCCCTCTCTCTATCTTTTTTCTGGCTCTCCCTACGTAAATCTCTCTCGCGACATTCGCCGTCAAGGCTTCGACGAACCACGCAGCGAGCAAAGAGAGGATACGGAAGGTCGCGCGTTCGAACCCGAGCCAATGGTCTGCGCCGCCGCGTCGATCTGACCGCTGACTGACTGGCTGAACTGGGTCCGGGTTTGTCGTGTTATGTCGTCCCGCTTCCTCGCTGGTGCCGCCCCGCCGCATCTTCTACACCGACAACGCTTGCGCCGCCGCCCTCGCCCTCGCCCTCGGCCAGGTTCGTAGACAGACAGACAGACAGACAGACAGATAGATAGATGTCTGCGAGCCGCCGCGCGCGATAGCGAGCCCTTTCTGTCCGCCGACAGCCGTGCGTGCACTGACTTCATATCGCCCGTCGCCATGCGGCCCCCGACCACGATGCTCAACCTGCCGTCCTCGCTGCTCCCGTTCCTCCTCCTCCTCCTCCTCCTCCTCTTCGGCGCCGCCGCCCAGCCCCCGCAGCCGACCGCAATCCGCAAGATGTCGCTCGACGAGGGCGAGAAGTTCTTCGCGGAGTACTACGCCTTCGGCGACCCCGCAGCAGCAGCAGCAGCAGCGCTGGGCGCGCGGGGCGACAGCTCGCTCCTCGCCAACGTGTCCGCGGCGCCCTTCCTGCCAGCGTACCCGGTGCACTACGGCGGCGCGGCAGCGGCAGCGGCGGCGGTCGCGAGCAATGCCTCTACCTCTACCTCTACCTCGCCGCTCGACCCTTCGCGCTCGCCCTCACCCGAGGCCGCGTGGGCGCGGCGCGCGGACGCCCGCGCGCTTCTCCGCGGCCGCCAGTTCGCGTGCCCGGCGGGGACCAGCAGCTGCGCCGACGTCGGCCGCCCGGGCTACTGCTGCGCCGACGGCACCGCCTGCTTCGTCGTCCCCGGCGCCCCCGACGCCGGCAACGTCGGCTGCTGCCCCCAGGGCCAGACCTGCAGCGGCAGCGTCGGCGCCTGTCCCGCCGGTGCCGCCGCGTGCCCGGCTGCTCAGGGCGGCGGGTGCTGCATCCCCGGCTACGCCTGCGCTGAGATGGGGTGTGAGTTCTTGTTTTATTCCTCTCTCTCTTTTCCTGGTTGATTTGCGTGTTTTCCGTTTCTTCCCGCAATATTTCGCCCTTTAGCTTTCTCTCTCTCCTTCTTTTTTCCTCGGAAGACACACTGACCCCTCTTCCTCAGGCGTCTTCAGCACCGTCTCGATCATAACCCAGCCCCAGACGACCCTGACCTCGACCACCATCTCGACGGCGCCGGCCCCGCCACCGCCTAGCACGCGGGTCGTGACCGTGATCGTGACCGTGACGCCCTCGGACGGCGGGGACCCGGTCGCGAGCACCACGACGCGGACGACGACGCTCTCGGGCGGTGCCGGCGGCGGCGTGCCACCCTACCGGCCGACCGGCACCTCGTCCTCACCGACCGCGCCGGCTTCCACCTCGGACGCGGCCCCGCCGCCCGAGGACTCCGACACGGCGTCGTACTGCCCCACGGGGTTCTACCCGTGCGTGGCGCGGGCGGGCGGCGGGTGCTGCCGGACGGGGCGCGACTGCAGCACGACGTCGTGCCCGCCGGCGGCGCCGTCGACAACGGTGCTCGCGACGGACGGCGCGACGGTCGTGGTGCCGGCGAGCGAGGCCCCGCCCGCCGCGGCGCCGAGCCCGACGTGCGCCGGCGGCTGGTTCCTGTGCGACGGCGCCGACAGCGGCGGCGGCTGCTGCCCCGCCGGCTACCGCTGCGGCACCGCGAGCTGCACGCTCGAGGCCCCGACGGCGACCGCCACCGTGCAGAAGGCGCTGCCCAACGGCGCGGTCGGGAGGAGGGCGGTCAAGGGCGGCGGGTGGTTCGGGTTGGGACTGGGGCTGCTTGTGGCGCACGCCGGGGGGCGGTTTTAGGGGCCGAGAGGAGGAGTGGAGAGTGTGTGGTGGTGGTATGTGTGACGACGATGCGATGCGATGCGAGACAAAGCGGTGAGATGACGGGATACGGCACGCTACGACGCTACGATTTTCGACACGACGTCTATTTTGACGAGGAATGACGAGGTATAGAGGAAGAAGAGAGGGGCCTCGTCTCGTGGGTGCGGCAGCGTGGAGGGGTGAGCCGGCCGTTTCCATGTACGGGGGTGGAGGGTTGAAAGAAACACGAAGATATGCGGATAGACGGAGAGGCACAAAGACTACGCGACGCTCGCGAGACGAATTTGCATGGGAAGGAGTTTTTGCTGGTAATTAGCATCCGTCACGGCTGCTCTATGGGACCCCGGGCCTGTCACTGCTCCTACACGGGTCTCAGTTGTTGGCCGTAAGCAATAATGAATGCCCAGCTATCATTTGTAACCGACTTGCTAGACTTACACCGTCTTCTTTCTGAATTTGACGGTACTCGTCCCTGTTGTTGCAATGCTCTTCGCGCTCGTATAGGTTATTTAGAGCGGGCAGCGTCTTCCCAAACATCCTTATCGAAAGGGAAGATAACGCGCCGGTTCCTGGTTTCGAAGGTGGCTATATACTCATAGGAACCGGCGAAGGCGATTTGCAAGGCCTACCAAAGACCCTTGGAATGTTTCGCAGGGGAGTGTTCGCGTTCATGGGCCGCTGCCTGTCCCCTGCCTAAGTACAGGTCACATTTGTTTTTGTGCCCAGCCCCTTCTTATGCAACGGGCTGCACAGCTGGAGTACCGTAACGAAGGGGAGGCACCGTGTGGGCTTAGGTCCTGACCGCCTCTTGGTAAGCCGAAGAGGTGCTCTCCACCATATCTCGCTACCTATATATACCCCAGACATACTCATAAGTAGCTGCGGGAGCGCACCAACTTCATCCGCAACAACGCGCCGTTCGAGGACGCGAGACACTCCTACCGACCACCCAGCCCAACCTCTAGGACCAAGATTGGCTACATCATGCCCGCTCCCAAAAGCACACGACGGCGTCCGGCCGAAAGGCAGACAGTCAACACTCGCCGAACACGACGGTATCCGGACTGGTACTATCGTGTGGTTGCTCTGGCCGCCAAGGAGGATCGGGAGGTGGAGAGTGACGACTTCGAAGAGGATCTGTCTGAATTAGAGTCCGAGTCAGACGAAGATTATTTCGAAGTGTCGGTGGAAGAGTACGACAAACACACCCTTTACTATGACCTCAGGAATCGACGCGAAGAATATAAAGAGTGGATGATCGGGTTAAAAAAAAAAAAGGCGGATAAACAAAAATTCGAGCGCAGCAGGGAGGAAAAGGTGCAAAAAGTGTACGATGACTTGCAAGGAGCCGAGATGGAGGGTGATTTGCCCGATCTTGACTGCCTCGACGGGAAGAGGTTCCGTCTCTATTGTGCCGACCACGTGGAGTATTGTAACAACCCGGACACGGATTGGCTCAGAGAATTGCAGCTCTACTGGTCAGACTTAAACACCGAACTACTACCAGTCGAAGGAACACCAACACATATCGCCGGTGAAATTATAATCGATTCAGACCGCTACTACACGTTTAATCCTTTCCCCCATCCCGGAGCGCCGAGTCGGGAGGAAGTTCGGGCGGAGAGCAGCAAGGGAGGGCACGAGATCGTGTTTCAGTTCGTCAGCGACAAGTACCTGATCATGACTGTCAGCCGAGAGCTGGTCTTCATGCACGGCGGGCCGCCGCCGGCGTCGTGTCCAGAAAGATTCAGGTTTGTGGGCGTCTTTTACACCGAGGAGGAGATGGACATGCGGCGTCTGGGAGTAAGCGGATATTCACCGTCTCCGCCAGCCTACACCCAGCAACCACATGTATTTGTCCCACAGTAGAATCTCTAATATAAGCTGCCTAGTACCTAGGTAGGTAGCCAATGCCGACCTCGCCCGTCGAAGAGCGAGTAAATGTTAACCCGGCAAACGTGCATTCCCGCTTTCCTTCCTACTGCCTCGAAATGATCACGGGTCCCAGAGGCTAGAGCAGTAGGTACTAAACCCTACCTGTCCTCTTCGCGGGAGCGTTGCCGACTTGAAGAAACGGCTTCCTGCGAAAGAGAACCCTTTCTTAAAACTAGCTTATCGTTTCGGAGAACAAGATGGGTAAGGGTAGTCTCTACACCTCCTTTCCTGCCACCTGCTTGCTCGTCGTAAACGTGCGATGCTTCGCCGCGTCTCCAACCGCAAAAATCTCAGATAATCACCGCGAGGTAGTGAGTTGGTTGAGCTGGTCGAGTGTAAACAATTCTTCTCTCCCTTGTAAGGTGGCTTCCCGAGCTCCCGGCCCGGCTGCTATGGTGACGGCGACCGGGTTTTGAGCTTAGAAGTGAGTGATAAGAAACGGCTTTTCCTACAGGATTGTTTCTACGAAACGGAATAAGGCTGGGTGGCGAGCGGGAAGTGAAGTGCTGCCTTTCAGCGTTGTCACCGACACGTGATCGCGGCATGATTAATGGAATACAGCAGCTTTGATTCGATAGACTTTGCGCACTTCGTCATCTCTTATCGCATACACGCCGACATAGATTCTAGTCTGTCAAAATTCCCTCTAACCATTACGCGGGCCAAGGCATCTCTCTCTCTCGTCAGCCATGGTCTGCTTGTATCTCTAGGGGGGCGTAAATCGTCGCAAGCCCGTCTCAAATCCCCTCGCCTCGAACCTACACATCCGACTTCCACATGTTCTCCTCCTGGGTCCGAGGCGGGACGAGAATGCCAGCTGCGATCGATCCATATCCTCTCCGCATCTATGCAACTACGCACCTCTCTGCGTAGGCATATAGCGGCATTATCACCTGCCCTCCAGAAACAAAACCAAGCCAGACTCAGGGAATGTAACCACAACGCCTCCCGATGCTGAATTCCGTACCCCATCTCAGAGCCGCCTCCGCCGCCGTCATCACCGCCGCCGACACCGGCACCCATTCGTTATTTTTCAGACCCGAGTTATGTTGGATTATTAAGTGCGATATGGTAATGGCTGGGAGATCCCAGCCCCTGGTGCCAGCCCGGTGGTTTGGATGAGCGGCCGGTGGCCGATAAAAATGGATAAAAAGGTCAACAGGAAAGATGGTAGTTGGGAATTCACATGGTCCAGGAAGTGAAGCAAATTATCCGGATGGCGCCCGGTTCGGCAGGTATCGGCAGGTATATCGCATTGCCCCGTCCTTCGCGCGTGTTCTTCAGCTTCTCCTAAGATAGCACAAGCGCACCGACGGCGGCGGCAGCGAGAGCTAGTAGCGAGGACTGGAGCGTAGCGGCGGCGCCCTGCTCGGGCGTGGGGGTCGCGGTAGATGATGAGCCAGCGCCGGAGTCGAATGTGGTGCTGGGGCCGGAGGGGACGGCAGTGGCGCTGCCGCGGACGGTGCTGCTTGTGGCCAGCGTGGCGTTGATTCCCAACCCTGAGCTGATGGAGCCCGAGACGATGGTGCCGGCGGTGCCGGTTGCGGAGGCGGTGGAGCCTGTGCCGAAAGCCGTGCTTACAGTGGTAGTGTTGCTGCTGCCGGTTCCCGAGGCGACAGCACTGCGAGAGGTGGTAGCGGTGCTGATGACAGAAGCACCGCTACCAGTGATGGCGGTGCTCTGCTGCGCTACAGCAGCGGTAGCCGCGAACAGCACGATAGCCGAAGTGACCTTCATCTTGATGACGGGTGGCGTGGTGTTTCTTCCTTTCCTGCTCTTCGCGGGGATGGGGATGGACTGGTTGGCTGTGGGAGTTCGACTTGAGGGTTCGACTTTCGAGGACCTTAGCGGCGATATATAGCTCGGAGGATACTAAGGCGAGATTCGTGGGACGGAGGAGGCAAATATATGAAGCATACGATAACGTATATTATATATTTATATATGATACCAGGACTGTTTGTATGGCCGTTTGCTCGAGGAAGCGAAGAAGGGAGGGAGTTCTGCGTGGAACCAACAAGACGAGTCGGATACGAGGGACAACAATTTATATATACCTAGGTATAGGAAATAGCCACCGAGACCTGAGAGAAGAAGAGAGAGAAGACGCCGAGCACTATGAAGCAGACCCACCAGTGTGAGATACGCAAACCTCGAACTGCTTGCGTGTACGGGATACATATTGGCTGCCCTCCTCTTCGGCCATACCCTGGCATTTGACGGGCCACATCGGGGTTGTCCCAGGATTACGCGTGTCGAGGCTAACGTTTGCAGAGACGCAGCTGGTGGGCCGGGCTGGAATCCATTGTCTGGTGCGCATGGCTGGCACGGTAAGTCGGTAGTGCGTGTGCAGGGCTGGGGGTGGGGGGTGTGTGTGGTCTTGGTGCGCGGTCTTAGTCTCAGTCGACCCCGGTAGACCCGGGTAGCTGGACTGAAGGCAACGAACCCTCCAGAACGGCCGAAAAGGGAAGAGAGGGAGAGGGAGCGGAAAACCGGGGACGCTCGCGGCTGTGAGATGGCGCGAGGCGCGAATCAAAGAGGCTCGAGGGCTCGAGGGCTCGAGGGCTCAAGGGGAGCCTGGAGACGGACGAACCGCCACAGGCCGCTGACAGGGTCTAATGGCCCTAGCGGGCTGTGGCTCAGCGTCATCTGAGCCGCCACGGTTTTTTCCTTGGTGCGCTTCCCTTCCCTCTTTTCTTCCCTCCCGCCACAGTTACGTTAGGTTGGGTACCTCCAACCTTGGGTACCTAAGGCATGTACATACCTCTACATCGGGTAGGTATCTGGTCACTCCTGAGTCTCTCCCTCCCTCTTGTCCGTATGCATGCTCTCATATGCTCCATGCTATGCATGCACATCGGTGCATAAAGGACAAAGCAAGCTGGGCACCCCCCTGTTCGCCCCTCCCCCTCTCTCAGGGGGGTACCTAGTTTTTCGTGGCAACATGCCCCGATGTTGCTCACCTGACCCTCGACTTACGTACGCTTCAGAAACACCGCCCTGCATCTCTCTCAGTCTCTATCCGCGAATGTGCCTACCTACCTAACCCTAGCCTACTACGCTCCCGCAGGCTGTGTACGATCTATATGGAGCCGTGTGTCGGACTCGGGTGTCTTGGCTGCGAAGATGCAGATGATCATCGCCGCGTGGTGCGGGCTGTACCCTATCTCTGGAGCGACACCCGTATAGCCTGTGGTCGCGTCCGCGTAATTCGTTGCGTGTGTCGACGATACGGCGCAGCAACGGGCTCTTCGCCTTTTGCGCAGCGAGATGCCCCCCGTCCGATGAGACATATCGGCGCGCCATCTGAGCCGCGACCGGCCAGCAGGCTCCCATAGTAGGGATTCATTTACTGTAGCAAACTGGAATGCCTCGAGCGCCGTCCTGCTCTGAGTGGCAGGGAGAACTTGGAGGCCCGTCCTTGTCGGCGCACCCGGGGATCCCCAGTGGTTAGGCCGTGTTAGTCGACCGAAATAGTAAGCGCGAGAGCGATCAGGACGAGATGCCGATGGATTGGGACGGCACATCGGGAGAATCCATCGTATTAGTAGATACGGCGTTTACCGAGCACAATTCTGGAAAATCTGACTCGAAGCCACACCCGCGGTCGCGGCCAAGGGTCCTGTTACCCGGAAGCTTACACACTTGTCTATGTGACTGATATTCCGTAGGGTGCACTTGGGGGGCGTACTTAGGTGCCTTATTGAATTAGGTACCTCTTCCTACGTTATCTCCACTCATAAGCGTGGCCAAGTTGTGCCTATGTCACCCTCCCTTGACGTCACAAACTCTAAATTTAGCACCGCCCGCGAAGTCCGTCCTTCCCGCTCCAGCCTCCATCACCGTGTACTCTGTACTTATCCGTACCGACCTTTCGCAGGCGTGGCTGAAGCGGTCCCTTACTGATTGCGCCACCAGCCGGAAGCAAGCCGGGGAAAGCTTGTTTGGGGCGCCACCGGCCACCGGGGTGGGGCGGGTTACTTCAGCAGTTACGTACCTCCTACCTGGCACGTTGCCTACAGGTACCTAACCTAAGGTAGGCACCTAGGTACCTAGGTACATACTATACGTCGGTACCTAAAAGTGGCCAGCCGGCCCGTCCGTCGCATCCATAGTAAGGTTGACTTCTTTCCAGCATTGAATCGCAACGAACATCGCACCACTCGTTGAGCAACCCAATAGCAGAATAACCTGCCCCCCCCCAAAATTCTACTCCTGGGACTGCCCGCAGCCTCTGCCAGATTGGCGTCTGGACCTCCTCAGATGCTAGGAGCGAGCGACACCGACGCTGCGAGACGCAGCAGACTGCGGCCTGCCTATGAGGCGCTCGACTCCGGCCTCCCACGTCGCATTCTACAACCCCAAATCCCGACGTTATGAGTACCTAGGACGCTCTGTGGCTTGCACACGTCCGGAGAACCATTGTTGCCGCGTGGCAGTCCGATGTGTGTGCGATGCCCACCCAGACCACCTCGCGCACTCCCACGCCGCGTCATGGCTCGTCGCCAGGCCCGTTTGAACCGTTAGCAGCACGACAAGTCGCGCAGCCAAACGTGAAACCTGTTCCCGAGCTTGGGCAGGGTCGCGGCCTCGTCTCCCTTGCCAATTCTCACGTCCGACACGTGAAGTCGGACCCGATATACTCGAGACCCTCCCTACATGCTCTAGAAACAAGCCAGACCCCCTAAGCCCTGCCTAGTCTTCTCCCGGGGGAGGTTGAGACAAGCCATCCCGGCCCGCCCCCCCGGCCATGATCGACACGGCGACCTAGGGTATCTACCTACCTCTCCTCTCCTGGCGAGCTTGCATTGCTGTCCATCAGTTTTGCCCGTTGCTATCGTAACCGGGGTAGGTATTGTAGGCAGGTGTCTACTACCCGGGCCCCCACTAGTAACGGCGGCCCATCACGATTCTGGAACCCAGAAGTCGACGTTACATCCCTCAGCTGGTTGAACCACGTCATTGGGGTCGCGCGACGTCGTAGCAGCGACCAGGCTGTAAGACACGAAGTCGTGTTGGGAGCGCAGTCTCCAGCATTCTACTCCATGATGCGAGGGAGTATCGATCCAGGGACAGCGTCTCGCAAACAATCCGCAACTACTATACTCATATGAGAATACCCTGTCTGGAGTCTTGGCATGTTCTCCCGCGATACACCACCTAGCCACCCCTGCCTCCGGCTGGGCCCCTCTTCGGCCTCCCCCAATCTTGCGACAGCCGCGCATACGCGTCTTGCCTCCCGCCCGTCATGCAACTTGGTAAGGTGGGCTGACTTTGTACTGACGTTCCCAGACACAAGCTTGAAGCAGCTCGCACGCAAGCTCTCGATACACACTGCGATTCTAGCCTATGCTAGTCGATCGCGAAAATGTCGTGCATAAGAGCTGGTGGTATTACGTAGGTAGTAGAGCGACCATGCGGCACCAATGCGTCTATCGATAGTAGGTATATTGGGTGCGCCATACGTCAATTCGCCAGATGGCTCGCTGGCTATAGCAGTACATAAATCCCGGAATTATAGCTTCTGATTTGACCCAAGGTCGTGTGATCTTGTATACCTACCTAGTGATACCACCTACCGTAGAACGCTTTTCGCCTCATCCCGTCCCGCTTCTGGTTCCTTGCCGTCCATCGAATCCACTTCGAAGCGCCAAGCCAAAGTCACCACCGCACCTACGATGCCACGCACCTCCGAAACAAAACTCGAGCGCACCAGAATCTATTTCGGTTTCCAGCGCTGAGCTCCCAGGCGAGCCAACCTAGGGTCTGAGCCGAGGCAGGCTAGAGCAGTGCGGGACCGCCGAATTCTGGGGCCTGGTGCCCCCTTGGTCTAGCATGTTTAGGGCCAAGCACCGGGGCCGCCCGTGTAGGTAGGTAGGTGTGTATCCACAGGGATGCAGCGATCGCCAACGGCCGCGAGGCCAAGGTCAAACACGTAGATCCTCAGCCTGCCCCGGGCCAAGGGTAGTGGTAACAAGCAAGGAATTGTTCTAGATAACTGGGCTCCTTTCTCCTCTCGTCTTTGTGCGCTGGGTTCGCGAAGAATTGAAGCGACGTCTTGCCGTCTATTACCTACAGGCAGAGATCGCCAGGCTTCTCTCCTACGTAAGAACAGCCCCGGCGATAGGAAGGTGAAGTTAGGCAGATTTGCGCCAGGCGCGCTCGCGGCGGTACGGAGTCGCGTGGCTATATCACGGAAATTCGCTTTGATAAGTAAGAATCACGTTCTTATTAAGTGCTTTGCAGACGTGCTTCAGCGGGCTAGCCCCCGCCGCCACCAAGTTGCTGCTTGCTAGCCTTCATGCTTGATCCGTTTATTATTGCACTGGAAGTAAAGTAGTTGGTTGATTTGTGTTTTAAATGCTTAGTTATTTCGTATTTTAAATACCTAGTTAATATATGCATCTGCGGGCAGATGCCCTTGGCACGACGACCAGCTAGAAGCGGGTGATGTTGGGGGGCTGGTCCTCACAGGTCTGGCAATGGTTACATTGTTGGTCGTTTCTTCGTTTGGCTCTCGTTAGGCTTGTTGCTACGCGAAAACGCAGCCGCCTACGTCTCCCCGTGGGTTATGTAGGCTTTGAGTGTATTATTATAGGTGGAATTCCTTACGTCGCATCGGTTCTTGTTCTGGTTCCTGGCGAGTCCTCGTATGTTACATTGCAACGCTCTTCGTTAATGGGGATAAATATTTCTAAGTAACTTGATTTGATTCCATTCTGTTATAGCTTAAGTTCCCTACTCAAAACAACAAGTACCTTCTTAAACGGTTTCAGACTGTTAGCTGCTCACGGTGTAAACACATGTGCCTAGTACTACAGGCAGGATAAGAACGACTCTTTAGTGTAGTCCAGCCTGGAACGCACGACAACTTCAAATCGACGAGTACGATCCAGGAACGCGCCTCGCATTTCGTAATACGCCTCCACGCTGGGCCAGACTTTGTTGGGGTCGCGATCCGTCTCCGGATTCCACGCCCGCCACAGCGCCTTGCTGATCTTCCACGTAATCACCAAGGGCGGCGCCTCGAAGCGCTGACCCGAGGAGTCGGAGAGGCGTAGCGAGTCTAGCGCGAGCACGAGTCGGTCCGGCTTTCCGGCGCAGAGGCTGCCGCGATATAAGATCCGTGGGCTGCGTCTGGCTGTCGAAGTGGGGAAAAATAGAGCATGTGTTAGTGTCTGGATCGTATACGGGCTTGTGTCCGCGGCGGAGGCCTCCAAGTGGTCGTATCTGAGGCTAAACCGCACGATTTTGGGACAGAGTGAAAAGTCTGGCAGACACAAGTACACGTAGTTGGTGTCCCAGTGCGAGAGCAAGTAAGGCTCAGGCAATGCGTCCGTTGCTTCACCAACTTTATATACCAGTCTTCGGACCGTACCTGGTAACGGATCCGTTGCGGCCTTGTCCCCGTATTTGTAGGTTGACAGGAATACATTACAGAGCGAAGTTTTAGTAGCATCGTCTTCGTAAGTGATCAGCAGATAATCAAGGTACCGGCCGCAACCAGAAAAGTGAAGACCTGTTACACATCCCTAGTTAGCAACATAATAGGCAATAACTTTATTTTTAAAAAAAAAAAAAATACCCAGCATACTTCTCACGACCGCGGACGCGGAGCTGTTAGACTCAGCCGGCTCGTCAATCTGCCGTACGCTTATTTCCCCTGTTGTCATATCGAGGACTTGTAATTCGCCCGGGGACTGAGACCACACGGCTACCTTCTGAAAGGGGTGAAATGCGCAAGATACTTGGGGCCGACCGCGACCCCTAGTCCACGAACGCACGATAGGAGTTTCTCCTTCGCGAAGGAAAACAAGACAACTATATTTGGCTTTTGTATCACTGTCGCCCGGATGTTCGTCAGGGTCGCTGTCGGAGTGATGACCGGAATCATCGGCAGGGTCTGAAGGGCCGTCCTCGCTAGATTCTTCGGAGGGTGTATCGTCTCCATGGGCCGAGTCAATCTCTTCTCTATAAGACTTGCAAAGAGAAGAGGCGGTGAAATGGATCCCGTAAGCCGTGTCGTTCTCTATCGTTGAAACTGACTGCGTAACCATGTTCCACGTAGTCGAATCCCGAGCGATTGCCCTGTCGGGTAGACCGGTATATACTTCTTGTCCATCGTACTCAATAGACATGTTGTAGAGGTTGATAGACCAGGCGCTGCGACTCTCTGTCGTGTTTTGTATGATGCTACGACTAAATCGAATAAGTCGGTCCCCGAAGTCAGATTTGCAGTGCACATTTTGGAAGACATGATGCTCGGGCCGATGGATCACCTTTGCGGAGATGTCGGACCAACCCATACCATTCCCATTTGGATAAGCGATCCGAGTACAAAGATCTGATCCCTTGAAGGAGATGTCGGTCAGAGAGGTTGTCGAGGGAAATCCCATCGGCATAAGCTTTTGCAGCCGGACGTTTTCGCACTCGACCGACTTCAACCCCGCAAAGAGTTCACAGCTCTCCTGGTCCATCACGCAGTGGCCCCACGGTTCGTCAGAGAGCTTCAGCATCCCGTTCCACTCTGCTATGTACTCCTGGAGTGCCTTGGTATACCTGTGCCCGTCAGGCGCACAGCCAGGAAGCCAGTGCGGCAAGATGTCTGCGATCTGTCTATCTCCTATCAGCACGTCACGCTGACCTACAGCGAAACCAGATCCCGTCTTGGTGTATGTAGAGAACAAATGCGGGTGGGCCTTGGCTTGCGCGGCGAGGCAGGTCCAGAAGGCAGGGCTTTGGAGGAACGACTTCACTTCAGCGAAGAGCTCGGGCGACGGGTCGCCCCGCCCGAGATGCAAGAACCAGAATGCCGCTGCGTATTTTAGGAGCGCGTGCTCTTCCCTGTCGCTCAACATCGTGCTTATATCGACTTTGCCCTGGTAGCGCCGGTAGTTAAGGTATCCCAAGCAGTGTCGGCCCAGCTCTCGGTTCCCCTCTTTGATATCAACAAAGAAGCTCTGAAACTCCCTGTCCTCAATCCCCAATTCTGCCGGGCTCTGCGTCAGGTACTCTAAGACGGATTTGTGGACGAACTTGATGACGCGGTCTCCGTCGCTCTGGCCTTCGGCAGCGTCCTCTACCTCGATGAGGGAGCCGCAGAGATCACGAATACGCTTGAACTCCGAGATACGGCTGGGCTGAAATTCGTCGTGACCCGGGCCGAGTCTGACCGCCAGAGCATGCAGCAGCTGGTTGATGGTGAAGGGCTGGGCTGCGCATGCCATGAACACGAATATGCGCCTTACAAATGCGACATGTTAATAAGTCGGAGAGAGGATTGGGTAGCTGGTTTACTTCCGTGCTCACCTCGCAAAGTCTCGATGGATTTTATCCCGTTGTGCGATTCTAGCAATGCAACGTTGATAAAGGTGCTTTAACCCGTCGGGGAAGCTTGAGAGCTGCTCGTGTCTCTCTTCCTCGCTCATCCCCGTGTCGTCGCAGAGGATGCGGAAGATGAGGGCAGAGTACAGAAAGTTGGCGTCCGATTTGGCCGTGATAAGGGCAACGCAGTCCTCACACATCTTGATCTTCATCTCGCTTTTCTTCGCTTCTAGATAGATGGTGATATCTCGCTCGATCTGGTCTTTAGATGGGCATATTTCGACAACGTTCGCGTTCTGCATCGTCCTCCGGATCGGGGGCTCGCTGCGGCTGGTGAAGAACCATTTCACAATGCCGTTTGCCGCGTAGCAGAACAGGTCAGACAACAGGTCCAGACTCTCGTCAGCATTCTGCTGACATTCGTCCAGCCCGTCCACGATAATGTGAACACGTGGAATGTCGTTGAGAAAGGCTTTGATAATACCGATAGCCGTCCTGGGTTTAGTCAATTGGTCGGCATAATGTTTGGCTTCTGCCTCATATAGGTCGTAGACCCCGTCGGGGATGTCGTCACGAATAGTGGCGCTGATCTTCAATAAGCGCAGAGCGATGGAGCGAAGCGCGCTGAGCGGACTGTTCCGCTCGTTGTCGTTGTAATCGAAGCGGAAGTGTACCACCTGGAGATTCTTCTCTTCCATATGGCGTGCCACCATGGCTGAGAGGAAGGTCTTTCCCGACCCCGGAGGAGCATTATACCACACGACTTGATTTGTGATGCTGGCATCTGAGCACCAGCGTTTGAATCTCTCGTCCTCCAGGATCCAGGTACAGGTTCGGTCTTGATAGCCTCGGTTCCGGAAATCGAACTTGTCGTGCTTTTGTCCGCCAGCGATCCACTTGGCTATTTTGCGATGTCGTGCCTCTGAACGTGGAGTCAAAGTAAAAGTGTCAGTGTTAGTGATAGACCTAATAATAATAATAATAATAATAATAATGATATCATATATTAGGTGTGGGGTTGAGCTTGACGGGGATTCACCTTTGGTGGCAATCGCTTCGGCTATCATTCTCATGTCCCTCGCATTCTTCTCTAGCTTCCTCAGGTATTCATCCCATTCTTCGGAAATGGACTTGACCAGGCTGCTTCCCAGGTTTCTCCAGGCTATTAAAATACAATATAATACAAATAGTTAGAATACGTACGGTGACCGCATTGGGGGAAGGTGGTTAGAAAACATACTCGACCGGCCGAGAATAATAGATGCCCGGTGCCAGATGTTGATAATCGTCGTATAGTCTTCGACGAGCATCTCCTGCATCTTCTTAGATGTTCTAAAGGAGGCCTGGTTCTTATCATTGCAGAACAACCTCACATCGATATCGTGCATGAGGTCGCCCATCTTACTAAACGTCCCCTCGTGATCTTTCGAGAGTTCCAGGAGGAGTAGAGCACCGCCAAAGACTGCTCCCCCCGAACCCATCGTAGTGCTCTGGCCGATGTGTATGCCTGCCATCATCAAGCGCTTTAACGACCCGACTAGCGGGCGGATCTTCGAACATATCCTGCTCAATTTGTTCTCTTTCTCATACCTTTTTAGGAAATCTTTCAATTCTTGGGCGTAAACTTCGACTTCTTCATTAGCACTTAAGTTCATAGAAGCCGCTTGAATCTCTATGACGCGCTCATAGAATTTGCCCCTCCTGTCTTTAGGTCGGAGCTGATCTTTCCAACCCTTCAAGGCTTTTGAGAATAGGTTTTCATCCGTAGCAATAGTCGTCATCGCTCCACTTGACTTGAGACGTAGTTGGAATGGTGGTATTCACTGAATAGATGACAACTTCCTCTTTCAACAGAGGAATTATATCTTGAAAATGGGTCTGCATTAATTGATGTATAATGTTGATTTATTTAGTTCTCTTGTGCCCACATGGGGCGTTTAACAACGTCTCTTCTTTCTACTTAACGAGGCTGTGGTGATTTGGTAAGACATAGCATGCATAGCCACGTGTATTACGTATCTATGTTTCCGCAGGAGCGATTTTTTCGAGGTCCTAAAATGCCTCATGGTCCGCCTTGAACATGACTCGGGGAGTTTTTGCATTGATTTATTGATTAAGGACAACGCAGCCCTTGTCGAGATGCAACCATACCATTCTTGGAGTTCGATTCGTGTATAGAGTCGGCTACACAATATTACAGCCTGCATAAATGGGCTGTCCTGTGCATTCATGAGGAGAACAGATCGGCCCGACAGAAATTAATACGTTGCGTGTGTCACACACCACACATGATAGTTATCGTCTATGTGCTTCGTCGGCTTCGTAGGCTACGGCCTTGTCTAAGATACACATTGTTATATCCGCCCAGGAGTCTTGTATAAGTAATGTATTGAATACCGTGATGTGATATTACGAAAATCCAACAACATTGCTCTGCCTACAGTCACTGCTTCTTCTATCACGAATTCTATCCTCAAACGTTAGCCTCTTTGTTTCTGAGCCCACAACTGCCTTATACAATGGCAGAAAAGTGTGAGAAACCCGAAACGTCTCCGAAACCCGAGATACAGTGGGTTTACCAGAGACGAAGCGGCACGAAGTCGAAGATTGGCTTGGAGTCAAACGTTGACGACGGTGCCGCCTTTGCCCTACGGGTCGTCTTTGAATTCGGCGATAAGGCTCTACCGGAAATCACCCGTCTTACGGTTAACTCGCCTCACCTGCTGAAAATCCTCAAATCCGTCGTCAAAAATCATCCATACGCCTCAACCGACTTTGAGTCTCCATTCGAGATCGAAAAACCTTACCAAATCCTTTACCATTATTGGGACAACCTTCACGCTGCGTACGAACTGGATGATACCACAGATGAAGAGAGAGTGCACCTTAAGCTCTTGCTCAAGTTTATGCAGCAGGAGATGGGTCAAGACAAGGAAAGGGCAAAATCGATGGTCAATTCAGGACGAATCACCTTTGCAATGCTGTGGACAATATTCCGCCCTGGAGACCTCATGTACATTCGGGACCATGCTGGCCCACGGCTTCTCCGGCTGGTGAGGACGGCATACGACGAAAACGTTCCTCAAGGGAAGTATATGGACGTCTTTTGCTGGTATAATGACTACGATGGTAACTGCTTTGGACTGGCCCAGGAGCGGGTCAGAATCATTCAAAAAAAAGTATTTCCCGGGGAACAGTCGGCTCCCGTGAAATCCTTGCCTGTGTTTCCACGATCCTTCAGTACTGAGGGACCGAGTCTAGAGGATGAGCTGGCGGAGAGGGGGCACCGCTTCTGTACTGCCCAACGTGAGCATGTGCAGTTCTACAGCGGGCTGGCGTGGCATGTCAAGGAAATACCGCTAGATTGGTTCCATCCAGAATATAATAACGAGCCGGCTGTTTGGGAACCGTATATGGTGAGTTAATAATCTTTGTTAGCTCTACAGGAGTGAAACTGCTGAGAAACATAGGAAACCGGCCGTGTCATACTTGATAAAAAAACCTTTCTCGAGGATAACAATGCGGATTGGGTATCTGTGAGCCCCCAGGATATGGATGATGCGTCCCAGCGCATGCTTCTCCCACCATATACCCACGGTTACTCCCTTGCCCGGAAGGAATGGTGCAAATTCTCCATTAACTGTCTCTCGGTACCGGAGTGGGATACCTCCGCTTTAGACAGGGTTATCATCGACGAACATCGCAGGGATGTACTAAGATCTTTAGTTCTTGCGCATGAGTTTCCGCAAGGTGCTGTAGACCTATTCGCACAGAAAGGCAAAGGCTTGGTAGTCCTCCTCTATGGGAGCCCGGGAAGCGGAAAGACTGTGACCGCCGGTAAGCAGCGTGGACTAAGTACTGGCATAAGTATACTAACACCTACAGAGTCGGTGGCCGAGGTAGCAAGGAAGCCTCTGATACGTGCGACTATGCCAGAGTTGAACAAGCATGACCGACAATATTACTTTGAAGTTGCCTTACAGAGATTGCTCAAGCACGCGACCAAATGGCAGGCGGTGGTTCTCCTGGACGAAGCTGACGTCGTCCTGGAAGGACGGTCGGACAGCCCGGGAAAAACATCTACGCACAACGCCCTCGTCGCGGTGCTCCTCAAGCACCTTGAGTACTTCGCAGGGATCGTCGTTTTGACATCGAACCTAGTGCGGGTCTTCGACACGGCCATGAAGTCGCGCATTCACTTGGCGCTCGAGTACCACCCACCTGACGTCGACATGATGCACCAGATCTGGAAGACCGCTGTGTCCGCGATTCCCGAGTCGGAGAGAGAGCTTGACTTAGACGTGGACCTGCAGGAATTCCTCGCGTCTGAGCTTAACGGCCGCGAGATCGCCAACTGTATCCACACGTCGAGGACGCTGGCGCGGCACGAGAAGACGAAGCTGCGCAAGGAACATATCGTCAAGATATGGAAGACGATAGAGATGTTCTCGGCGAGCCTTCGCGATATGAAAGCTGGTCCGAGAGCAGGGGAATTCGCTCGTATCTCGGGGAACACATTTGCGACGGGCGATGCTGAGTGACAACTTGGTCACATCGGGAGGCTATAAAGGCAGCAGTATCTGTATACGACCAGGTATGCTTGCCAAAATCAATCCTTCTCGTAGGTGGAAAGATACCGGACGTTCTCTCGTTGTCGTCCATACTATTTTGACCGGTGGGATTCTCGAGTATGGTAAAAAACAAACAAACAAGAGCAATATTTAATAGTCAGATAGAAAGTTGATTGAAATGAAGACTGCAATTAAGCTCTGAAGTTGTTGGAGTTGCCAAGGCTGGTGGTATGGGACATGGAACTAATTAACGCCATGAAACTGAAGTTACAGAAGTTGTCCTAAAGGAAAAGACCCGTTCCGGCGATTTCTGCTGTGGAAAGGAGGTACAGGCCAACCGATGTAAGCCTTAGTGTGGACGTGTATTCATTGTGAAGGTGGTTGTTATCGTAAGACTCGGGGGTCCGCTAGGAGCACTTTATCCCGGGAGCAAAGTGAATGACTTATTCGGAGGGTTCTCTTCAATTGTATTGGAAACGCTATCATGAGGGGGAATGAAATCCCCATCGCTGGTGTTGATGGTTTTGGTGAAGCAGACGGGCCTCATGGGCTCTTCAGGCAAATTTATTACCTAGGCCCGCTATGATTCCGGATACGGTTCCGGACGCTGGGGGAGAGGTCGTCTATACCTTGAAGAATGCGGTTGAACTACAGCAGTTCTACCTCAAGTTTGTCTCTTCCGATGTTCATGAGTAATAGGTTGGTTTCCACCCGTGGCCTAATAGTGACTGTGTGAAATGTCCTGCTAGAAAGCGATGAGCTCTCCCAAGAAGTATTTCATCATGAAGCCATTATAATGGAAATTGTTGTTGTTCGTCGACGACTTTGAGGGTCACCGCTGTCGACGGGGCCATAGGCTGGCAGCGTGGTCAATAGTCCATTCTAAAAGTAGGACGTGTCGTAGGTACGTTATTAGAGCCAGTGAGCGTTCAATGTACCTGCGGTCCCGTCCCTACAGGCCGCACCCAGCGTATCGTATGCCTAGGTATACCTACCTAGGTACCTATTGATAACCGGGAGCCCCTACAGCTAGGGTGGCAGGATTCTGCCGTCGGCCATCGGACCCCAGGTGGGTAGGCATAGTCACGTGACTTGCGCACGCCCTGCCAACGGAATTATTTGTCAATAGCTCCATCTCGCCAGCTCGAGTTTCTCAACTCAATCAGTAGTAGAGCTTCATCCTGACCGTCACACACCATATCAACAACAATGGAGCGGGGCCAAGGTAACTATGCGTCCTCCGGCAAGGCCGCCCGAATGTCTGCCCTCCCAAACCCCGCGTCCCACAACAGCATCGAGAGCTCCGCGGGACCAACAATTACGACGGTGAACATCCACCAGGCCTCTACCCCCGCCGAAGTCCGCACCGCCCTCTCCCTGCTGCACGCGCAAAAAGACTCCCTGATCCGACGTCTCGAGACTCTGCTCTCGCGAGCAGATCTAAGCCGCGACTTTGGGCGACTTGACCATCCGCGCGCCGGGTTGCGTTCGCAGGCGATCGCCACCCGAGCCATCGCCAACAACATGCTTTCCGGGGCAGCCTCGACGGCCGGGCTCCTACGCGACAAGGTGAAAGAGCTGGATCTCGAGAAGAGTAGGGTAGAGGAAACGCTTGTGGTGCTCGAGCAGGTCGCGGAGCTGAAGGCGTGTGTACACGGCGTAGTGGGTTCGATGCGGGCGCCGCAGGACTGGGAGGCGGCGGCGTGGTATATTTCGCAGGCTGCGAAGGTGCCGGAAGAGATAATACGGGGAAGCTTTGCGGCGAATGTGGTGCCTAGCATAGAGGCGCCAGATCCGCCGTGGGTGACCCTAGAGAAAGCGAAGGAGAGCTTGTGCAGACTTTTCTTGCGGGAGTTTGAGCGTGCAACGCGGGAAGGAGACGAAGTAAAAGCCACAGGATTCTTCAAGTTATTCCCATTGATTGGGAAGAGGGATACCGGGCTGGATGTATACGGGAGGTACGTATGTCAGGATGTAGCTGGGATGGCTCGGAAGACGTTGAAGCCCGAAATCGCCAGGCAGAAGGAGAGCTTCCTCTACGCTGATGCGCTAGGAAAACTGTTTCAACACATTATCCAGATAGTAGAGCTTCATACAATACTGGTTGAGAGGCATTACGGCGCTGGCGAGATGGTTAAGGTTATTGAGCGGCTTCAGATGGAGGTAGATGTCCAGGGCGGTATCATTCTCGACTCCTGGAGCGACGAGAGGAGGGTTGATCGGAGATTGATGGACGTCAAGAGTTATTCTTTCTCGTTCCTGATGCAGAGCTTTCTCCCACCACAGAGGGGGGCGTCGAGGACGAACTCCCCGGGAATAGGAACTGGGGCGAACAACGCACAGGAGATCGATGACGAAGGGGTTGGCCTGAAGGAAGTGGATGAGTTGCTCGGCGAGATTGCCGCCATGCTAGGTTGGTGGTCTTCCTACGTGCGGTTTATCGCCGGAAAATCTAAGGTATTAAATATCAAAACTCCTATATCCATCTTTCGCCAACAGTTTAATAGGACGAAGAGGATACGAAAGACGAGTCCTTTTCTATTCCCGAAATACTTCTCGAATCGGGTCTCAACAGAAAAATTTCTAGGATGTTGACCACACCGTATAACACCATGACGACCTTCTTCTTCCGAAGATCCGTCGAAAAAGCATTCCAACTCAACGAATTTCCCAACAACCTCTCTCTCAATCTTAAAACGCCGATCGATAACAACCGTCCTTTTATTATAACAGCTGTTGACGACATAATATTCATTATTAATAGGGTCATTCAGAGATCTTTACCTACATCACAAAGAGAGGTCATTACCTCTGTCGTCCTGGCTATGGACCGAGTTCTCAGCTCTGACTTCGTCGGCATGATTCAGCGGAAGATGCGTGACGAATTTTACCCTAGGCCTCTCATCCAAGGGGGCTTTCCCCCGGAGGATAAGATCATCGCCTTTATTGTTCTTATTAACAGCCTTGACACAGCTAACGAATATCTCGCCCGCATCATGTCCGACCTTAGCGCTAGTCCCGGCAAGCCCGACGGCGTTTCCCATAGCTCGCCACTCCGTTCTGCCTTTCCCTTCGGGCGGGACTTAGGCTCGGTGGCCACTTCGCCGGCCCACCCCCTCTCGACGTTCGCCGCTAAGACAACTGAGCTTCTGAACGAGGGCTTATCGGTTCTTTTCAACCAGGTCATCAAGCTGCGGTTGCGGCCCATCTTAAGCGACGCTTTCCGAGACGTGGACTACTCGCTCTCGGAGGACGAGTTTGCGAGTGCGCAAGTGGAAGCTAGGGAGACTAGAGAGGAAGGAGACACATTACAAAGATTCGGGCGCGGGTGGGACCAGCTAATGCGGCCCATAAACCGCATAATGACGCCTAAGCCATACACAGCACTGCTAGACCTTACCACCAGGCATCTCGCACGTGTTTTAGAGAAGCGGCTGTGGAGCTATGTTGGGCGGGCGAGCCCGTTAGGGGGTATACGCATGGAGAGTGACTTCTTAGGCATCATCAGCGTCGTGGCGAGGGAGAATTACTCCGCTAAGGAGCTGTTCTCGAGAGTCTTGCAGGTCTTGATGGTAGCGAATATGGAGCAGGATGAGTGGGAAGAACTATCTAGCCTCGCGGGTTGTAGTGTAGATTGGAACGACGGAATACGATGGGTGTTGGCTGAGGAGGAGAGGACTAAGGCAAGATCGCTAATAATGGGATAGATATGCCAGAGGTATATCTGTTGTGGGGAGTCTCCTCATGCCTTCCCATCTGAACTCGATGTCTACTGCGGTCTTGAACGAGTTTGGCGAAGCGGAGGAACTGGGTGCGGGACCTGATGGAACGAGGAGCCCGAGGTCCATCTCTTAGGTTCTGGGCAACCTCGACTTCATCGGGAAACCTGCCGAAAGCGCTGCGAGCCTCCTCATAGTGCTCTAGATTGCGGAGGATGTCAACCTTTTTCCCACTCAGGGAAAGCTTCGCCGAGATGGCTATGCAAAGTGGGCTCCTTGGAATGCTAAGTAAAAAGTGTCTGGGGACCGAAAACGCAGAAGACTTCAGTCGTGACGACCAGAGGAATGAAAGAGGTCAGGACGAGTCGACCAAGAAAGGGCCCCGCGTCATCATCGTCCACGCTGGCCTTAGGCACTCCTCCCCGCCAACCGCTCAAAAGAGGATGCGGCAGCAGGCACCTGGCAGGCCACTACGTGACGGCGGGCCTCCTAACCCCCGAGCACTTTCCGAGCGGTAAGGACATCCTCCATAGGCGCATATCCACAGAGGTGTCCAAATGTCCTCGTCTACTCGACACCTTCCCGACACCCCCTTCCTCGGGGCCACGCCACCCATCGAGATCTTCATTCGGCTACGGACACGGGCTATCATTTAAGAGGTCCTAAGGTCGCGCCTCGTGCCTGAAGCACACAAGATGGCCTCCTGCCCGGGCGCGACGGCCACACGCCTTATAACCGCCCGCATCGCCTCGTGTCGACGAGACTGGCCTGCCTGCGCCGTGACATTACCCAAGGCCTCCGACCTGTCCCACAGCCATTCAGCCGTGAACAAGGTCCTCAGGGCTGGGGTTGTCTGGCCCCCTTTTTAAGCCGTGGGTGTCTCGTCGCTAGGCGGGCGCCGCTTGAGGTAGCAAGATTACGCCGTGGTCTAAGTTTAAATGCTACGTATGCCATTATTTCGTCAGCCCAGGAGATAATTAGTTGTCCTTCCGTATCCTTCCGGCTGTGCTCAGGAAAATAACGGTCCCGCGCGTAGGACGCAGCCCTCCACCGGATGCTCGGCGAAGTCAAAATAAGGTTGGACGTACCTAGGAGGTCTAATACTTGGCAGACCCCGTCGTGTTGTATCCGGGAGATATTTTTAGTGCTGTAGGTGCCCATTACGGAGTCCATCACCCAGCCGGGGACGGATGGAGGCGGGGGGGTTCCGCAGTCTGCAGGGCAGCCCGAGTCCTCTCGAGCAAGTGCCTAGGTATACCTTGTTAGGTATATCATATTGCGAGTAAAGACGGCTTGGGAGACAACATAGCAACCAGCATGACAGCTATCATAGCGGTTATGCTTCGTATTGCAGGGCTCTCATCTCAATCTAAATACTGTAGGCGTGTAGGCATGGTCACGTGCGGCCACATGGATAAGCCCCGCCACAGGATCGCTCAGCTTAGATAAATAGGTGGGCGACGCACCCACAGAGATCTCGCAATATTAGCTTCAATTCAAACCACCTGAACCTCCCTAAATTTCCACACGAGAAAGAGGATGCAAAGACACAATTACAAGCAGAGCAGGCCAAGAACCGGAGGACCAAATTAAAAGAATATCTATACCACTGCCACTTCAACATCTACAAGAAATTCAAGCTCGCATCAACGGGGTTTACGAAAGTCGATGGTATCGCGTAAAACGTAAACGCCCACATTTACGCTGTGCGGTATGTAGGCATATAAGGGCTGGTCCAGCTGCTACGTAACAGATGGCGAATACTATCCTAAGTGGCTTCGTCCCTAGGAGAGCTTTACGAACAGCCAGCGGCAAGATTCTTTTAAGAGAATCAGGACTATCTGTAGGGAGAGGCAGCCCTTCTATCAGGAGAGTACGACCAGAGATCTAGGAACGACTATCCACCGCCAACGTGCAGGCAACGAGGGTACCGTCGAGCTCTTTAAGACGATTGTCGTGGAAAACCCCGTCTTCGAGATTCTGGGTCGCGTATGGGACGAGGGAGAAGCTTCGTAAGGAATATGAGTATATGGGGCTACGATTTAGCAAAAACACCCGGGATTTCACCCAACTAAGCGATAGTAATCTGGTTAGGGAGGAGGACCCGAGCGACGAAATACAAAAGCGACGACGGCGGACCGGATCGAACAAACGAGTAGCACTCGAGCAAAAAGTTAAGCCTTCGCTAGCGAAACCCGACGGAGCGAGTATCTATACGCGCCTAGGCGGAGAGGAGATCCTATCGTTTATCTAGGACTACAAGGCGGCCCACAAAGTTGCGTTAAAGTATCTGAAGCCGGCCGTTGCGAAGGAGAAGCTATTCGTAGAGGTCATCGAGCAGATCAACAGCAACAGCTCTCGGGGCGATACCGAGCTAAAAAAAAAAAAAAAAAAAAACCAGGACGAGGTCGAAGCACTGATTGCCATAGCACTAACACAGGTCCTCGGCTACATGGTACGATATCAAGTTGCATATGGCTATGTTACTGCCGGCCAGTCTTTGATATTCCTCCATATCGACCGAGACGAGCCGCAAACGCTATATTATCATGCGTGCGTCCCGGACGAGGACGTAGGCGAAGCGTTAGACGAGGATTGAGCCGGCGACATGATCTCCTATACCGCAGCGGCCCAGCTAGCTAGCTTTTGCCTGTTAAATGTCTGATCTAAGGCTCTTAGCGCAGCTTCACTCGACGCAGCGTCCCAGAGAGCCGAGACAACACTGAGAAAATAGAGGGAGCCGCACGACAATGCGGCGCCTCTTTTAGGTAGAGAGGATACAGACTCACCCTCGGGATCGTTATTATAGGGAAGTGAGCGGCAGTGTAACAACTGTATCTAGTAATCGGCCAGCTGTAGGTACATAACAGCTAGGAGGAACAAGAACTGCATGTATATCCTGTATATACGTATGTATTAATGTAGAAAGAAAGGTAAAAATATTATGTATACGCGACTTATATAAATATTTACATCACAAACCCTACAGAGTCTACCCCTAATACCGCACCAATACGGTATTTATTTTGCTTCGTTTATTTCTAGCTCCGGCGGCGCAGCTACAAAAAACTCTTTCGCTATTGCTACCTACTGCACATCGTTTACTACTACAATCTTTCCACCATTCCGAGAGTCCTCACGCCTTAGGTACTGCACCGGAAGGCTATTAGCAGCAGTACCCGTCGTTCACGAACAACGTAATATTCAGAATCATCCTACGGACTCCCCTTACTAGAGACGGCCCACGACGTCCTACGTACCTCTAGGAGTACATTTTACGCCCGGTGCTTTACGTCAACCAAACTTATCGTGACTTGGAGCTACGCAATATTAACGGCGATCTTACTCGTAACATTCCACCCGAAAGGCCTTTTTAGTTTCTAACTACCGAAAATTAAATCCACTTAATTGAATGCTCGGAACAAGGCAGCCACTACTAATTACGCCACCATAATAACGCATCATTATCTATCGGCATCGCACTTGGATTCTTCCTCGCTAGATTCGTCCAACTATAGCGACCGGTCGCTACACACTTAAGATCTCGCGCCTATACACGCGATGTCTGACTATGTTCGCGAGATCCTCCGGCTCCGGCAGGAGCTGGATGAGGCAAACCTACGAGTACAAGCGATATAACGCGAGAAAGAGGAGGCAAAGACACAAAAACTAGAGGACTACACTAGAAGGTTAGGAGCGTATAAGAGCACTATTGGAGAGGATTAGCGTGGGTACGTTATAGGAGGAACCCGGATGGGAATAGGAACAGCCCGGCTACCGACGACAGGCCCAGCGCCGATCCAGCAGGATGAAAATATAAGTACGAGGCCCATGTGAATACTCATTAAAGCGCCTATGTGGCATAGTCCTACCGCATTACTACACTATAACCTACTTACTTTATACCTCGAGGCGGTTGGTACGACTAACATGGAAATTTCGTCGTATCAGGCACCAAGTCTTGCCTACTTTCGGAGTGCTTCAGGCCATGGGATATACTGTATAAGGGAGACGCCGTTACTTTCATAAATAACGACCTTCATGCACAAAGAGCCCTGGATCGCGCTAGGCGCGGCATGGCTATTTAAAGTGATCTAGCAATGGTTAAACAACCCCTTCGAAACAGGTTTCCTTTAAATATGGCGGACGAAAGAAATACGGGATTCACAAGAGATATACTAGAGCTTTCTCAAGGTCCAGATGAGTCCCTGTCCTCATATTATGCTAAAGCCTAGGATCTTCTTAGATGCATAGGCGCAAGAGATTACTTTCAAACCCACCTAATGTTAGTGCTATCGTGTAATATGTCCCGTAACTAATACCACCTTTTTCTTATTTCCTTTTACATCTCAATCCCTTAGCAGCAGTCTTCTACCCTGTTTCCATATCCTACAGGGATAGGTATATAAGAACCCGATTTACGTCCCTGTGTCTGCTACATTCCCGATACGAAAACGAAAAGCCAGCCCATTAAACTCGACTGTTACGTCTATAGACGCAAGGTCTCCCTTAAAGACTCTGCGAATGGTTAAAGCTCGATAGGTATACGCGTCGAAGATTACAAGATCGTCGTTGATTTTCTTCGCGCGGAAGGAACCGACCTCGGTGCTAGGTCTTCGCAATAACTTAAACTCGACCCGGCCCGACGTTCTCCAGTCGACGACATACGTATCGTAGGACGTCTAGCTGGTAGGCGTAACGATGTAGCCCCTAGTACTATCCGCGCCGTGGATCTGGGATACCATGACTTTTCGAACGTTCTATAGGGCGATCGAGCAAAAGTTCTCTCCTCGACGGGGCACGGCCACCAACAGGTCACCTAGTCGCGCGGCTAGGGTGACGTCTTACACATGGACCGCTCCCTGGGCTCCGAGAGAGTATATCCTCCCGCTTGCGGCGAGGTAGAAGTACCCTCCCGTTCCGTCGATATCGATGCCGAGCCACACAGGGCCGTCCAACCAGGTAATTGAGGGATCTATCACGGCGAGAATTCTACCACCAGGTACTAGGTACCACGCTAGTATAGTGGTAGGCTTAGCTCCTATCATAACAACGACCTCGCTATGGTTCCATTTCGTTACTAACTTAGCTAGGTCTGGTTCCAGGTTTCCGTAGTGGCCTTGCTGCCAAGATTTATCGACGCCATATAGCGTAACGGTATCCTCGCCTATAATCATAAAAACGACCCCATCCGTAGTGGTATACCGCAGTCCGTTATTTGTCCTGGCCACTTTCTTAAACGGATACCCGTCAAGGATCTTCTTGCACCTTGGAATTTTACCCGAGGTAACGGATAGTTTAGTTGGAGAAAGGACATCTACGAGCTACTCATCCGGTACGAGAAATTGACTATAAAGCTGCCCAGTTCCATCCTTTTCACGGTAGCATAGCCAAGCCTTCCCTCCATTTTCAGTTAGTCCCGCGATATAGAGTTATTCAGAGAGGGGTAGTAAAGCGATAACGATTCTGCCGCTACAGAACCATACGGGCACGACGACATTATCGGCATCACGAAGGTCGAGGATCGCAACAGTCGTCGTACCATGACTCTCTGCTATACTTTTCAGTATAGTCCACCAAGGCTCGTGCCCGCCCAATTCAAACTATGCAAACCAATGTCGGTTCACTCCTTCGAGTAAGAACGTGCCCTAGGGGGTCAAACGCAGAAAGTAACCCGAGTCGGTAATCACAAACATTTCATTATTAGCGCAGAAGACATTCGAGAGACGTCCGAACTAAGTAGGCACAGCAACAGCGGTCTGCCGGCTGGTTTATATTCCAGTACCCTTTTAGGCAATGAGGCGCTACTGCTTGCGGGAATAGAAGTAGAATTCCTCTACGTTACTAACGGGTAGGGTAATAATACCGGCGAGGACAATATCCGGTAGAGGTAAAGGGGATTATTTTAATGATGGCCCTATCCGTAAAGCGGATCCAAAATCGAGTAGCCTCTCCGTCGTAGTCCTTCCCAAACACGGAAACAATACGAGGAGAAATCCCTGCCTTAATATTAACTCCCGGCAAGGCGTCGGCGGGCGACGGAGGTACGGCGTCGTCGGGATTATCGTAGTCTTCCAGCAGCTACATATCCGAGTCTTCCCATTTATCTAGCGCATCAAGTTTACGTAGCAAGGCAGGCACGCCGACTACGCTAACGAGCGTCATGCTATCGGCCCTAAGAACATAGGCGAGTTCCCCGGATTATTATCCACTTAGTTAGTAGCGGAAGACTGCATGGACAAAATTATCTAATACGAAGACGGTCAGCAACAGAGCTAGCACATCTTATGATCGTTAAACAGTACCTACCTTCTTCCCATACGCGCATTAAAGTCCTCGTAGAAAAGGGAAATAAGGCGTTGAACTTTGCCAGACAGGTACCGGTCGTAGGATCTACCCGCCAGATAGCGGACTACTCCGTATTATAGAAACAAACCCCGTCCGCGCCTATATCTACACCAAAATGCACGCCCCTCGTAAGCTCTGCAAGTACATCGCTAGTATAAACGAGGTGCTAGTTAGCGACTTCGTAAAAAGCTCGTCCGACCTTCTCTCCCCCGGGCGTAGTATAGTTCTCCACGATAATAAACCTACTACTAAGTAAATGCTTGGCATCAAGATCATTAAGATAGGCGAGAAGTCCCTCAGTACCGCCGGGGAATTTCGACGCGTTTTCCTGCACAGGGAAGGTATCATTCTTATCGAAGTCGACCTGTCGCACCTCGGCGTTGCTTCTAATAACGAGCACGGATAAGAAATTACGGTCCGCGATCCCTACCCGTACTCCTACGATAGAGACACTGTCACCTTCAACGGTAATCGGGTCGTCGCGAAGGTCCCTACCGTCCAAGATCCAACGGGTATTTTCGCTATTCGAAGACAGAGTCATGCCTACGCCCAAGTCCAGACCGTGTTACACGGGGAGGGAACCCTACGCTAATAATCAGGTCATAAAAGGTTAGGAGGATAATGTCGGGTATTAAGGTCGCCGGTTCGGCGACCTACTAAGGAAAGTCCTAGATAAGCTACGGATAGCTTCGGTATTAAGGTATTAGAGTACCAAAGTACGAAGGTACCTTAGGAATATATTAAAATAAGAATAAGACTAGGAAACTTAAAGAAGGTAAGGACCTAAAAGACCCCCTATAGAATTATTAATAGAATTAAACCTATTCTAAGTATATCCTTTTGTTATAGATAATTCTATATTACTCTTACCTTTATAACTTTATTATAAGTTAATAATAAGGAAAGCCTACGCCTAAGCCGGTATCGTACGCCGAAGCCGCTGCCCCGGTACTATCGCTATTAGATTAACCTCGATCCTTTACTAAAGAACTAGAGCCGTAAACGTTCCCGTTCCTACGAATTATTACCTTAGGACTAGTATCGGTTTTTATAGCGGAAGTAGCCTAGATAATAGCTACGATTAACGAATTAAAAGCCGCGATAATAGAGTTAAAGGCTAAGGATACCGAGCGATAGCGAATCTTTCCGGCGCCCTAGCTAGAATTAATCCTTAAACCGACCGATAAATCCCTCGTCGTATACTAACCCTAAGAATACGAGGTAGTTATAGCGGATACCCCGGAGATTATAAACTCGGGGGTAGTTATATATAATTCTTCGTAATGGATCGTAAATTTATATAAGTAAATAAAATAAGTATATTAAAGCTTAGCGATATTAATTAATTAGGTCGATATAGGATACCGATAAAATACGATCCTAAAAGAATAGTACGAATAATTACGGTAATTTTATTAAACCGCTACGGCTATATAAGCTACCGGTATCCGAATTACGAAGATATAGATCCATAAGTTTTAGAAGTAAGTCGTAGAGTAAAGCACTTACTTCGCTTAAAATGTATAGGAAACCGTAGCTAAGTTTACCCGATAAAATAAAGTACGAACGGCCGCTATAAATTAATTACGAAACGCCGTATTATAAAA